GGGAGAGCAGCTGAGGGGAGCTCTAGCAATAGCAAATAAAACGATATACAGTAAGAATAATAGCAGAGACCATCTGAATTGAGCAATTGGTATCGAACAAGCTTGAATGGGGGACTTGAATGGCCGACCGAGTGTAGGCAGGCAAAAAAACGAGTGGAGGAGGGTAAACAACAACGGCGGTCAGCAGCAGCAGACGTTCCAAAGGCCCTACCAGAGGTCAACAAGAGACTCGGTCTCCAAAAGTGAACAAAATAAAAGGCGAGGCCATGAGAGAGAGGAAGAGAGGGAGAGGGAGAGGGAGAGAAAAGAGGGAGAAAGGAGGGGAGGACAAGAAGATCCTTAGCAGAGCAAAGGAGAGCAACGAAAAGGCCCAATAATAATTAATGTTGAGGAGGCGAATTGCCTCCTCGGCGTCTCGCTCCTACCCAAAGCAGCCTAGCGGCGTATCGCCCTGGCCTGACGAGGACCCCGTGATGTGTCACAAAACAGAAACCGACACACGCTGTTTCAGAGTAATTATTATTATCTGTCATGACACTTCGTCTTCTGCCTACGGAGTAGTTTCCGGTTCACTTCTTTACATCCATTGCTGGTGAAATACAATGACAGACAGGTTTATCTATTTGCCGTGCCCTGGAAGAGTACGAGTTCTGACTAGGATCTGAAGACTAACGAATGGTGATAGAACCAGATCCCCTCGGAACAAACGTCGAGCCTGTTAACTCTGTGGACCCTGGCAAGGGTTAGTCACTCGAGTGGACGAACAATAATGGTCTGACATACTGGGGAGATCCGTCAATATATGTGCTTGCAGCGTGGACGTGCATTGGGCTGTGTCGCAGACGCTGTCGGTTGCTTTTTGGACGTGTGACACTACAGTCTACTACATACCGTCAGTAAGTTGCATACGAGTCTACAAGTACGGACGGAGTACGGAGTACCTCCGAACTACGGAGTGCTCGTACGGAGTACGGAGTACACGGAGTGACATTTACACTACTCCATACTACATATGTCGATCTCTTGACGGTGCTGTCAATATTCTGTACTCCGTATGTGCTCTCTGTACGGACTCTGGACTCACGGAGTAGCCACAACGGAACGGATCGAGGGACCCGCGTCGCTCGCCCCCGGTGGATATGCATGCGTGTGTGTCCCTCTTGTCAAGGGCAGGATCCGAGGAATGGAACCTTCTATTTGAGAACCCCCTATTACGGAGTATCTGGGCTCTTATCGTACTCCACATGCTCTGGCTGGGACAGACGGAGTAGAGCAAGAGAAAAATGCGCTTATCCAAAACTTTTGAGTAGAATAGATTGTATCCCATTGGTCGGATAGAACGACCTTTCATAAGATTAAATTACTCCGTACTAGAATAATCTATAACTTATAAGTATCCTCTAGTTCTTCTAGTTCTTCACTAGAAGATCCTTAGAAAAATATCAAACAGCTTAAAGCATCTTATTATATCTTATTTTATCTTATTATATCTTCTAGAAGCCAATCTAATTGTTTTCTTTCTATGATCGACTGCCCCTCTCTATGTAGTAATCCGTACAACACCTACTTTCACGAGGTCTGGTGTAAGCGCCTATCCACAGCACAATTTCCATGTGCGAGAAATAATAAGCGAGCAAGGAATTATAGCCATGCTCTATAGGAGGAGAGACCACTTTTTTATCCTTCAGGACAAGGGTTCCTGCGCTAACTGGAAGTGAGGCTATTTTAGTAGCATGGCAAAGATGAAGAGTATGTAGAGGGAATAGCAACTACTTAGTTACCTCTACCTATATGGCTTTAAGCGCCACTAGGTGTGACTACGGTAGTATATCTCTAGAGGACTTTCTATATATAGACTATGTATGTAGTATGACCTCGCATCGGCGTTAAATGCCTCCTGCATGCAATCCTCGATAGTCATTGGAAACTACGTCGCTGATATAATAATAATCATTACCTCACTGGTCACGTAGATGATTTATAAACACAATTATTTTAGATTTGGGTTATATATAGGGAGTAGAGATGAAATACTTCACCTTACAGTATACTTGAACAGGTTCCGTAGGATTAGCCAGGATATGACGCACCCACAGCAAGAGGAGCATCCTCTGTTTCCTTAACATCCCCCTGTTCATATATACTACTATGTAGTCTTTTACTATATAATCCTCCATTTATAACCTTCTATCACATACGACCACAGGGTGTGGAAAACAGGGCTTCCCGTCCGCTCAGCCGTACTTAAGCCACACGCCGGTAGGTTAGTAGTTGGGTGGGTGACCACCAGCGAATCCCTACTGTTGTATGTTTTTTTATTCTATAACTACTTGGCCGTAGATTGAGTCTAATATACTCGAGTAGATACGTTATTTACTACATATTGTTTTTGGTTTTAGCGCGGCTAGCTAAGGCGAGCGTACCTATTCCATTGGTCTCAATTGACAGGGATGTTACTCCACCCTCCAAGTACTACATGGTTACTCCGTATATCCCGCCTTATCTCCAATACTCTGTACTGGCTCCTGCTGTAGTAGTCGGGAAGGTCAATATAATATCACTATATGGCCCAGCTGGCTGATCTTTGCCTTATATGCGTATAGCCTCATAGCCCGCACCTGAGAGGCTATAACGACCACGGCGACGAAATATGCCTGCCTACAACCGTGAAACCTGTTCTGCTTCGCCCTTCTGACCCCCCAGCTCTGCCTCGCAGACCGTGAATAAATCTTCCATCTATAAGTAGGTGTCGCCCTGACATCATATTGGTATATTCACTTGTTGTTCCTAATTAGGACTAGTGGGAAGTATTACCATGGTGGACGGTTTAATATAAACAGAAGGAAGTGAGAGTTGGTCAACGTCTCTACTTCTTCTCCCATTCCGCAGCCTCTTCCTTTCCATCTTTTCCTCCCACAACCTGCTTTCTGATTTCTGAATTCGTATCCTTACCCTGTCACCCTCTCAAACGCCACACCTTCTGCAGAATCACACATTGCCTCGTCTTAGAATACATGACCTAGATCAAAGGGCACTGTGGACTTTATCCTAAGCTGCTCCAAGGAGGCAGAAGATTTGGTAAGGTCTCTGATCTATTCCGAATTTAAAAGAAATAACTAACCCATCGATTCTGAAGTTACGCGCTGCATCATCAGTAAAGCCGGCCACGTGGTAGGAGTCGCCCATATATATCCCTATTCTCTTAGTGGAGGGTATCCCAAAGCCCTATCATTCTGGAATTTGCTCGAAATTTTCTGGACCACGGCGACGGTTGATCGCTGGAAAAAGGATATCTTTGGGCTAAAGGGAGCCGAGAGCTGCCTCAACCTTTTGGCCATGTCCCCCAGCACCCACGCCTACTGGCGGAATGCGCTCTTTGCCCTGAGGCCGCTAGGAATGAGCCAGGATGAGTGCCAGCTTGAAATTCGGCTTTTCTGATTGCAGCCCGTCTGTCTGTCCGGCCCTATCCTTCTCAACTCACCTCCCTTCATATCGACCAACTCCGATTCATCCATAGAGAATGTCAAACTATTTAACTGTGAAATCGATAAGAAGGTTTGCTCCGGAGACAAGATCATCTTGACCACTAATGATCCTGTCCACAGACCCCTTCCCAGTCTGCATCTTCTCCAAATGCAGTGGGGCCTGCATCGCCTCACTGCCCTCTGTGGAGGGGCCAGCATCCCTAAGCCCCTGAACCCATACTATGACGATGAGCGTGATGATCATAGCGAGCTGGAGTTTGATTATCTCGACTCTGACGATTGACGTTCATTTTGATTTAAATGCGTCCCTAACAATACAAATCGGATGGCTTGCTTTGCGACAGAGCTAAGAGAGTTCTTGATGGCGAATCCACGGCTTAGAAATTAGTACAGGACGGTGTAGTGAGATGGTTGGGTTCCTTTAAGCATTGGTGTTGGCTATCGAACGGATCTTATCTAGAATGTATCTCGCTTCAAACTCTCCGAGATATCTTTACGCTGCTTACCGCGCAAGGCTTGCTTAGCCAGATGAGATATACATTTTATCAAGACTATGATTCAATCTCAGCAGCCTTATCACTTGGTACCTACCTAGACTATCTCATACCATATGCATATCTCAGTGGCAGTAGATCAGATCAAGATTAGATATTGTTTCGTGTGGAAATGGGGTTATCCACTATTCTTCTTATGGTTAGTTCTCGGCCATCGCCCCATATTTATACAAGTATGACAGATACCAGGTATGTACCTAAGTAAGTTGTAGTTGACTAGTTATGTAGTAACAGGTAGTTAGTCACTAGGTACTTATATAGTGCTTAGGACAAGCAATACAGAGTAGTGAATAAAAACCTAAAATAGGATTCTCCCTTGTCTATACTGGCACCTCCTTTCCTGAGCCGAGACACTTTATACGCGCTGATCTATGGGACTAGAATTGGCCTCGTAGATTCGCCCGGAGTTGCGACCCTGCTGGTCTAGAAATGATGGATGACTGTGGATGTAGTAGATATATTTCCTATGCTTTTTTCCTTTTTATACTTGGCTGTTGATTGTGTATTATTTTTGCTGCTATGTAACAGTGGTGCTGGTGACTGTACCCGAATCATAGACTAGTAGGGTGGCTATTTGAGTTAGCAGTGTAGGTATAAATATATCCTAGATAGTTTATATGAATATGCCTGGCTGCTGAACAACCACTGCCAGTCATGCTCTATTCATGACTAATTAGTATTTCCATAGAAACACTAGTCTATGCTATTTCATGCGAGATCGTATTTCCCTATGGCTAGATCTTTTGTTTTCTTACTCGATAAATTCTATAGAGCTAGCTTCATTTACTCTTGAACAAGCTGTGTCTTGCCCCCCGCTATACCCAAAATGACTGTGGTATATACTCCGTATATAGGGAGAGTGACGTCACTGCCCTGCCTCCACTGCCAGCTCTGGTCGATTTCTTCCAATGCCGCACGAAAAACTAGGTCCCAGGGAAACATCTTACATAATTTAAAACACTGGCACCCCGCAATATAGAGTTGGCAGCATGGCCGAGTGGTCTAAGGCGGTAGACTTGAATTTACCAAAGAGTAATTTATTATCTATTCTCTTCGGAGGCGTGCGTTCGAACCGCACTGCTGTCGTTTTTTTTATTTCTTCCTAGTACCTACCTACCTACCTACCTACCTACCTTGTACTAGATAGACTATTAGTACCCCACCATAGTCGTTCAAAGTGTCTGGTGTTTCATCTACGCTTTTAGGGCATTGCGCATCATTGCTCAAGGAGTGATAAACCCCTCGGGTTTGGTCAGGAGTGTTCGGCGTACTCACTCCGTACTGTAAATACGACATCCCGAAAATGAGATCTGATCACCAGAAATAGACGTTTCTATTAGATTAAGGGATAGTCGAGTAGTACTCCGTGACCACTGTACTAGATATTCTCTCCGTACTCCGTTTTACCTTGGCAAAATACGTCTATCACAGATTCTGGTCAATCATCCAAGGTAATTAACCAAAAAATAGCTCAAGTAGAGAGCCCAAGGGCCGAAAAAGTCCCCCCTGCCACCCATATGCAGTAAGACAATAGAATGCTGGCGCGTATGTGACCTATCCGCTCGAAGATGACCCGTCGAGAACGCCTAGAACTGCATGCAGAGAATAAAGAGAGAGGGGATAACTATGTAAGTCCTCCGTACGAGCACGGAGTACAGTATTCCGTAACTGATCCCCCGTCTACTCCGTAGTGTGTGTATGTGTAGAAATTAAAACGTCAAAAAAGTATTGCCCGTCATGCCTTGGCCTCCCCCGCGTACTTCCTCGTCCAATCTCGAGCGATCTCCTCGTAGCGTGTCCGGTCGTTCTTGTATTGCTCGGCAATCCTGGTTTCGACGGCGTCGTCCGGCATGGGTTCGGCCAGGAGCTGTCGAGCGAACTCCAGCACAGCCGCGATGCGTGAGCTGGGTTTCCACTCGTCCGACTTGAGCATCCCCAAACACATGCTGCCCTTGTCATCGTTGGTCACGTTCGGGTGATAGATCTTGGTCACGAAGTTGATCGTCGGCGGTTTGAACGGGTACCCGGTGGGCAGGCTGAGCTTCACGAGGAACTTTCCATTCTAGAAAAAAAAAAAAAAAACAGTGGGGTTGAGTTAGTAATTCAGCGATGATTCCCAAGATGTGTAAATAAAGTAGATTAAAAGGCACACACATGGTATGGTGATCCCTCGGGACCCTCCATATAGACCTTCCAATCGTACAGGTTTGCCTCGTCGGCTAACTCCACGGAGATGCCAGTAGGTGGTGATTCCACAAGCTCGGCCAGCTCCTAGACATGACAAGGGATTGTCAGCCATGAAAACATGCGTAGTCAACTAACCTACGATGCCGCAGTACCTTTGCAATTCTCTTCTGGCTACCCATTGTCTGTAGCTCCAAATACTCGGCGAGGTGATAGGAAGGCTGGTGAGGGGGATGAAACAAAGCAGGTCGTGTGACCCTCGTGCAAATATAAATAAGGAGACTTGGATCTGCCCACGCACAGCAAAAGAAATACACTCTAGACAGAAAAGGGGCGGGGTCGGGGGCTGAATGAGACAATGAGTCCAAGTAAGAAGAAATAGCTGCCTGTTCTCGTCTGTTGTCTCTTTCAACGGCGGGGTGGGGCGGGGCGGATCTCAGGCGGAAAGACGTCACAGTCCAGACCACGCCATAATATGAACCCGATCTTAGGCAAAGAAGACGCCTTGAAGATATTGCAGGATGTTTATTAATAGAAAGACTAATATTAGGATATAAATAGCTCCAATTAAGATCAGTGAGTAGGAGTGGTGTGGGTAGCTATATAAAAAGGTTTAGGCAGAATTGATAGATATAGTATACCTAAATATCTAGTTCTGGGACAGTGCTGCAATCAAACGTGTATAATTCATTGTCTAAGATGATAGAAAAGATTGCTGAATACTATTATATCTTTCAAGAAGGAAGGACAATGTAGTCTTTTAGCGGTCACTAAGGCGGTGTTTATATACAGGCAGTATTTTACAGAGCAAAGTGAACACTGTAGAAGTAACTATACCTTACTTTTTAATGCTAGAAAGAGTAGTAAACCCGATGCTAGGCTCAAAAACAAATCAAACTCTAGGCTCTAATTCCTTGTCAGCAATATGGCTGTTTTGACAATCCCGAAGCCAGGGGTACATGTTGCTACCAGAGCAAGAAGACATCAATCTTTCCCATTCTATTTCTGTAGATCTAACAAATAGACATTTTTATCACTCTTATTCCCGTTGCAGCATCACCATCAGACCCATGATGCCTAATAATGCGGTCTTGAGCCACGGGTATTCGCTGAGTAGAATCGTCACATAGCCGACCAAAGGAACATATCCCCGCACACTTCCAACAATATCCTCCTGGCGATTCAGATGATCCTGGCCTCGGGCATACAATTCGGTGTCATCGGCGGCATTGTTATCTCCCTTAGTGAGGAGCATGTGTGACGGTTCAGAGGACGAGCTACTGGAAATAGAAATCAGCATGGCTCCATCACCTAGACCGATCCGTGCCTCGAGGAACGTTATATGACGGGAGAGAGAGAGGGGGGGGTAAAGAAACTCACGAAATCGCCTTGACTTTCTTGGTCTTCGCATCTACCTCCGGGAATGTCCTAACCACCCGGTGCACGATAGGAATATCCTTGCCCTTGATATTGTAAACGACGATTTCGGCCACCTCAGCCCGAGGGCTACGGTTCCAGAGGAACAGCAGATCGCCCCGTTGGAAAGCCGGTTCCATTGAGCCCGATAGCACCACGACGATGGGTGAAGACGACGCGGTGAACACGGAGAGACCCTTCCACATCATGAACGCCGTGGACAGTACCAGGGCGAAGTTCAGGACCTGCGCCAACGTTTGGCGCGGGTTGGATATGTTCGACGTCAGAGATGACAGCATGGTGAATATAGCTAAGATTCCCCAACCCTAGCTAGGTAGAAAGAAAAGGAGAGAGAGAGAATCAAGCGAGTGGCCCAGATGCTGGGGTTCAGGCGGGATTGAAGGACGTTGAAAGTCGCGATTGCGGCGATGTGGCCCTTGTCCTTGGCTCACCCAAACAAATACTGGGCGGAGAACAGTACTACATACAGTAGAACTGGCAACTGGCCGGGAGTGGTGCTCTTTTTTTTTTTTTTTCCCTGATAGTTATAATTACAATCTACTGTTTATTTTTTAATGTTCTTTTTATCAAGTATTTCTGGGCTCTGTGGAATTTATTTCGCTGAGTTTTGTATATATCCCGAAATCCTATTGGGTTTATACTATTCTAGAATAAGTACCTAGGTAGTTTGAAAAGAACAGGAAGAAACGAAAGTCAGGAAGACCGAAAATAAAATCATACATAGGAAAAAGGCGTTAAAAAAGATATCGGAAACTCGATATGTCTCCCTAAACAGCCGAAGAAGGGTTGGGTTGTGCTTTTCCCGTAGAAGGACTAGTTTCCCAGTATTTATTGTGCTGTCCGCGTCTGAAGATAAGGCCAAAGATGTCGAACGGGTCAAACAGGGTGGTTAGGAATGATCTTGGGTCTTCATACCCGGTGCCTTCAACCTCAGTGACACCGTCCTGTGCCAGGTAGATCTTATTTGACCGAGGAAGCCAGCGCATCGGATGGAAGATATTCAGCATGGTAGTGTTTGTGAACATCACTGTTGCCTCAAAGACCCAGAAGAACCACTCGTCCTTGAGAATAGGGCTCATGTCTTTGATATTGCTGACGTTGAGACTCGCAGCAGAGAAATACTCAACGGTCCGATAGATCGTTCGGATGGTGATCAAAGTGCAGCTGCAGTACAGCACGGAAATGGCCCGCTTCACCTTGGAATTCAGCACCCCGGCCCGGGAGCAGTTGACGTAGAACTTCGTCGCCAATGCCAAAAACCCTGCCATCAGTACAATCTGCAAAATTAAGGCAGCTTTGAGAAGTGCCTTGCCGGTGTTCTGCTTGCTCTGGGAGTTGCTCGAGTTGGCGACCAACGCTGCGCCGTTTGCGGTGATCGATTCGATTACTGCCCCCATAGCGACAAAGGTCGTGAAGACCCTTCCCGGGTGGATGGGAGAGTGATAGGGGATATAGTACAGGATTCGTCCGAGGGTGAAGAAGTTGGCTCCTTCGTAGACGGGTCTGGATGGTACTTTGTTAGCATCAACTATCATAGATCCCATATCAAAAACCGCGATATCAACATACGGTCCAGCAAGAAGAAGAACGGTGCTCGCAATGTAAATAGGAAGATTATCCCATTGTCCAAAGGCGCCAATAGTACGCAGGATAAACCCGGCTGTAAAGAGGAGGGCGCTCCAAGGTAGCAGGCCAGTCACCTTCCAGCTTCTGAACCGACTGTTTATTTTTGTCAGCTCTATTAAGCCCAAAAGGCTACCAAGGTATCATACAAGCATTGGTAGATGTGTGTTATGCCAGAGGCTGCAAAAAGTATAGCAAAAGCAATCGGGGCGCCTTTATTGGGTGCGTAGTACCAATAGCTACCCTCCTCTGTTTGGAATCAGTAATCTAGTTTATAGTATCCTTTTCTTATTATAAGAAGAACTAACGGTATGCTGATCTCGCCTCAAGCATGGTCATATAGGTCTTAGTGGTTGACACGGGTCTCGGAAAATCAAAGGCTGGAATCAAAGAAGGTCTCCAAAGTTCTGCTATAGTAAACTATGAATCCAAGACAACATGGTCGCTATGCAAGATCTCATATAGGACTCCCATAGTTTTATATAACATCCTCGACCTTCTGCACCATGGGTCGTCAGGCACTGGGAATCGTTTTTAGCGAAAACGAGGTTGCCAAGAATTACCCTTTTTGGCCAGCGCAGGAATCAACCTCACCCTGATAGCCAGGACCTTGGGTAATGCTGCATGACTGACAAGTCTGACACGGCCAGTTGCAAGAGCCTTTCCGTAGGGGTGCAAGGCTTAGCTTTGACTGGTCGGATACAAGATACCACGATGTGATTTCTCTTTGGACAGAGGTTAAAAATGACGGAAATCAAGTCCAATGGAGCCCGCCTCAGCGCCCAAATACGAACGAGGTATTCTTTTAAAACATCGCTGGCAGTGGATAGAGTTCATCCAAAAAGGATCTGACCTAGGAGAGTTTCTGCTTCCTCCAGAGGCATTGGCTATTCGCGATACGAGGGAGTCGTTGATTCGATGTTAAGCGAGTACGACGATTGCTGAATTGCGCCCGATGAAGTCACGCAGTCTTGTGTCTGGAGCCGTGAGCATTCCACGGAACAACGACATCTTGATCAGGGTAGAAGAGTGAGGTGTGGTCTTGAATCAGATACCAGGCCAGATCTTCAGCCGTCGATTGCAGAGTAAGGTACCAGGACGTCTTGGGGAGGCGATATCAGCTTACATAAGCCAGACCTATGACCTAACCAGGTTTAGGTTAGTTGCCTGGACAACGCGAATGTTACCTAATCTGGAAGGATCAACATCAACTCCGGAAAGCGACATTGAAGCCATCTCATTATTCTCCACCGCCGAACTGTCAACTGTCGAACCGGAAACCGCTCTCCTGCAATCCACCAAGGCTGTTCTAGGTAGCCGGACTGCAATCATGAGCTCATCGACGAAAAGCCCGCAGACCTCGCTGTTCCAAGTCTTCCTTCGTCTTCGGCCGCCAATTTCGCCGCAGCCTGAGGGATATGGAGAACGATACCTCACAGTCGAGCCCCCTGAGGTTATGGAGAATACCGACCAGGATGGACAGAACGTGACGACATTGCACTCGACTCATATCACTTTGCAACCGCCAAATGACAACAGAAAACGAGCGGTGGAGAAGTTCGCTTTCACCAAGGTGTTCGAGGAAAGCGCGTCCCAGTTGGATGTCTTCGAAGATATGGACATCGCTTCCCTGGTGAACGGTGTTCTCCTCGAGAAAAGGGATGGCTTGATAGCTACCTTGGGTGTCACAGGAAGTGGAAAGGTCTGACTATAGCTTATACTGGACCGATAGGGAAGGCGAAGCTGATGATTTTTTTTGTTGCAACAGAGCCATACAATCCTCGGATCAAAATCCCAGCGTGGAATCACCCAGATGGCACTTGATTTGATGTTTAAATCTATTGCTACAGGCACAACTGGCTCCGATGTTTCGACTAGTCCCCTGCTCCTGGCGTCGTTGGCCGCGTCTGATCCCTCAGAAGCCCAGTTGTTCTCAGCACAAACATTCCTGGAAGCCGTCTATGGAGACCCAAACTCTGAACGCAACAGAGGTTCTCGAGCTCAGACTCCCTCTTCAAGGTCCCAAACACCTATGGCGGTATGGACCCCTCTTTCCCCCAACATCCTCCAAGAAACCCAATACGTGTGTCCACCAAGCCCTGGAACACAGGCCCAGGCGCTTCCCATGAGCCCTGGAGATGCCTTGCACACGGGAAAGGAACCCTACCCAGCTTCAAAAGACAGGAGCCGTCTCGATTCAAAGGACCTCTTGAGAGAGAGACTCGGACGAGCAACCCCTGGAATATCTGCACCTTTTTCCCATTTCTACCCCAGTGTTATTGGATCAAGTTTAGCTAAGTTTCGACTTAAAATCTTAAAGGAACCGATGCCGGCTTTAATCTTCCCTCGTCGCCACATGCAAAAGCCCAGCGCTATGCCCCGATCGCCCGATGTGGGCCACCTTGCCGTGGACGTGGACCCCAAGTCCGAGTACATTGTCTTGGTATCGATGTATGAGGTCTATAACGACCGCATTTTTGACCTCCTATCACCGTCTATTATTCCTGGCCAAGGGAGCGCTCTGTCCCGCCAGGGAGGCAATGGACAGAAAGATCGCCGCAGACCACTTCTCTTTAAGCCCACAGAAAGCTCTCCAGACCGCAAAATTGTTGCTGGGTTGAGAAAGGTTGCCTGTACTACCTATGAGGAAGCCTTAGCTGTTCTTGAAGTCGGTCTTACCGAGCGGAAGGTAACTGGAACTGGAGCCAACAGCGTGAGCTCTCGTAGCCACGGATTCTTCTGCCTCGAGGTCAAGAAGAAGACCACAGTTAAGAAAACCGGTGAAGTGACATGGACTGCAAATACACTCACGGTTGCCGACCTTGCGGGTGCGTACTAACTGGATCAATTGACAATACTTGGAAAAAAGATTGGCTAATCAGCCTTAGGTTCCGAACGAGCTAGGACTGCAAAAACAGCTGGAGCGACGCTTGCTGAAGCTGGCAAGATTAACGAGAGTTTAATGTATCTTGGTCAGTGCTTGCAGATGCAGAGTGACTGGCAAGATGGGAATAAGGTAAATCTCTATCAGAAATTGACGCACTGGGCTTGGTTATTAAGGCATGATGTAGGCGGGTCTTGTCCCGTTCAGGCAGTGCAAGCTCACTGAACTGCTCTTCTCCAACTCGTTCCCCTCTTCAAACCAAACAAGCCCAACACCTACACGCCATCCTCAGAAAGCCCTCATGATAGTGACCGCCGACCCACTGGGTGACTTCAACGCTACATCCCAGATTTTGCGGTACTCGGCCTTGGCTAGGGAGGTTACCGTTCCTCGTATCCCTTCCGTGACCGAGTCTATCCTTTCAGGGTCTGTGAGCTCTGGGAAAGCTCCGTCCTTAAGCGGCAGGAACTCGCCAAATGGAGTAACGCTAGAAGAGTTGGAACGAGCAACAGATGAGATCAACCGCTTGACTCTTGAGAACGAAAAATTGACCGTTAAGATTGCGAATGAAGAGATTACGCGCTCAGAACTCGAGACGAGACTCCATTCCATGGAGGAGAGATGCTTGATGATAGAGCAGGAAGTTCGAGAAGAATGCTGGGCCGAGATGGACGAACGCATGGAGGAAGAACGAAGAAGATGGCAGTCTGCATGGGATGAGCAGGTAAGTCCTACCTTCTAGCTTCTATTTAACCGATCTCTGACCGTATACAGGTCGGCCGTAACGATGAACATATGGACAAGAAGATTGAGCTCGTCTCTCGCGGCTTTCAAAGTAAATCTTTCTCATTTATTTTCCTCGCGAACTTGATGACTGACTATTGCTTTAGTTCACGAGGATCCAGAGCCTGCCGTTGATGAGAGAGTGGCAGATCTCGAATTTGAGAATGAGCAGCTGCTTAAGAAAATCGCGGCTCTAGAGCGTGAGCTGACGGGTCGGTCGCCCACCAAGAAGTCGAAACCAAGAAATCTCAATTTTGATCATGATCCTTTTGCCAAGCCTCCCGCAATTCGCCGGGAGAGCGAAATTGAAAATGCCCTCCGTCAGATGAATCAACTCAAGGTAGCTGACAGCATGTTCTCTCCTACCCCAGCAGCAAGCTCTCCCGGCAAGAAGTACAGGAAGATGGCTACCAGGAAATGGGACCTGGGACCCGAGGAGAACATCTAACCTTTCGATTTCTGATACCCGCCAATGTACTTATACACATTGGTCTTGTTTCTTGGAGTTCTGGAATCGGGTGAGGGAGCAGCGGTGGCCTAAGATCCATACAAGGTCCCACTGTGGAGGATATGGATGGCGTTTATTGGAGAAGTTCATGGTTTCTTTGATCATTCATCACCCTAATTGTTGTAATTATTCAGACATTCATATTCATATCTATTATACACGGAGACTTTATTTCTCCTTGCCAATTCAATTTCAAAAACAAGTCTTGATCCGAGTTCTCCCTTTCAAACGCCTTTCGTATGGATCTTAATAAATAGCCATCACAAAAACGCCTCGAATTCACATCGAAGCCCTCAAGAAAAAGTAAACAATGGTAATTGAAGAGCTGGAGACTGAACTGGTAGAATGATATTCAGGCTCTCGACGACTATGTATCCATAGCCTCGGCTGGTTCTTCAGTCTTTGCTGTCTCCAGGCATCTATCATTCCCGTGAATAGAAACCTCTAGTAAATCGATTTCTTCGCCTTCCCCCATGTCGATATCGGTATCTTTAACATCTTCAGTGTCGCCCTCATCCATACCGCCCTCTTCGCCCTCTTCCCCTTCGTCAGCTAGATCTTCATCGCCCTCCTCGTCTTCGTCGCCGTCGCCTTCCCCTGCGGCTCCCGAGGAGCCGAGTGCCATGAGGCTATCACCAGGCTCGACGGAATTTCGATTTGCTTCCGTCTCGTCCTGCTCTCCTTCGACGTGCCCTTCTCCTTCCTCTTCGTCAACGCTTGGCGGAACGGAAATTTCTGACTCCAGTCCTCCTGGAGAGCGCCCACGAGACAGGGTTGGAAAGAGCAGGGATGTCCGATCAACGGCCAACTTGGACATCTTGCCGTCATCGAGGTCACTAGCTTCCGTCTCGGGGTCAGGCGGAGGAGGACGCGGAAGCCGCCCTTTTCGGTTCAACAGTGAGCCCGACTTGCGATCCGTAGCCAATTTTGCTAGCCGGTCATCGTCAATCTCACTCAACTCGCTCTCATCATCTGCACTGTCGTGTACACTGTTCGCAGCACTGCTTTGCGGGGGGGATCTTGATCGACAGTCGGTCCCGTTTCGGCCAATGTGCGCAGTGGAAGTAGCAGCAGTTCCTGCTGCGGCAGAAGTGGCTGCACCAGACACCGGAGCAGACTCTCCTTCCGTCGATGCGGTAGGCTTGGCCGTCAAGGCGCGAGGAGTTAGCTTGCGGTTCACAATTGTTTCTGCTCGTTTCTGGATATCTCTTCGGGCTATGCCCTTGGTTCGGCCCCGAGGTGCAGCTGGCGTCTCCGACGCGGGAGCTGATGGAGGTGTCTGGGCATCCGCAGTACTTTCACCGGTCATTAGGAGATGGTCGACCTTCATTTTCTCCTTGTTTTCTTCATTGACTTGTTCGACTAGTTGAGGCATGTTGATCTCATATATCCGCGAGTAGAGATCAGCGATTAGGTCTTCAAGCATAGTCACTTTCATCAAGTTGTTGTTAAGTTTCTTCAACTCCACCGAGTCACGGAGAAGCTCCAGGATGAAGATGCTGTCGGGGACAAGTTGAGAGAGATTTTCGAGCCGGGCAGTGTTTGCGACAAAGTCATCCCAAGTGAGGCCTCTGAAAACCCCTTCTTCATGCCCTTCATTGATCTTTCCAGCTCGTCGGATGACTTTAGCATAAGTAGTACACATATCTTCCCACAGCTTGGTATGGTTGATGAAATCGCCCTGTTTCTTCCTCACTCGACGCAGGAGTTGATCCAAGTTTGCACGGTCGTCAAGTTGATCCAACAAGCTCACGAAAAAGTAGGCGTAGCGTGTAGTGTACACAAAGTGTCGACCTGGGCGCTCGAACTCGGGTTTCCAGACTTGAATCGTCATGGTTTTGGTGAAGATTTGTTGGGTCAACTCGTGTTTAGCAGCCATGGCAGAGGTTGGATCTTTATGGTCATCATAGATAACATGTGCAGCCTAGTCGTCCACGGTAAGTTAAACGAGCAGATGATTTATTGGGTTGAGCTTCTTACCCTTGCAGCCATCCGGTGATGCCAGTTAGATTTGTCTGCATTTCTAAGATTTCGAAGAATTTCTCGGATATATGGATCCCATATGGGAGGCTCTGTAGGGAGTTGAACTTTGCGAGCCCATGGAGTTGCCATCAGAGTTTTGCTACCTTCAGCAGGCTGGCCAGGAAATTAGCCGGTGTCTTTTCGGGAATCAAGAGAAATGGGAGATATAGGACAGAACTATACCGTTAGGGTTCCGCGATGGACAAGCTTATGAACGATTGATACGAGTTTGAAGTGTGGTTCGAAGATAGGATCTGTCCGCGAGTCTTTGCGTTCAGGCAAATTATCAATCGCGTCGAGGAGAGTATCGAGAAGCTCATCAAGGGAAATGCGCTTGCAATTACCCCTCACAGAATCGTCACAGCTGAACATCTTCCACAGACATTTGCTCAGCATATAATGGTTTCTACAGGCGAATTATAGTTAGCGATAGATTCCTGACTAGAATACGCATAGCGCAGTCCACTCACATCCAGCGTTTGGGCTTGTCGACGATGGCGCGTCTGAGGAGGTATCTACCAAAGCTCCAAACAGAGTATGCCTTCATTTCTCTGAACGGCTGGGCCGTGTACATCTCCTGATTCATCTCTTTGCTGTAATGGCGACTAAAATCGGCAAGATCGAATGCTCCCATAGAAAAGGGCTCTCGAGAAGATGCGTACATACGGATCCCAAAGTCGGTGAAGAGGTCAGACAGCAGTAAGCGAGTCTCTAGTGTTGGGTCTGCAGTCCTGATCGCCGTCGATACCGCCATGGAGTAGCAATGAATTGCATACCGTTGCCAGACCAGCAATTCTGATCTGTTATTGTTGATCTTATCTGCGGACCAGGTAATATCTTCTTCCAGTTTCGAATCGTAGGTCTGCGCAAGCCGGTACCAGGTTTCCCAGTTTTCAGCCCCATTTTCTATATCTTTCCTGAAGAAGTTGACAGCATCGTCTAGATCCGTGGTAGGGACAGGGTTAAGGCGCTTTTGAGAACGGAACTTTGTCAAGGAAGCGTAGCCGAGAAGAAAGAACCAGCCTTTCTGCGCAATCTGAGAGCTTTCAGCGGAGACGGGAACTAAGGACAGATCTAACACCCCCTGGGCGGCGCGGGAAAGATGAGCAGGATTCATGGGACCATTAAGATATGCGGTCACGACACGTCTGTTAAGTGACAGGGGTGGCGATGATTTCAGATTTCCGATTGCAGTCGAGATCTTATCTATTGTTGTCTTCAAATCAGACTTGCAGAGAGCTGTGATGCTCATCCTTTTAGCTTGCTTCATCACAAAATCGATCACGGAGATGGCTGTGACTTTGTCAAGCTTCTCAGAAGGACAGCCGTGATCCGCGAGTCCATCAAATGCCGAAATCTTGATTCCATGAAGATCCAGTATCACTTGGCATGTATCAAACTCATAATCATCGCCCGCTTTCAACGAGAGAAGCTCGGCCTTCATGAGCTTCAGGAATTGCTTGCTTGAGTACTTGCACATCGAACGAACCCCTAAAGCTCCATGCACCGCACGCAGGTACTCAAGACAGTCTTCTGATGGGTTGTCGAAGAGTTCCTGATTCTGTGCCATTGCTTCTTTGAGAAGTGTATATTGCAGGATCCAGCACCGTACTTGCATCTCTCGTAATCTATCCTTGAAGGTCTCCAAGGATTTGGCCTGGGATGCGCGCAGTTCGGGTCCAGGGGTTTGACCGACTCGGACAGAATCATCATAGAGTAGGAGGCATTGGAGAAGCTTCAATAATCGAACAATAGCGGTCATTGAGGATACGAGGTGATCCATGTCAACGCAATCGTATGCGTTTGTCTGCTTCTGCAGTACGAGCTTGACAGTTTCATTGAGGATACCCTCAAGAGATTTCAACCACTTGAGCAGTGCTATTTGGCGATCTTCGGGTGTGGCCTCGAGGTGAGACGCGCCCCAGAGCTCTTTGATAATAGTTTCTATGCTTCGTAGATAGCATGACACGACCTTAGGCGGGTATTCTATAGATTTATATGCCTCCTGCAGTCGCCGCCATAGGAATAAACGCAGGGTTGCGTCTCCACGGTCAAGAAAAGATATCATCTCCTGGATCTGTGCTGTGGCTGCTGCTGTTTCGGTATTCTCTGTTGCACCGTCTGGGATGCTTTCGATAGCTGACGGCTCGAGAATAGGTTCGATCGTCTCGATCAGGTCAACGGGGTCATCTGAATCTGCGCCGAATATCTTCATGAAGAAATCCATGGACTTCAACTTCGAGATCTCCTGGTCAAGTGCCGCGACCGAAAGCTCAAACATTACCACATTATTGACCAGAGGAATCGCCGGGGTTTGGAGCTGATGGAAGGTGTCCTTGAGGTGTTCAAGACAGAACAGGGCGTATTCTCGTCGACAATCCGGAGCCATGTTTGAGTGAAAGGTCGATGCCCATGTATGACGCAGGGCCAAACGTGTCTGCAGTTCTCCAGGTGGAGCGTAATCCATGAGGTAATTAAGGGACGTTCGCGCCAGTTGAGACCACCTCCCGAGACGATCTTCCTGGACAACTCTGGTGTCTTGATCAGAGTCATTGTTGGGGCTGCTAATGCGCGCGTAGACATCTAGATGAAGTTCATAAATCGTTTCAATCATGAGACATTCGGAGAGATTCTTTAGTGTATATGTGAATGGAGACTCGGATGTTGATTGCAAGACTGCTTGCCCGAGAGCCGCTGTATCTTCACACATCCTATCCCACATGAAGCTATCCTCCTGGACTAGCAGTTGAATAATCGTATCCTTCAGAGTTTCAGACCATTGGAAAGATGTGTACGTTGTTTCTGTATTTGAAGACTCGTCCACTGGGGAATTCTCATCTTCAAAGGAATACTTGCCATACGCAGGCATAAGAACACCCTTAAGCCAAGATAGGCTGGTTTCGGGTAAATGAAACCATCCGTCGTTGACCACCTTGATGAAAGCCGACAATTCGTCACCTTCTAAGAGTTCCTTTTCCACATTCAGCTTCCGAATGGATTTCCTGGAGTGCTCTTGGAAGATAGCCAAGCCCGACTTGTTCCCTCGAAGGGTTTCCAGCGAAGAGAAGCTTTCTCCATGCAGAGCTACTCGAGATTTCTCCTCGTTCCAGGCCTGGAAGCTTTCTCGGAGATCCTGGAAAATAGCAATCTCAGTGGCCGCGGGTGGTGTTTCGGAAGTTTCTGCAGACCCCTGTTGGTCACTGGCGGAGGAGAATTGTTTTCGCAGCTCGTCAACAGCCCCCAGTTCCTCGACGCCGATCTTTCTGAACAATGCTCCGACAGTTTCGAACATCCAACCGTCCGCTTGATTGTAAAGTTCTAGACGGTCTTCATAATATTTGGACTGATCGAAAGTTACCTCGTCAGTCTGAGCCAAACTATCGGCGTTGGATTCTCGCGCACGAGTCCTCCGACTCTTCGTCCTGCCTCCCTCTGTATTATCCTCGTTTGCGATAGAAGTGGATGATCTCTTACGGGAGGCAATTATCGACGACTTCGGATCAGGATCCTCATTAGCTGTGGTATCCGGTGGTTGAACATGAGGCTCCGGGGCTTGTTCTGCGTGACCGCTCAAGCCTTCCATCAACTGATTTTCTGCTCGTTGATCAACAGATGACTGGTCCTCGGCTAAGTCCGCGGAAGTCTGTGTTTGTGATTTCACCGTAGCGAGGGGCTCTCCTGTTGTTGGTGGGTTGCTGGCATCTGTCATTTCGACTTCTTTCTTCACGGCAGTTTGATCCCCGGCACCAACAATGTTTTGAGACGGCTCAGCTCTCGTAGACTCGCCAGCTATTGATGGATCCGGCTGAGTTGGCTCTGTCAGAGAGATTTTCACCCCATCATTGAGGCTGAGTCTTAATTTATCTTGTCTCTCGTCAAGAACCAATTGGAGGATCTCTTTGCCCACAGCTTCCCAAGTAAATCCGGAAGGTGTCAGTTCGTGACAATCGAGCCGCTTTTCTAGAGTTCTTTGTAAGGGTTTGGCATTTTCTATGTCTCCCTCAAGCAGTGGTAGATAGGGGAAAGGGTCTGATTGACGGATTAAGAGTTTCAACAAGGCTTTCTTTGGCTTTTGGACTGGAATCTGAGAGACGGACAGCTTGTCATAGAGAGACTGGAGGGTGCCGCGGAGGCGCTCTTGGGCGAAAGTTTCGTCAAGGCCTAGTTGTTCTGCGCGCACTTCCAAGCGATTCTCGTCATCGGCGAGCACGCTTTCCAGACAATAACGAGCCAGTCTATAGCTCTGCAAAGCACTGCTCAGCCTGGCACTCCGCCTCCAGAGGTCAAGATCTGTGTCATCCTTCTCTAACGCCTCTGCGAAAGAAACCAGGGCCGTTTTCGAGCACGTGTTAATCTTGCCAACCAGCCCTGCAGCAGCCTCAGAGTCCTGGGGTGTGGTCCGCAAGACATGATGCAGAGAATCCAAGAGAAATTGACCGTAATTTTTGTGCGATAAATAGATGGTTTGAAGCAAGGTGCTTGAGGTTGAGTCGTTGACGTCGTATTCCGCCAGAGGCTCCGCGACGGCCACCACAACTGCTCCTCCATCATTTGTAGACCTAGCCAATTGTTGGCCGTCACCGTCGTGCAAGGCCGCCCTTCGAAATTCCGACAACGACTCGGGGTATTTGAAGATCTCTGAGTTAAGGAGCGCATCGTACGCTTCCGCCGCTTGCGCGTAGAACTCTGGGCCCTGCGAGTGGAGTTTCAAGGCATTTTGGTACAGCTTCAGCGCCTCCTCGATCTGGATCTCCTTGGTATCATCGACCTCCTCCTCAAAGACTTCATCAGCCTCGATATTCAGGGCGGACCAGGTGGCCATGGTCGGCGATCGATCGAAGGACGTTCGTTTAGACGCGACACGCTTTCAGAGGCACGAGAGGGAACGGGGTGGCTGATCGCATGTCCAGGGAGCCAGAAACCAGTTCTGCGCCTGCAACCCAGCGGCGGATAAGTCTATGGGTAATCTAGCAGCATCAGATGGATGAGAAACAGCGAAGGATCTCGCCAGAGGGAGGAAGAGTTGTTCATGAACTGTCCGGAACATTCAACGCTCTCTGACACGGGCAGGCGCGTTTTCACCGAACATGAATTACCCGAAATGGCATAGTGTGGGAGTATATTTATGCCTGAGAAAAAGGGCATATATATTGGTATCCTCAGGCACCATACGGCGTCCTTAGGCATCTTCAGGCACCAGCCACGAGGCTATTAGTTACTATTATTATGGAGCGACGCAATCTCCGAAACAACCCAGCTCTCTTTCCCGCACCGCCCGGCGCCTGCGAGGTTCAAACAGTCGATTGCAATTGATCAGGTCGCGGCCGGCTTGAATCCTGGTCTCTCGAGTCAATTTCCTTCGCGGTCGAGCAAAGCGCGATGGTTGCGCCCGCTGTTCCTGAGTACGTCGTCCCGCTCCACGTGTTCCCGAGGAGGGAGTTATCAACACAGCAACGGCGCATCCCACGAGGGTGCCTGTGCGATGGAATTGTGCGCTAATACCTGATCGCCCATCTAGGATCTATGAGGAGGAGGATATATTCGCTGCGGTTGATGCGCGCACGGAGTCTTTGCAGCATCTCCGAGAACTCGGCCCCCCCGATCTAGTTTACTTGGTGAAACAGCCAAAGGCCAGCACGAGCCGACAGGTATGGGTTGTTCTGGGGGATTTATACAGGTACAATGGACATGGAACTGGATACTGATGCCATTTGCGATCCCTGCAGGCTGGAGTCTACCACCATGTCACTGGAATCGACGCCTCGTCCTCCGCCAGTCTAGCTGCCTACGTCAACACGCTCACATACTCTCCATTGGATAAAACCCACAAAGTTGTGTCTGGAATATACTGGTGAGAACTCGAGTCGGGAAAGAGACATAGGGGGCTGTGAATACAAAGGAATTTAGCTGACGGAGGATTAGTTGCTACAATGCCTTTTCACACCTGGACATGCGTGTTGAGGTCAAGATCCCAGGCAGTCTGGAGAGCTACTGTATCGATGAACGTGGAGACAAACGGGTCGCGACGGAGGCCTTGTGGCTGGAGACATTCCTGTGTGGTGTGCTGAGGGCGTACTCGTATGCTGATGATGGAAGTGGAGACGCCATTCGTAAGATTGTTGGAGTCCGCCGGTTCAATCCGGTCACAAATACAGAAATGGAACACAAGTTCCTGGATGCTGCAGAGAAGCTGTTCTTCTTGGGTTCGTCTCTCCGGGGTTCTTTACCTGGCAATCGAGTCTTGCTAACCGACCTTGAATAGGGAGACAGTTGAGTTCCGACCCGGAGACCCAGGTGCCCAACACTGTGAGCAACCACCTTACCTCTGGTCTTCTGAAGTACATCTACACGACAGGCCGCTATGCGTCGGGCATAAACCTGTTCGAGAAGCTGCGCACTCGCGACGTGGAGGTCTCGTCACTGCTTGCCCGAGTGTTGACTATGGCGGACGAAGAAGTCCAAGCCGTGCGTCTGCTGTACGACGCCCTGCAAGATGTACCCATGGACTATGCGCTGCTGGACTGCCAAGCTGCCTTCTGCCAGAGCAAGGGAGAAGGCGAGATGGCGCTGGAGTGTGCGAAACGGGCGGTGACGGCTGCACCGAGCGAGTTCAGCACCTGGGCCCGTCTGGCCGAGGTATATGTGGACATGGAGCAGTGGGACCTGGCGCTCCTGACACTTAACTCGTGTCCCATGTTCACCTACCAAGACAAAGACGCGCCTCGCATGCCGCAGCCGTCTCGCATCCTGCTCCCCATTCTCAGCGAGAGCGTGCTGGACGAGATCGACGAAGGCCAGCCGAAACAAGGGGACCCTCACGACTCGGTCCACCCGTCTCTGAGAAAGCTGCATGCGTCCAGCTACCAGGGCACCTTCCTCAAGGCGTATAACCTGCTGACGCGGATCGCGGCCGCCATCGGCTGGGACCAGCTGCTCAAGATCCGCAGCGAAGTATTTGTGATGGAGGAGGAATACCGGACCGAGCGGCAGCAAGCACCCAAGGGCCGGCCGGCCAGCACCATCGGCAGCGCAGCCAACGTTGCAGCCGGCAACAGCGAGGAAGCAGCCCAGCAGCCTCAGGAGACCATCTCGGAGGTGGCCTCTGATAGTACCACGCCCAACGGCCTCGACGAGGCCCACAACATCGAGCGACCGGAGCAATCCATGGCGTCGGAAGTTATCAAATCTGGCAGTGACGATGTAAGTAGGACGTTCAAATACAACTCTATGCTGACTAGAACAAGAGACTAATTGAAAAACAGCCCGACCCGTCGCACATGGCATACACGCAGTTCAAGGACAAGCGGCTCTGCGAGCGGTGGCTGGACAACCTGTTCATGGTCCTGTACGAGGACTTGCGCATCTACACGATCTGGCGCACGGAGATGGCCCAGTACCGCCAGCAGGCGATGGAGTACAAAAAGTCCGCGACGGAGTGGGAGATCCTCGGCGAGCTGGCCGAACGGCTGCACCACTTCGACGAGGCGATCGAAGCCTACCAGAGCTGTCTGGCAATCCGGTTCTCGCCCAAGGCGATGCGCGGCCAGCTCAAGCTCTACGAGAAGAAGAACGATACCCGCTCCATGCTGAGTGCTCTTATCAAATTGATCGCATGGCAGTATAGATGGTACTCCGAGGTAAGCTCTCTTTCTTTCTTTCTTTTAATTCTCTTTTAATAATAATCTTTGTTTAGTTCTCCCCCGAACTCCTCTTCCTCATCCGCCGCCTGATCGAGGAAGAAGGCGCCGTCAAGGTGCGCAGCATCGTCCAGGCGACCAACCTGCCGCAGACGGTGCTCGATCTGACGCACCAGTATTGTCAGCTGTGCGCGACCTTCCGGAGCAGCGGGAGTGATGCTTAAAAAGACAACTACGGCTAGAAATACCTGACTGCTATTGCTATGAATGGAACATACATATTATACATATAATGATTGTTTCTTTTCTTTTCTCATTTGCTTCTCTACGCTCTTAACTGTTTACTATTATGATATGGAGTTAGGAATGATTAGATTGCAGTCTAGTAGTCATCTAGTAGCCATAACTAGCTAGACTGCTACCGGAGGCCAAATAGTTTACAGTACATCTTCCATAAGAATAGGTAATAATGGGAACTACTCTTCGTCAGAAACGTCGACAACCTCCGGCTCCTTGGGCACAACCTTGCCCTTTGCCTTGACAGCCGCAGCAGCAGGACCGCTCGACTTGGCCGTCTCCTCTTCCTCTTGTTCCTCCTCCTCCTCGTCGTCGTCTTCGTCTTGTTCTTCCTCCTCTTTCTCTTCTTTGTCTCCCCCCTTGTGTCCGTTCTTGGTTACACCGTTGCCGTTGACGTGGTCTTCGGTCTTTCGTTTCTTGCTAACGGGGGGACCTAAAGAATTAGAATTGATGAGTATGGGAAATATAGAGAACGGGAGAAGAGAATAGCCTACCCTCTTCTTCAGGTTCTTCCTCTTCTTCCTCTTCAAAGTCATCCTCATCTACCTCTTCCTCCTCTTCCTCTTCCTCGCTGCCTACGTCGGTGCTCTCATATCTAATAAATTAGCCTGGAACAGTATAAATAAAAAAGGGAAACAGGCAATACGAACTCTTCTTCCTCTTCACTCTCGTCGCTAGGGAGTGCTACAAGTTCCTCCTCCTCCTCGGCTTCTTGCTTTCTCTTGCGGGTCGACATGGTGATTAACGGTTTGCGAGGAGTCAATGGCCGATTAGATAGCTCACTAGGTAAGATAGAGAGCTAGGAAGAGGGTAGCAGAGATGCGCGCGAGAACGCGACGCGATAGGGAGTATGGGCGAGGAAGGAACTAAGCTGGGGGGGGGAAGGGAGAAAGAATTAAGACGGGAGAACGGACGGGAGGGGGGAAGAAGGGGGGGGGGGATAAAATTTATGGGAGAGAGAGAGAGAGAGAGAGAGAGAAAGAGAGGGAGGGAAAAGTAAAGGCAAAGCAAGGCTGGGGAGTGATGGTCCTCGCACGCTCTTGTCTGTCCTCTTTTTCTCCCCCCCCCCTCCCCCTTCTTGCGCGCGGTTTATGGAATGGGAATGGGCGAGGATTACTTCAGCGCCGGGGGGAAGTGGGTAGGGAGGGCCTCTGGGTCTCGTCTCAGAGAAAGCCTGGGCTGATTGTAGGACATGAGCTCAGCTGGGGGGGGGAGAGGGAGGCGCAGGCCAAGCAGGGAGCTGGGGGGAGCTCGGAATCCTTGGAAAGGGCGCCATGATGTGATGATGTGAGTGTGGATAAGAGTGGACAGGCAGGAAGAGAGAGATGAGTGCCGTGGGTAAGTGCGTGGGTAAGTGCGTGGGCCCTGTGTGCTTTGGGGGAGCTGGGAGGGCAGCCGGGGGAAGAGCAGAGCACTGGGGATCAGCTAACAGTCGTATGTATGCGCCATTATTTCACAGCTTTGTTTCGTACCGAGGGTCTGTGAGCTTGTGCGTGGTATTATTAGGGGTTGACTGTCACTCTTAAAGCAACGCCGATGGAGGTATCAAGAGACTTGGTCAAGGTTGAGACTTGGATAGTAATGAAATAAGACAAATTTGTCTTCAGGCATGGTTTTATTATGGATATTGAGGTATTTTTTTGCCGGGATTCTACCAATATTGAACATATGGCGTAGTATTTAGGCCATACAGGACCCAAGTATAGGTATGTATGTACTTGCTTGATTATAAGGCTGAGGGCACCTGAGAGATTAAAGCAGCCTCTTCAGCTCCAGTGCTTTGTAACTGCTTCTTTCTGCCATGTCATTTTGTGTTCCCTCTTCTATATAAGTAATATATAGGGGAGACACTCGACTCTTGTCTAGACAATCTTTAAAATAGACAACCACGCGACAGGCAAATTGTTATACCTAAGATACCTTCTTATTTCTATATACATCTCATTTCTAGCTGGAACTTCCAGTGTCTCACGATAAAACTACCACTTGTATTGTACAAAGTAGTTTATCAAGCCAGTTGCTACTGGCGATAGTCTGCCGGATGTGGAAATAACAGTGCAATCACGTACATTACGAAACAACACAGCTAGTACTATTCTGTACCAGTCCCTGCTGTGCATTACAGAGCATTACATACTTCTGCATGACGCTCTGACCAGGGCCAGAGATAAACTCCAGTAATCATGACATCAAAAAAAAGAAAGTTTAGTATGAAAAGGTTTCTGGAGAATATACAAGAAACTATAGGTGCCTGTCTCATTTGAAATGGCAGGAAAAAGGTGGTATCAAATGAAGTAGCAAGAAAGGTATGTCATTGCGCCCAAAACTCCATCGTTGCCATGCTCGGGTCCAGCAGATTCTCATCTAGACCAAAACCATAGGTACCCACCATGCCGTAGATTAGATCTGGTGGAGGAAAGCCTTGCGCCATTGCATTGGCTCCACCCGGCACATCGCGCTGGTCACGATCGTTGAGGCCGCTGGTGTTGCTGATGCCTGCAACAGACACGCGTCGGCCGGCGTATTGCGCCGTCTCCCACGCGTCGAAGCGCTCCACCATCTTGCCCAGCCCCCGGGCAATGTGCCTGGTGAGGTGACGCTCACCCGCCGACACGCAGTTCATCAGTTCGATCACTCGCTCGACCAGGCGCCGCACCTGGCCACCGTCGATACTGAGCGAAGCAGTGTGCCAGCTCACCGCGACCTTGATAAGGAAGACGGCCGAGAATGTCACCATGGTGTGGGTGAAGATTGGCACGCCGACGATCGCGTCGCGGATGTCGGGTTCCTCGAGCACCATGTTCAAACACGCCATGGCTGACGAGATGGCGATGTTGGCCGACTCCTTGCGATCCATGGAAAAGCCAGGCGTGTTTGCCGGGGACAGCGCTCGAAGGGCGAGCGAATTAAGCTGGAACTTGGCAAAGTGATAGTGTAAAGCGACGCCTTTCGAAGGATACGTTCGCACGTAGGGGCTATCCACTGGTAGGGAAAAAGCAAGCTTGTATCAGTGGATGATGGATGAAGACAGGTTGTGAGGGTGTTGAAAGCAAACTTACAAGATCGAGGCTGCCATAGCAGCCGCCATTGGTCAATAGCCACATTGTACACTCGTAGCTGACCAAAATCCTCCTCACTCAGGGGTTGTTCACTATCGGAGCCAAACATTCGGTAGGCCTCGGTGAGGATCATAAAAAGCGCCACCTGGGCCATCAGCCGAATGTCACCTGAAACAACCAGCGGAGAGCGCAGAAAGTTTTCAAAGTTCTTGATGGCTGCGTCTTCGTGGATGACGGGTGGTCGGCCGTACGCGATGCTGAAGTGGTGGTCGCACACGTACAAGAGATACCAGAGTTGGGCACGCTCGTACTGATCGTTGTGCCCGCGCATCATCCTCTGGTAGCTTTGATGCAGCCCCAGTTCGGTGGCGATCCGCACTGCATGCCCCGACAGCTTCCAGCTCAGCTCCGAGAGCCAGAAGGCTCCCACACAGAGGCCTCGGACATCATCCAGAGTATGTACCCTTGTGAGAGACATGCTCGAGACAAGCGACACGTATTCATTATAGCACTGGTTCAAGGTCTCGGTCCGGTTGGGGATGTGTAGAGCGGCCACGGTCAAGACAGCGACGGAGAGTAACGTCGACGAGCGGCGGACCGAGGTCAGGTCTCGATGGACCAAGATAATGCCACCCCAGAGGAGCTGGTTCATTGTCCGACTGAAATAGGCAAACAACTCCTCGGCCTCGTGGATGGAAATGAGGCCGCGCGAGATGAAGTCCTCCTCCAATTGGTTCAACCGCGGTTTCTCCACCGGGTTGTTGCGCAAATTGCGCAGCTTGGTCACTTCGTAGAGACTGCGCATCGGAGCCGGAACTAGATCTGGGTCTTGGAGGTCGGGTTCCAGCGACGGTTCTCTTGTCACATCCATCACCAGTCCGGGTCCATTGTGACTTGCGCGAGGCGGCTGCGACGTTTCAGTCGACCGCTGCCGAGTGTGGTGGGATGATGATGCAGCCGGGCTGGGGCCGTTCCGAGTATCGGTGGTGGAGGGATAGGTAGACAGCTCTGGCAGTCCGTTCTCACGCAGAAGATCCGATACGGCGGCCTGGAGCTGGTGTAGCGTCGCTGTAGCTTGAGATTTCCATCTAAAACGAAGGGACGATCGCCGTTAGAGATGATAATGATGATGAAGAGACAGATGAATAGCTAGGCAATGAGGCTAGGCAATGAACTCACATCCCATCGTCGTCTACGAATTTCTGTGAAAAGTCATTGACGACACATTTGATCCCACTGCGAAGGCATTTCGTGCAGCTTGACTCGCCCGGTTTGATTTCGCAGCGGATCTTATGGCGTTTGCACTCTGCACCTGAACCACCATTATCATCGGATCACCTCTTCTGCTCTCCCCCCCTCCCCGCCCACATAAACTCACAGGCGCGTGCTTTGGAGATCTTTGGAGGCGGCGGTCGCCCCGCCGGCACCGAAGGAGGCCGATCGTCCTCCCGTTTGGGCGATTCGAGCCCTGCGTCGTAGGAAGACCGCTTCTGTGGCGTGCTGCTGCTAGCCATTACTGCTGCGTCGTTCGTTCGGTGGACCTCCGGTCGCGAAGCGGTCGAAATGCGAACGGAGACCGCACCTACCGGCAGACAGCCGGTCGAGAAAGCGAGGCCAAACAAGACCCAGCTCGGAGACAAGGTGTCTTTCTTTTGTGGGCCTGGAAAATGAACCCGGTGACGTTGTGTTTTGTAATCCGTGAACAATGATACTAGGTACTCCGTAGTCACTAGTAGATAATAACGAGGCAGTAGTTGGTTCCTTAGGCCACTCCCAGGTAGTACTACCGGTAGTACAAGTATCTCAGATAGGTACCTAATCCAGTGGTATACGAGGAGGAGAAAACAGGTTGGGAAAGAATTGAAGTCGATGGAGGACGATCGCACCTGCTAATTTGGAGAGGGAAAGAGGGGGAAGGGCGGAACTTGGGGAAAGTGGAAGGAACGAACGACAGAAACAGAGAGAGTCGTTCCTTCCTAGCGCAGAGAAGTTTAATTTTAGCTACAAACACCTCCCAGGAAGGAGCAATTCTGGCATCTCTTATTGTCAACTCTCTCCAACCCTTCAGCTCTTGCCAGAGCTATAACTACTAGGTTTGCCTGTGATTTGAGGTGTGTAACTGTAACATGGTCATAGCCTGGGAATCTACTAATACTAAGGTATTATTACGAGGTATGGAGTACTCGTACTGCGACCGGATCACCCTGCAGGACTGACTCCATTATCCAGATATAATCGCACATCAGCAGCGCCTTTTTTCCATCCCTGATAGAGCTCAATATCCGATTTGCCATCCTTGCTCGATCAAGAGTCAAAACACCGGGATAAGTCCGGCGTGGAGCAGCAAAACCACAGAAGGGGATTCGGACTTGATGCGATGCGGAGGATTCGCCGACTTTCTCGAGTCCCACCCACTACGACGACGTTATGAATGGGTAGGATTTTGTTTCCAACACGTTCGACAGACGCAGATTCAGGAAGAATTCTTCTGATTTAAGAGCCGGTAGATAGACGTGGATAATGAGTTTCCCCCCAGTGGTGCAACGATTTAATTCTGCGCGGTCGATAGAGGAAGCATGAAGATCCTCATCACAGGCGCTGCAGGCTTTATCGGCCAACTTCTTGCGAAAGAGTTGCTGAACGATGCATCGCATCAAGTGGTCCTCACAGATATCCATGAACCAGGCGTCCCCGAGGGCGTCAAATACCCGCAGAATGCGACCGCCATCCAGGCAGACCTCCTCACGGGCGCCGACACGGTTGTCGACGCCTCGCTGGACGCGGTCTACGCGTTTCATGGCATCATGTCGTCCGGGTCGGAGGCTGACTTTGAGCTCGGCATGAGCGTCAACGTCGACGCGACCCGCATCTTGCTGGATGCGCTGCGCCGGACCTGCCCCGGCGTGAGGGTCATCTACTCGTCGAGCCAGGCCGTCTACGGACTCCCTCTCCCCGAAGTGGTGGACGATTCAGTGATTCCCACCCCGCAGTCGTCGTACGGCGCGGAGAAAATCATCTGCGAGACCCTAATCAACGAGTATACAAGACGGAAGTTCATCACGGGTTTCGTGCTCCGGTTCCCCACCATTTCCGTGCGTCCGGGTCGTCCGACGGCCGCAGCCTCCTCGTTCCTGTCGGGAATGATCCGCGAGCCGCTCGATGGCAAGCAATGCGTGATTCCGATCGAAGACCGGGCGTTCAAGTCGTGGCTCTGCTCGCCTAAAACGCTGGTCTACAATCTTCTCCTCACGCTGACTCTGCCGGCCGATGCGCTACCCCCGCATATCCGACAGCTCAACGTGCCGGGAATCTGCGTCACGGTCCAGGAAATGATGGACGCCCTGGAAAAGGTGGGCGGCAAGGAAAAGCTCTCCCTGCTCACTGAACGAGAAGATCCGGCCCTCAAGCCGATCCTGCTGTCCTGGCCCACTCGCTTCGATAACCGACAGGCTATTGCTCTCGGCTTCAAGAGAGATTCTTCTTTTGAGGATGCAGTGCGGGACTATCAACAGGGGATGTAAGACACGAGTGTGGCCTGTATATCTCAGTCTATAGTATATATACATGACTTATCAATGCTTTTTCTTTATCCATAACCAAGTTTTTGTACTCTGTATATCCTTGAAATTGACATTACCAGTGAAGATACCACCAATAACGAAATTATTGAATGATCCAAAAAGAAGAATCGAATGACAGTAGTAGGATTATTTCCAAACCTGGGACAATCTTAGCACAAACACACGCATCAATCAATCAACAGCTCTCCCAAACCTGTCCGTCAATAGCCACCAACCGATTGAACAACTCATCCCGCGTCCGCATCGCCGTCAACTGAAACACCTGGTGCGGCAGTCTTCCCCTGAGGAGCAGGCCGTCCACAACTTCCTTACTACTACCCACCGCCCACCCAACGACCAATTTGCCCTTCCAGCCCATCCCGCCTAGCTTGCGCATTTCGCGGATATCAGTGACGGGCATGGAGAAGAGGATGCTTCCCTTTTTCCTTTCTTCGATGGCGTTGTCAGTATTACTGTCGGCGGTAGAGTCCGTAGTAAAGTATAGTAATGGCTGTTCCTTGGAGGAGTCGATCACGGCAGCACCCCGTTTCCCCTGGTATCGTGCGTTGAATTCGATGGGTCCCACGGGGAGAGAGACGCCGCCCTTGCGGCGGAGAATGCCGATGCGGTTCCGGGCTGCTTTCGAGCCGGCGGCGGCTTTGACATGGTCAACGGCCAGTTTGCTTCGTACCCCCGCGGCGGTTGTTCCGCGGAAGACGTTCATAATGCTTGACATCCAGGTCTTCTTGGGTGGGGATGACTGTGTTGTTTCTCCATGGGTGCCGCCGGGTTCGAATGCTGGCTCAGCAGACGCTGCTTGTTCGATCTCGCTTTCTGGAACGTCCAGGGTTGTGCTCAGCTCTTCGTGGTTGATCGAGGCAGGTCTCGAGGGTGGTTTTTCGAGGCCAACGGGTGGTGGTGGTGGGAGAGGTGCAGTGTTTGCCTCGCCGATTCGAAGAAGGGTCACTGTGAGTTGGGCATTTGTAGGGACTCCCTTGAGGAGAGAGCTTCTTCATGTCAGTAACAGACGGGAAGAGATGAAGGAATGGATGACACTCACTTTTGCAGTTCCAAGAGTTTCTCCCAGTGAGGGTACTCCCGATTCAAGTACGTTGCAACACGCCACAAGAGAGGATCCCCGAAGAAACCAATTCCAAGGAAAAAGCCGCTGACTTTGATAAGCATATAGCTAGACATGAACAAGGAAACAAGGCAGCCTCCCGTCAAGACACCTGCCAATCTTAGGCGAGGTTCTAGAACATGGAACGGGGGTGTCGGGGATAGAGCGCTGTGTAATACTTAGCTATATTTATAATTTTGAGCAGTAGCGAAAGGACTTACTTTGCAAACCGCTCGTATGTGTCCGTGATATCACTCATCACTCGCATCGCCAGATTTGCATTCTCCATCACTGCCTGCTTCATAGGCTGTCTGGTCTTGTCGTGGGTATCGGCCGGGACATCGCCTTTTGCCGCAGTCTGCGCATCAGCCGTCCGCGAAACGATTTCCATGGGATCCGGGACATCCTTCTCCACCGTTTCCTCTGTGGGCGAAGCTTGGTCGTGCTTGCCGGCAGCACTTCCCACGGCGACACTGGCGACACTGGCGACGAAATTGCTGGCTTCTTGCTCCGCTGCTTCGCCTTTCAACCTTTCTGGCGCTCCAGTTATACTGTCGTGCGATCCAAGTACACCGGCTTTGGGCTTCTGAACGCCACCAGTAGAAGAACTGACCAGTGCGATGGGGGCTGGAGGGAAGAGGACCTCGCGGCATCGAGGCTCCACGACCAACGCGACGAGGACGCCGAGAAGCATTGGAACTACCAAATCTAACAGCCATGCTGTAAAATAGACCTATGGGAGGTATCAGTATTCGGGATCTCCCTACTCAAGAGGTGTTCTCCGACAAAACGTACTGAGCAGAATGCTGCTGTTCGCCGAGGCTCTCTCCAAGATCGCAACCGCGCAATGTGCTTGACAGCGCAGGTGAGTCCAACTACTACTGTAGTATAGAACCTTTCAATTGTTGCCCTTAATTTATCAGGGGAGAATTCCTCATCTTCTGCCCGGTTGAGGTCAAGTTTCTGGAGCGGTGCATCTGATACTGCTTTGACGTAGTATATTTGCTGGAGCAGACATCAATCAACGATACTGAGCTGATAACAAGAGACCAGTATTCCCACCGACCTTGTTGAAACGTCTGACCAGCAGCCATAGATCTTCGTTGGACAGTCCCGCTACCAGCGGCTCCCTAATTTCCTGGTGCGATTGAGTCCACCCAACGTCAGTGGTCTCTTCCTTCACGCCAGATTGTTGTATTAATCCTTTCTCTCCATGGTCTGCCCGAGCTAGTATATGACTGTCGGTCGGGGCTGCGTCGTTGGCTATAGGATTCCTGACCACGGGCTTGGGTTGTGTCTCAATCGATGGCATTGTTCCTGGTTCTATATCCTTCTCGGCCATGATGTTTAACCACTTCAATATAGATACCCTTCTTTATTATCCTTCCTCAATCAGTCAATCGACGCGTATTGTGGTTAAATCTGTCTCACCTGTGCCATGAAGTCATTCATAATGGATGGCGACGTCATACAGATAGACGACCCCATCAGACGGAGATAGTGGGTTCCTTGCTATGGGATTGCAGATCAAGTCTACATCTTGATAATGCTTTCTTCTTTTCCGCGATTTATTATCTCATCGCCAGGTACAATGGAAGGTTGAGCTGGATTCGATATCGGAACCACTACGTCATCTTGGCTGGAGGCAGGAGGCCAGGAGCTGGTTCACCCCACGTGATTCCCAGGACTTTGACAGCCTCAGGCACTTCTTCCGTTTTTCCTCTCAGTATCAAAATGGCCAGATTGAATGCTCCTCCTGGTTATAGCCCTCTGTTTGATATGTAGTAGTTCGAGGAGTTACGTATCTTTTACCGCAAAACAAGCGTTCTCGAAATGGGACGCAGAAAACCGAAACAGAAGCCGAATTTAAATATGTCGATACAACAGCCTCTAGGCCTGACAGGCTTCTTCATTCTCATCTGCTTTCTCTTCTGTGTGAATTGCTGCAGTACAAAAGAGGGAAAATGTCGAGCAATATATGTCCTGCGCCACACTTCACGTACGCCACACCCAGGCCCAAGCCACAGAAACGTGATATGACCCGATTGGGCATAATTCCTACGCGTGGATCCTCTGGCAGACACGCGTTGACAACGATTTTTGCCTTGAATGAAGCGAGTATTGGCAGAAGATGTGTAACAATAAATCCAAATGTGTTGCTGAGATTAAATGTTGAAATTTACCTGCTCCTTATGGGTCCTATCGTTAAAGTGGCACCATGAGCGACACTTGCGCGAATCCTTTGCTACTGGGATGGATCAAGGAATGGTTGGACCAAGCTCGAGAACGCAATAGTAAAGGCGTTACAGTGTAAGCTTCTCCCCTATTCCTTGTATTGCTTCTATAATTGACATGGTTTTAGGTACAAGAAAGCCTATGATTCAATGAAAGCGTGTCCGTTGGTTTTCCAGCATCCGTCTGAAGCGCAACAGCTAAACGGGCTGGGGCCGAAATTATGTGACCGTTTGACAGACAAGCTGAAAGCATATTGCAATGAGAACGGACTACCTATGCCGGAACCGCCGCAGAAAGGTATACCCTGTGCGATTCTCCCTCCCCAGGGACCCGTCTTTCTAATTTGAAACTTGGAAAACCCAGCGTCGTCCGGTAAGAGACTATCAGATGAAGGCGTGGGGGGCTCTCAGCCAGCGAAAAAAACGCGGAAACCGAAAGCCTACGTACCAGCTCTACGGTCGGGTCCATATGCCCTGTTATTGGGGCTGGGCACGCTGGACGAGAATTCTGCGCAGACCATGACGAAGCAGCAGCTGATCGAAGTCGCGCAGCCTTATTGCGACGCATCTTTCACGGCGCCTCCGGATCCTACCAAGTTCTACACCGCTTGGAATTCAATGAAGACGCTGGTCCAAAAGGAGCTGGTCTATGAACAGGGACGTCCACTGAGGAAGTATGCCCTCACGGAGGAAGGGTGGGAGGTTGCCAAAAGAATCCAGAAGACATTGCCTGGAGCATCGCAGAACACGTTATCGTTTGGCAACCAGTCTGTGAGAAAATGATCCCCTGCGTGCTAATCATGCCCCGATACTTGAGCTAACTTACATCACTAGTCAACAAGTGGAAATCTTCAGGGTAGTACTGTAGCCAATGCTATGCAACCGGAGGACCCCGAAGACCCAAATATCAATGCCTCTGAGCGACGGCAGTTCCACAGCAATGCCGAAATCCTTCATCCGTCAGAGATTAAACCGATTACCTTACCAGCGAACAGTTTCAAAGTGCAGCTGATTCTTGACACACGAGAAGTGCGCACATCAAAAGACCGAGACTACATCTCGAATGAACTGGGCAAAAAGGGCATCACCCCAGAAGTCCGCGCACTCGAACTTGGAGACTGCATATGGGTTGCCAAATTCAACGACCCGAGCTTTCTGTCGCAGTATGGAGAAGAAGGCGACGAGGTGATGTTGGACTGGATCGTGGAGCGCAAACGCCTCGACGATCTGATCGGGTCAATCAAAGACGGTCGATTCCACGAGCAAAAGTTCCGCCTCGGGCGCTCCGGCATCAAGAATGTCATCTACCTGATCGAGGAGTTTTCCGTCGCCTACGAGCCAGGAAACCCGTCTGCACTCAAGTACCAAGAGATGGTCGCTTCGGCCATCGCCTCGACGCAGGTGGTCAACGGCTACTTCGTCAAGAAGACGCGCAACCTCGACGACACAATCCGCTATCTCGCCCGGATGACCTTTCTTCTCCAATCGATGTACGAGTCCGCTTCCGCTTCTTCTTCTTCGGCCCCAGCACCAACCAACTCTCTCAATCTCATTCCAAGTCACCAACTCTCCTCATCCCAATCGTACCTCCTTGCCTTGGACCATCTGCGCGCTGAAAACCCTTGCTCTACTTACGCCGTTACCTTCTCCACGTTCTCTGCTCTGACCTCCAAATCTGACGTCCTGTCTCTCCGAGACGTTTTTCTAAAGATGCTCATGTGCACCCGAGGCGTGACAGGCGACAAGGCACTCGAAATCCAACGACGCTGGTCCACGCCGCGAGAGTTTGTCGAAGCATTCGAGGCGCTAGACGGCGCAGACCCCACGGCCAAGGAGAGACTGCTTTCGGATGGGATGCAGTCGCTCGTGGGGAGGAAGAAGATCGCGAGGGGGTTGAGCAAGAAGGTGGCTGAAGTCTGGGGGGAGGCGGGGAGGACTTGACTGGTCTTCTTCACATACAGTGACTACAGTCTTCAAATATACTTATAACATCAGAAGCATTTTTTGCAACAATCTTGTTCTATTACACACTCCTTCTAATAGACATAACTGTGGTATCATAACAATCATCAGGGGAATCATCAAGCATGAAGACTTCGAAAAAAGAAATACAATAAAATAAGATAAAATATGAAAAAAGAAAACTAGATATTTCTCTTCGCGCCGAAGATCTTCTTCACGCTCCTCCATTCAATCCTCAAGGCCAGACTGCTTGTCACAACCGAGATACTGCTCAGCGCCATAGCCAGCGCAGCCCACACGGGACTGAACCGCCAGTGCGTGGCGACGAGTGTTTCTTTGCCGTCGAGAGTGGCCAGCTTATGACCCGAGACGATGGGGTAGAAGACCCCCGCGGAGACCGGGACCAGACAGACGTTGTAGACCAGTGCCCAAGCGAAGTTCATCTTGACGCGGGTGAAGACACGCCGGCTCAGCACCACCAGCTGGAGGATGGTGCTCAGGTCCGAGTTCAGCAGGACGAAGCTGGCCGAGTTGATCGCCACGTCGGAGCCGGAGGCCATCGCGATACTGACGTCCGCGGCGGCCAGAGCGGGCGAATCGTTGATCCCGTCGCCGACGAAAGCGACTATCTTGCGTGGATGATTATCGTTGCCCTGTACTTGACGCACGAATTCGGCCTTCTCGGCTGGCATCACGTTGGCCATCACGTTCGACCGCGAGATGCCCAACATGTCGGCCACTGCGTGTGCTGTGGTTTGGTTATCGCCGGTGCACATGTACACCTGGACTTTGCGGCTGTGGAGCTGAGAGATCACGTCCACGGCCTCTGGGCGGATCGTGTCAGAGGTGGCAAAGACCATGGTAGGGGTGAATTTGGATGCTCTGGGGGATTCTGGATCAAGCCTGCGTAGCAAAAGGATTGCCGTCGATTTGCCTGCCGACTGATATTGAGAGAGCAGGTTGGTCAAGTAATAGGTGTCGACATCTGGCGAGACGAGAGATTCGAGAAGGCGTTGATTTCCGATTGCAGCTTCGTACTTGGCCTGTTGCTGGGCTGAATCGTTCTCTTTCAATGACAGAGAAAAGGTTCCCTTCATTCCTTGGCCGGAGATCTCTTGGATGTCGGAAGACAAGACAGAAGTAGAAGACTTGTCGCTACAAAAGGCATGAATAGCTCTAGCGACTGGGTGATTGCTGCTCTCTTCCAGTTTTGCAGCGAGGGTCCAAGCAACTTGCACCTCCTGAGCGTCTTGAGCCAGAACCTCATGGTCAGACACTTTGAGGCTGCCCCCTTCCGTCAGAGTACCGGTCTTGTCGAAGACAATCGCGTTCAGACGGCTCGCTTCTTGGAAAGCCTCGCCTCCTCCCTTGACCAGAATACCGTACTTGGCAGCAAGACCACCGCCGACAAACAGTGCGGTGGGCGCAGCGAGAGCGAGACCGCAGGGACAGGCGACGACAAACACAGCAACAGCGAACTCGAGACTCCAGAACGCCCACCCGCCATGCGCAACGTCCAGGTAATCAGCCGGCAGTACCCCCGACTCTCCAAGAGCAAGCCAGATCACAAAGGTTGAAACAGCTATGAGCGTGATGATCGGAACAAAGTGCGCAGTCAGAGCGTCTGCAATTCGCTCCACGGGCGCGCGCTTGCTCTGGCCTTCTCGAACAACATCGATGATCCGATCCAGCATGGATGACCCGCCTATCTCCGAGACTTGAATGCGCACCGGCTGCTCGACATTGACAGATCCGGTGAACACCTGCTCTCCTGTGGATTTCTTCACGGGTCTGGACTCGCCGGTCAGTGAACTTTCGTCGAACTGGTAATTGCCCTCCCCAACGATCAAGCCATCTGCCGGAGGCGACGCTCCATGGGGGATGCTGACGATGTCTCCGACTTCGATATATTCAACGCTGACTCGGGAGATCTTGTCGGTAGCATCCTGGTCAGGGAAGGATTCAACCAGCAACGCCTCCGATGGTCTCAGCTTCCCCAAGGACGAAACTGCATCCCCGGTTTTTGATTTGCTGTATGCCTCCAAGAACCGACCGGCTAGAATGAAGAGAGTCAGGAAAACAACGGAGTCGAAGTAAGTTGTGGTGCTGGAGCCCGAGGATGATGTGTCCACCGCGTCAATAATGAGAACGGCCAAAGAAGCGAGATATGCGACCATTGTGCCCGCAGATATGAGGAGATTCATGCTGCCAAAACGGACGAATCTTCGCCAGACGGGGACCCTGCTGCCTCGACGCCACAAGGCATATACTTCCTTGGCGGCTCGAGTGTGGAAGACATCTGTTCCGTAAAACATCACGGGGGTCGTCATTATGAAAAGGGCCCATTCCATGCGGGATACATTTCCAGCCCACATTGGCTGCTCCAAGTACTTGCGAGCTGAGTTGTGAGATGAAGCGAGGGACATGAAAACGATGCCGATGAGAAAAGTCGGGATAGCAACAGCAAAGACGAAGATTAAACGAGAGAGCAAACGACGACGCTCGTGCTGCTGCATTGCACGCGATCGATCTTCGATGCTGGGCGGATGGTAGACTGTCGCCTTGAAGACCTCGCTGGCTCCCTCAATGGCAGAGATGACGTTTCGAATAGTGAACGAGGGAGGGTTGGGGGTGTACGTTACTTTGATAATCGGATTATTGACGGACAGTTGCTCATCGATCACGAAGGACCCCTCTCCAAGAGAATTTAAGGAATCAATCACTTTTTCGGGACAGTGATGACAAAACATCCCCTCCACCTGGATGGAGACTGTTCTGGTCGTGATTTTGTTGGAGTCACTGCCACAGCTTGCAGATAATGGATGGACGCTGTTGACGGTGGCATCGTAACCCAGATCTTCGATCTTCTCCACGATGGCGTCGATGTTGTCCTGGCCCCTGAATTCCACCTTTCCGCTATGCGACAACAGATTGACTGTCACGTTGGTGACAAAAGGAAGCTCTTCAAGCCCTCTGGTCACCGTCCCCACGCATGAGCCGCAGGTCATGCCAACAATTGCGATCTCAGTGACGTACGCAGAAGATGTGTTTTCCGGGGGTGATACTTGATTGACCTCATCGACAGACGCTTCAAACCCGATATCCTCAATTTGCTCTGCAATCTTTTCAGCATTCGACCGTGGGCCGGTATATGTGACAGTCGCACTATTTGTGAGGAGAGTGACTGTGATATCCTTGACGAAATCCATCTGTTTGATCTCGTTGGTGATGCTGTTGGCGCAAGATGCGCAACTCATACCACCTATGCTCACACGAGCGATAAACTCGTCTGGCTGTTGTGTCGGAGGGGCCGCTTCACCAGACTCTAAGGTAGACAGGCTATTATAGGTTTTTTGGAGAGCTTTATCCTCAGGTGCAACTGTGGAAGATGTCCCAGGCACCTGCTTCGCGTCTTCGTCTTTGAAAGAAAGAGCCTTTTCAGATGTGGAGGGAAGAAGATTCTGCTTCTCTGTTTCCTCCTTTTTGCAAGCATCACAGTTGGCGATGTGTTGCTTTCGTCTCGAGTGTCCGACTGATTCCCGCCGTTTATGAGAAGAGGCTGACTGAGATGCAAGGGAAAGCAGCGAAAGGCTACGGGATGGCCATGGTGTAACATCCTGATCCCAGACCACCGCTCCCTTGTCATCGTACGTAGTGATGTGGTGCACCTCAAAGGCTGCTTGGATCAACGCCCCGGCGAGCTTCGATGCTGGTGTCCCTACGCCGTGGTACGCGCGTACTTCGTTGGTGATGATGGAGACATCGACATCTCTGACGGAAGGAACCAGACTCAGAACCTCCTTGACGTATGTGACACACGATGCGCAGTGAATATTGCTGACGAGGAACCTGCTTCTGACCTCGTGCGGCTCTGGATTCCGCGACTTTGGACGCTCTGTGGCGGAAACCATGGTGGAAGGCCTGCGTCTTCTGTATCAAGCAAGACAGTTTCGAGAGTTGAATTACAGCTTTCAGAGCTGAGATATGGCGACTGGAGATTCCCCCGCCTTTGTTTAGGTGGGCGAAGAATCCAAGAGAATGTAGGGGATGCACGTCGGGTGTCTTTTGCGTTTGTTGCCTCTTGACGGAGCCTTTCAAGACGACAGGAAAAAACCCGCTACCAGATCCATTCCAAACTAGATCCAGGGTCCAGTAGTATATATATATATATGAGATCGACAGGATCCAAGAAGAAAAAAACAAGATGAGATGCGTTGTTTATGCGTGGCGAGGCAAAAGAGACCAACAGACTAAACTACGCACAAATCACGCATTCCAATGACGACAGCTGCCAGTCCCAGATAGAGTCTTCCTCGCCGCAAGAGAAGAGCACAGAAGAGCAGGTTTCCTAGAGGCCTCTCTAAAGCAAGCTCCCCCCCTGGTATTCTGTCCTCTTCTACCAACAAACAAGCCAGCAGACAGCACCAATATCAGTCAGTGTATAGCTCTTGCCTTGTCTGAGACTGCAAATATCCCCATCACGTGTATGGCGGGCCAAGTTTTCGAGAAACACCAATCAGAATCTGTACCTTTTTCAAAATTCCCTAAAAATACTTATTTGCATTCCAAGAAATCTCAACCTCGCATTATGGTTTCAGGTAGGAGTTGAGGGTTAGAGCTTAGCAGGAACAAAACAGGCAGCAAATACAGTAGTATATCCCTCGAGATGATATATTAGCCCTGTGTCCTAGGGACCCTTAATTTGTACGGCAAGCATTAAATAGCCGGCTCATAAAATAAGACGTAGACACAGCGGGATTCGAACCGGTGCCTTCTGGCTCCGGACCACCGCGGGGTCATTTTCACGTGACCCTCCGACTGGGCCGCAAACCCACTCGGCCACTGCTTCGTCATCCTCGCCTCGCCTCCTTTACGTTTGCCAGCCTCGCCCCGCGTATCGATCTGTCGTGCATTATTATTGCTCCTGCCAGGTTGGGGGCCTTCCGGAGAAGCCGCAGACGGAGTACAAAGGAAGACGGACATCTCTTACAGCAGACTCGATCGTGAGAACTGCATCTAGTGACGGGTTTTCAGCACGCTGTCTGATCGAGACTTTCCCGAGCTCGCTGGAACGAGAGACTCGCGTTCTGCTTTCGTCCAAAATTTTCCCTTGCCGCCTGTTATCTTATCTATTGTTTGCAGACTTACCCCCCCCTTAAGGGAGCTTTGAGTACTTGCTCGACTTCATTTGACCTCAACAGAGACGGGGAGAGTTTCTACTCCTGGACTTGTATGTGATAGCAGGAGCTTGAGTCATTCCCCCGCGGCGTAGGAATCAACCTACCAATACCTTGCTGCCTATCGACCATATATATCATCGCCATGTCACGACCGGGTATGCGTCCCTCGATGGGCCCCAAACCAGGTCCTAGACCTCCGATGGGGCGTCTGGCCAGTCTCAAGAACCCGAATCCTGTTTCTATCAAGCGTCCGCAGTCTGTGACTCGCCCTCAGCCTACGAGGCCAACCACCCATCCCAAAACAACGACCTGCCCCAACCCCGGCTGTCCGGCGCCTCATATCGTCGAAGATGACGGACAGAAGGTTTGTTCCGGCTGCGGTACGGTCATCAGCGAGTCCAATATTGTCTCCGAGGTTACGTTTGGAGAATCTGCGTCCGGTGCTGCCATCGTGCAAGGTACCTTTGTCGGCGAGGATCAAACGCACGTTCGGAGCTATGGGCCTGGTTTCCAGCGCGGAGGAGGCATGGAGAGCCGAGAAATCACGGAAGCAAACGGTATGTACCTAGTAGCTCTTTACTAGGAAGACATTAATCTACCTATACTGACTGATATGGATAGGAAATCGATACATCACCCAACTGGCGAGGGCGTTGAATATCCCTGATAGCGCCATGAAGGCTGCCGGTCAGGTGTTCAAGCTGGCCGTAGGACTCAACTTTATCCAAGGTCGCCGGACGAGGACTGTGGCAGCCGTCTGTTTGTACGTTGCCTGCCGCCGGCAGGATGGAAATACTGTCATGCTGATTGACTTTGCAGACGTGCTAATGGTACGTGTCACCGTCACGAGGCTGCATCCCTCTTTTCTGATAGGTATTCTAACTGTGGCAGATCAACGTCTTCAAACTTGGTCGTACCTACAAGTCTCTTCTAGACGAGCTACGCCTAGGTGGCAACGTCTTTCTGATGAACCCCATCGACCCCGAGAGTTTAATCTACAGATTTGCCAAGCAGCTCGAATTCGGCTCGGCAACGATGCAAGTCGCCAGTGAAGCTGTCCGGATCGTTCAGAGAATGAATCGAGACTGGATGACTACCGGCCGACGCCCAGCAGGTATCTGTGGCGCCGCTCTGATCCTAGCAGCTCGGATGAACAATTTCCGCAGGACGGTTCGCGAAGTGGTGTACGTCGTCAAGGTGACCGAGATCACAATCAACCAACGTCTCAATGAGTTCAGCTCGACCGAGAGTGGAGAGCTCACGGTGGACCAGTTCCGTTCAGTGCAGTTGGAGAACTCCCACGACCCCCCTTCCTTCACTCGAGCACGAGATGGCAGGAAACCGTCTCGGAGCATTATCCGCAATGCCGCCGAGATTGAAGGTGACCTGCCGGATACCTTTTCAGAGCGACCTAGCCAAGAACCATCTGGGAGCAGGCGAGTTGACTCCGACGGTTTTGCCATCCCTGAGCTCCCCATCGACCCGGCCCTGACGGCGCCAAATCTCGAGCGGAGGCCGTCGATCACGAACATTGTAAACGAGATCGTAGCTGAAGTGGGCGAGGAAGCGGCTAAGCCCAAGATTGGCAGACCGAAGGGTTCCAAGAACGCGAAGCTCCCGCCACCGACGGCGGAGCAGGTGGCTTCGGAAGAAGCCCTGGAAGACGAGATGACCGCCTTGCTTTCTACGGGCTCCAACCTCATTGAAAGTGCCACGAGTACGGCGGCCCCCAATAATACCGACGAAGGCCGCAAGCCCATTTCCGAAAGCGCGGAAATCGATGCCGCCGAGTTCGAATCCGACCCGGAAGTTGCCAACTGTCTCTTATCCCCCGCCGAGGTTGAAATCAAGGAACGCATCTGGGTCCACGAGAACAAAGACTACCTCCGCACGCAACAGGCCAAGGCGCTGAAGCGTGCGCTAGAGGAGGCCTCAACCCGCCCTGGGGCGACCAAGCCTCGTAAACGGCGCCGCGGCCGGCTGGGTGACGTGACATACCTCGAAGGCGAGGGCGGCGAAGACGGCGACGGCCGCAGCACACGAGCTTCCACGCCTGCCGAAGCCACCCGTCGGATGCTTGAACGCCGGGGATTCAGCAAGAAAATCAACTACCGGCTCCTGGAGTCTCTCTTTGGGGAAGAAGGCGCCGCCGAGGAGGCTAAAGCCAAGGTCCAGGCAGAGAAAGACGGCCGCGGTACGCGCAGCCCGAGCGTGGCGGCGTCAGCACGCAGCATAAGCCTCGAGCCCGAGGGGATCGTCACCAAGCGTGCGCGGCTCTTGACCCCGTCAGCGACCGCGAAGCCTACCGTGTCTCCGGCGCCGGTAGTCACCGGCACCACTGCCGTCAAGCCACCGGCTGCGAACGAGGGCCATGTCAACGAGAAGGAGGAATACCCCGATGAAGACGACCCGGACGACGAGGAAGACGAGGAGGATGACAACGACGATGGCGACGATGTCGATGCTGCATTTGCAGGCACCTATGGCGACCGGTACTACGACGAGGACAATTACTATGATAGCGATTAACTAGCCTATAAATATAATAGATGATTGCAGTCTCAGCGTGAAAAATAGATTTCCAGACTTTTGAGTATATCATTATCCCTGAAGCCAACGGAGAAACTCGTCAATCAGACACTTTCGACATCCAGGGCCATACTGATCAAGATCTAGTTGACAAGGTCAATCTCGAAACTGCCAGTACCCTCTGATCCATCTAGCGACGCTGTCATCAATGCCCTGATGGATGTGACTGACAACCCTAGTTCATTTCTATCTACATAAATCGTAGGGATATGCATAATATGAAATATCTATTCTTCAATCAATCCCTCGCATCCTGCATCCTGACAGACAAGAAATCTCGAATGACAAACACATACTACATATACTACATTAGTACATCTAAAGATCGAGTCACATGACTATGCGCCCCTCTGTTGGGCTCCAGCCTCCAAGCTTTAGGCACACTACCTGCACACAAGGACATTTTCTCAAATTTTACTTTCTTTTCATTCTTGGAAAGGCTTTTTGATGAGTTTGAAGCGGAATGAAAACATGGTAAGACAAGGTAAGAAAAGGGAATAAAAGAGAAGAAGAAAAGAAAGAAAAACATAACTCCAGATTACGAACGTTAGAAGAGAGAGAAAAAAAAAGTAAAGGCGTGAGGTCGTTACGAGTCGATGTCCATTCCCGTCCCCATTCCTACGCCTTCGGTCATTCCAAGATTCCCAGACAGGTAGGTCGGCATGGGTACTGATTGCAGCAGGGGCGGATTGCTGTCTAGTGGAGAAGAGGAGGTGGAGGTGTTTTTATCCGCAGCGCGGAGGACCTGCGTTCCTTCGAAAGCCAGGGGCACGGATCGCAGATTGTGCAGGCAGATCTCCCATGTGGACCCGACAAGCTGGGCGGTATCGAGATCCTCGCTGAAGAGGTAGAACGCAGAGGAGGAGGAGGAGGGGCCAACGGGCTGCGCGGCGACAAGGTACGCGTTCAGGGCCCGGTTCTTCAGCAGGATGTGCGAGTCGTGCAGGTGCGCAGCGTACTGGTTGTCGATGTACTTTTTCCACCCGCGCACGGCGGCCGCAATATCTGTGTCGTCGTCGCAGATGCGTTGCCAGCTGATTCCTAGCAGACGCGTCGCGTCGTCGACTTGGGGTTCCATCGGGCCGGATCCAGACGACGAGGCAGCAGCGGTAGCCTGGTCAGCGGGGGTGTCGGTACGATTGCGGATGGCCGAGAGTGCGATGTCGTCAAGTCCTGGGGCCGAAGTGTCGAGCCGTTGCGACTTACGGCTAGGGAGAAGGCCCGAAGAGGGCACGGTGGAGGACCGCGACGAGACCGCCGGCGCAGCAGCCGCTATGCTTTCGACTTTTTCCTCGTACCAGGTCCCGGTCTGGCTCTCTGCGGAGAGAGCCAGACCCGTTCGGGGGTTGAGAAGCACCATGCCTTCTCCATAGATGGGTTCCTCTTCCTTCCGAGGTGCTACGACCGAGGACGAAGCTGTCTTGGTAGCAGCAGCAGTAGCAGTAGCAGCATAGGAAGACGCGAGACTGGACGGTTCACCGTCGTCGACTTCATCACGCGATCTCTTGCGTGACAGGCTGCTGCCGCCGCCGCCGCCGTTGCTTGCCTGCTTCCACGACAGAGCGTTGAATCCAGGGTTAGGGTATAGCGAAGAACCGGGTCCAGCAGGCTGGCTCTGGAAGGACCGTGCAGGCTGGGAGGCAGGGAATTGAACGAAGGCGTGTTCCTGGGGCGGAGAAAGGACAAGGGCCGGGCCGTCGGAGAGTCTGCTCAGGAGCATGGGACACATGGTGATGATCGGTGATGCGTGGTGATATGGGCGTGGACGTGGACGTGGACGTGGATGTGACGCGTTGAGTGTGATTGACGACGAGGGAACCGGCCTGTTCTGTCAGGTAAGCTATGCAATGGAGTGTGGAACCTCGGAACTGTCAAATCTGTATGGATGGACAGTGTGAAGAGCTCGTATGAGCTTAAGACGATGAGGGTGTGGATTGAACAAAGGATCAGAGGTACGGAGTAGTAAAGGAAGAAAGATGAGATGTGGGTGGAAGGAAAAAGATGAGATGTGGATGAGAGGAAGATTTCAAAAGAAGAGGAAGAGAAGCACTGGGGGAAGAGAGAGAGAGAGAGAGAGAGACGGATGCGGATCGATCAATTGCAAAAGGGCGCCTTGCCCGAGCTGAGGTCTGGCTCTGGGATGGATGGAGGAGATGCGGAGGTTACAGGGCGCTGAGCCTATAGGAGATGCCGGAGAAATATTACCTAAGGGACAAAGAGAGGTAAGGTACGGTACGGTAAGGGCTTTCTTGAAAGGTTGAAAGGGGATCCGGCCATGGCGAATCTGGCGTATTGGTACGGTCACACAGCGTACAATAATGACATGCATGATTGGCCCCAGTGGGGGGACTGGAGTGGGTCTTCCTCCTCGCTAAAAGAGCAACCCGAGCCGCGCGTTCGGCTCTCTGATTCGCTGAGCTTGTGGAATTAGCCTCAAGCACTTATCCACCTGCACCATTCACGCCTTGCACTGCTCGGCAGCTGATTGGCCTGCACTGGGGCTCCGCTGGGTTTGGCTGATGCCAATGGATGACTGGCATTCTCGCAACTCAAAACGAGCTGACTAAGAACCTGCCTGGGAAACGAGAAAGCTAGGTAGATAGTACGGCACTACAGAGGGAAAATATTTGGAATATTCTTTTGATGGTATATTCTATTATGTCAGTGGCCATCGCCCAGAATCCCACTCATAGAAGGAGAGAAATAAAAGGTATAGGGAAAAAAAAAGAAAAGAGAAAGAAAGAGAGATAGCCAGAGAGAAGACATATTCATAGCAGTCAGCGGTGGGCCACGGTATTCGAAGAAAGAATGACGGTCAGGTCTGGGGCATGTCGTAAGATTCGTCCTGTGCAGAAGAGACCCGTGCTGGCTGCATTCCCTGCGGCATGGTCGCCGTGGCCAGCTCATGGGGGGAATTTGTAGAGAGATAAGGAGGGGGAAAAAAGTTTTTTTTTTTAAAAAAAAAACCAGGGGGTTGAGAAACTTGCGAAGTTCACATCACCAACCGTCAACATACGGATAAATCAGGAAGAATCAAGAACTCTATCAGTGAGCGGGGGAGGGAAGCACTTCGCTCCTTCTATAATAAGCATAATTGAATCGTTCGACGGCGGGAGAGAGAGAGAGAGAGGGAAAAAAAAGCTTCAGGCTTAGGCAGTGCCGGCAGTGGCACCACCCAGCATGCCCTTGACCTGGGCGACGGAATCGGGAGCGTAGCTAGGGGCCATCGAGCCGATGAGGAGGAAGAAGATGAGGAGACCGGCGCCGAGGATGATGGCCTTGCGCTGCGTGGGGCGCTGGGCGCCGTACTCGGCCCAGGCGCGGTTGGCGTGTCCGGCGTACTCCTTGATCTTGTCACCGCCGAGCTTGTAGTAGACGAGGCCGATAAGAGCGATGGAGTAGCCGAAGAACTGGAGGCCGGTGACGGGGGTGTTCCAGATCATCATGGAGGCGACGACGAGGAGGATATCCTTGAGAACACCGCAAAGGGTCATGACCAGGGAGGAAGTCTTGCCGATCAGGAAGACGACGGAGACGTTGAGCAGGAAGGCGACGACGGCGTTAAGAAGTAGGGTCCAGACACCAACGCGGTAGACGTGGTCCATGGTGACGTTGGGCACCTCGATGAAGAGGGCGGTGACACCGTTCATGACGGCGCAGACGGGCGCGAAGTAGTAGAGCGAGACGAGCGGGTCCATCTTGAACTCGGCGGAGCTGAGCAGGCGCTGGACCATGACCAGGCGGGTAGCCTCGAAGACGATACCGCCGAGCTGGAACAGGAAGCCGATCAAGACGAACCTGATCTCACCGAACGAGGCGATGATGACACCAACCACAATGATGGACACGTTCATCAGCACCTTCAGGTTGACCGGCGCCATGCCCATGCCCCAGGTGGCGAACAGGACAGCAACAGGAGTAGTGGCCTGGACGAAGTCAGCTTCTTACTCTTCCTTTTTGCTCTACTCCCCCCCCCCCCCCCGGAAAGAACTCCTCCCACGTACCTTTAGCATCTGGATAAAGGCGACACTCAGATACAGATAGGTGACATTTCCGCAGATCAAACTCAGAGAGAAGAAAAGACCGATGGGAACGATCGCACGCAGATAGACACGTCCGGTCATCTTGACCGTCTTGCGGCCATCGAGCAGGGTAGTCGTCCGCGCCAGAATCTGGGTCATGAAGGTCGCAAAGGCCAAGTGCCATGTTGTTAGAATGATAGCTAGCGAAACGTTAGATCTCGGTGGTATCAAGAGGGAAGAGAGAATAGAATCGGAACATACGGAAACCTAAAGACAGAACGTTAGTCACTCATCATCATTCACTTCTCATATAAGCCATGCAGTGTCTTACGGAATTCAGCGTAGTCGAGGATGTGCTTGTTGAAGAGAATAACGCTGGAACTCAGCGTGATCCAGACCCTAGACCCAGTCAGCTACTCCCGACCACTCCTTTCTGATATATAACAGCGGTAAATGGCGTCTCACGTCACATAGAGGGCGGGATGAAACGCGGCCTTGGGAGGCTCTCTCTTCTCAACCGCGGGGTTGACGGTTGGCAGGGTAGGCTCGGCGCGGGAGACCTCGCCGGAGGTTCTGACCTTCTCGCCGTCGGAACTCATGTTGCGAATGATTCGAGACTGTTCGGAGAGAAAATTCTGGAAGTCGAAAGGTCGCGGCCGGGCAAGGCTGCTTTTGCCGAACGATAACGAGGCCAGGAGGGCGGTCTTAACGGGGAGGGGGGGGTGGGTTGAAAGGATAGTAATAGAATAGAGTACTTTTGTAAAGAAGAAAAAGAAGAAGAAAAGAATGCAAAAGAAGGGAAGCGTAGGTGAAGGAGTGTCGTCTGAGTTGGCTCAAGAATGGTCAGAATGCAGAGGGAAGAGATTCGGATCGGGACTGCAAGACAAGCAAGCGGAGGAGGAGGAGGGGGAAACGGGGTCAAGGGATGGGATGGAATGGAGTACGGATAACACGCACCCCGGTTCAGGTTGTTTTGAATTTCTCTGTGACCGTCAGCGTCCACAACACACAGGAATGAAATAATATTATTATTTATTGTTTAGGGGGAGGCTTGGAGGAGAAGATCCAGGACCCGCCGACCCGCTCAGCAGACAGAGAACGATCGCTTTTGGGTCGCCTTGACTTCCTTGGCTGGGGGCACTGACATTCACGGACTGGACTCCAAGGTGGAATCACAGAGTTTAGGGGCTGGGGGTCGCAGAAGCTTCGAATTTTGAAACGCCTGACGGGGGTTTCAACTCTCGATCGTGCTTTTTGTTTGCCCTTTTTTTCTGGTCTTAATTTTGTGCCGGTTGAGCGGTGGGGGTGAGTGGCTGTTCTTCCACAGGCTGGGATTGCGGCCTGCGTCACTCGTGGCGAGCGGGAGACTCGTACGTGCTACGTAGACACTCTGAGACGGCTTACGAAGGGACCCTTGGAGCAGGTTAAATAGACGGCTGGCATGTACTTCTGACTCGGTACAACTCTCCGGGTACAACCTCAGTGCAGATGTGTTTACCACTATACAGGATACTCCTGAGTAGTAGTGGTAGTAGCTAGTAGCTACCAGCTGGGAAGAGTAACCCGATGCTCCACAGAAGGCCCATGTGTACCTGGAAGGCTGCAAACGTCCGCGGGAAAGGAAGGGTTCTGTCTGTGTGTGTATCACTGTATGGACGTACTATGTACTCCGTAGTATATTCCGTAGTATACTCCGTAGTAAACTGCGTGCCTGAGTGGACTCTATCACTGGAGGATTGGGTTGGCGCCAAATTGAGCAATGATGGCAGCATCCAACGTTATCGTCGAAATCCCCGGCCGCTCATTCGATCTCGCGGGCCCTCTTACGCATGCAGCTGTTAGGCCAAGAATGATGGCGCTTTTTTTTTGTGTTTTTGATTTTTTCTCTTGTCAGTTCGGGCCACTTGTCCAAAGCGTGGTGCTGGTCCCTTGCCGGGTGGAGAATGCGGCGATCGGGAACATCCATCTGACGGTTTGTAGTACTCCGTAGAGACCCATCGTATCCAGAGGACTACCGTGAGCAGACTCGTAATACGGTAAAAATGTATCCCAGACTGGCTTCCAGTAGTCCAGCAGGGCCTTGGATAGCTTGACTAACAGTAACTCCGTCAACACCAGGGTATATCGTATCGGCTCACCTCCCCGACATCAAGCTTTTTTTTGCGTCTGGTTGCACCCAGCACTCGGAGTAGCGATCATCCATTGATTGCACCGCGCTCTGATCTCCCAGACATTGCCTTGTTGAGACGACTGCGGCGAGGACAATTACTGATCAGTGGACCCTGTCCCATTCGTATGTCTGTGGGTTTTCCAGGGCTCTCGCTGAAGATCGTTTATGAGAGAGAGACAGAGGAAATTATTGAGGCCGCCCATCCTCCTTAATTTGGAACGCCTGCGAGGCAACGTGTCTGTCGGTTGTAAGACGTCGGTGGCGTGGCCATGGATTATTGTCAAAATCAATCGGACGGACTCATCGAGTGCTCCGACCCCATCCATCCTTTAGGGCAAATAATCTTGAGGAAATCAGGAAGATAACGATCTGTGTACTTGGTATTTATCAACTAACTAACTAGTAGTTAGTTGGCTACTCCGTAGTTGCCAGTACGGAGTAAACAAAGTACTCCGTACTTCTAGGGAGTCATAATTGCCGACGGATGGATAGGAAGGATAGGTAGCTGTACAATGGAAAGTAGGCAGCTAGCTAATTGCCAATAATACCTAACAATTACGAAAGTAATTGCTCGATCGATAGGCAACTCCTAAGGCACCAGGAGTAATTAGTTAAACTAGTCCTTCGTACAAGACGCAAACGAAGCCATCTCACATTCTTCCTTGTCGTACCAGGCTGGAGCCTGGAGGGAGAGCTGCTAGCGGCCCTGCCAGGAACGTGTCTTGGTCGTCAAATCAAGACTTACCAGAGGCCTCCGTGCTCTAGAATCATTTGCTTGTGTTCGAGAACCAAAGCGTCCAATATCCGTGTTACACCCCCTTTTAGAGTAGTGTTTGGCCGCGAGCGTCGGAAGGTAAATTTGAAACAGGCACACAAAATCCCCACAGGCTCTGCTGCTCGTCACGTTCTCCCGACAGATAGACAAAGTTACCTCCACCTTGACACTTCCACCGCTTCACCTCCTTTCCCGCCACCCCTCCTCTCCTCCTCCTCCTCCTCCTCCTCCTCCTCCTTCCCTCGACTTCTTCTTCTGCAGTTGTCTGCAGTCTTTTTCCTTTTCTATGCTGAGCCTCGCCCGCAAGACTCTTAATCGCGTTCCAAGCTTTCAGGATCTTCTCCAAGGCAGGATGTCCCACCCCGATATGTAAGTCAGGTGGCGGTGACAGACAGACAAGACAAGCTGAACCATCCAACTAATCAACCATCTCCTCTCTTGATCAGTTCCGTCGATGTTCTCGTCATCGGTGCAGGCCCAACTGGCTTGGGTGCTGCAAAGCGATTGAACCAGATCGTATGCTTGCTTTTCCCCCTCCGCGCGGAGAATTATCCCTCCCCTCCCCCCACCCTCCCGTGGTGGCAGGTGAATAACCGTTTGGAAAAAAATTATAGAATGGACCTTCATGGTTGATCCTCGACTCCAATGAGATCCCCGGTGGTCTGGCTTCTACCGATGTCACCCCCGAAGGCTTCGTACGCCCCCCCCCCCATGTGAACTATGATTGAGCGATAAGTCTTGCAAGCTAACAATGCTTGCAGCTCTACGATGTCGGTGGCCACGTTATTTTCTCCCACTACAAGTACTTCGATGACTGCCTCAACGAGGCCCTGCCCAAGAAGGATGACTGGTACGACCACCAGCGCATCTCCTACGTCCGTTGCCAGGAACAGTGGGTGCCGTACCCCTTCCAGAACAACATCTCCATGCTTCCCAAGGAGGAGCAGGTGAAGTGTATCGATGGCTTGATCGATGCCGCGCTCGAGGCCCGTGTCTCCAACACCAAGCCCCAGAACTTTGACGAGTGGATCGTCCGCATGATGGGTACTGGTATCGCCGATCTCTTCATGAGACCTTACAACTACAAGGTTTGGGCTGTGCCCACAACCAAGGTAAGATATTACCTGTCTACCTAGCTAGCATATTCATGGCATCAGCTAATAGCCCATCAGATGCAATGCGCGTGGCTCGGCGAGCGTGTCGCTGCCCCCAACGTCAAAGCCGTGACCACCAACGTCATTCTCCAGAAGACTGCCGGTAACTGGGGTCCGAACGCGACCTTCCGCTTCCCCGCGCACGGCGGTACCGGTGGCATCTGGATTGCCGTTGCCGACACCCTGCCCAAGGAGAAGACCCGTTTCGGTGACAAGGGCAAGGTTGTCAAGGTCAACGCTAACCAGAAGACCGTGGTGCTGCAGGATGGCACCACGATCGGCTACGGAAAGCTCGTCTCCACCATGTCTGTCGACTTCCTCGCCGAGCAGATGGGCGACCAGGAGCTCGTTGGTCTGACCAAGCAGCTCTTCTACTCCTCCACCCACGTCATCGGCGTTGGTATCCGTGGCAGCCGTCCTGACAGAATCGGCGACAAGTGCTGGGTGAGTAATTTTCTTTTATCAAGAACTTCTCAGCTAGAGCTTTGCTAACCATACCACTCACTAGCTCTACTTCCCCGAGGACAACTGCCCCTTCTACCGCGCGACCATTTTCTCCAACTACTCTCCCTACAACCAGCCGGAGAAGTCGAAGAAGCTGGCCACGCAGCAGCTGGCCAACGGATCCAAGCCCGCGACCACGGAGCCCCAGGAGGGCCCTTACTGGTCGATCATGCTGGAGGTGTCCGAGTCGTCGATGAAGCCCGTCAACCACGAGACGCTGCTGGCGGACTGCATCCAGGGTCTAGTCAACACGGAGATGCTGCGTCCCACGGACGAGATCGTGTCGACCTACCACCGCCGCTTCGACCACGGCTACCCGACCCCCTCGCTCGAGCGTGAAGGCGCGCTGACCCAGATCCTGCCCAAGCTCCAGGAGAAGGGCATCTGGTCGCGTGGCCGCTTCGGCTCCTGGCGCTACGAGGTCGGCAACCAGGACCACTCGTTCATGCTGGGTGTCGAGGCTGTCGACAACATCGTCAACGGCGCCGTCGAGCTCACCCTCAACTACCCCGACTTCGTCAACGGCCGCCAGAACACGGAACGCCGTCTTGTTGACGGTGCCCAGCTGTTTGCCAAGGGTGCTTGATAGACCTTTTTTTTCTATTTCTTTTTTTTCCTTTTGTCTAACCAAATCACGAGTTAACTATTTAGATAAAATCCGTTTAATAGAATGTGGATACCAAATTTTGGACTCAATCTATCGTAGTCCGGTTGATCTATACTATACTATCGCCGGACGGTATAAAACATCGTAGTAACCAACCTATATACCCTCTATATTGACTTGAAAGGTTTATGATGAGAAGTCGTCAACGCTAATTTCTGTTGCTGTGTTCGTTGACCTCGCCGCTCAGTGAGAGGCGAGTAGCATGCCATGCTACTTGATATTCCAAGGCGAAAGAGATACTCCAAATTTTTTATTCCCCAGCAATACCAGCATTAGCAGCCAGTCTAATAATTACTAATAACAGCCGACTAGAAGGTAAAGAATCGGCAATTAGGTACCCAAGACGATGGAATTACTGCACCACACCAAGTGGGCGTGTTAGAGCTGCGCACACAGGCAATCTTCAAGAGCGACGATATCTGCATCTGAAGCGATGACTGGAAGCAGCTCTCGCCTGAAACTTGCGGCCTCCAAATGTATCTTCGACTGCTGTATCTACAATCGCTTGGATCATGGGATGACTGATGACTACCTTGGCCTGAGAGGACCCCCAAGACCAGTACCGGTATGACGCTGGAGCAATTCTCTGCTACCCTCAAGAGGAAGCATTTCACAATAGGGAAGGAGTGGGGATTGTTTCTGGGAATGTCTGTCTGTAACACAACTTATACTCCTAATTTACTTTGTCTATTCACTAGTTAGTCTTGTTTTCTTTTTTCTATTTAAATATATACACTAGTAGCTCTTATAAAAGTAGATTCTAATGAATTGAGCATCAAAAGCTGGCTATTATATTAATAGTCTTTTATTCTATAGTATAATGACAGATAAGACATTCTCCATAAATAAAAATAGTCTGTGGCACAGCATTGCATTGCGTTGCAGGATATCCTATTATTTATATTTACCCTGATATAGGAGTAAGCAGAGTCCCACTAACTAGTAATCAGTAATTCCTCTATGCTTTTATTCAAGATAAGAAATTCCATGGTTCATGGTGGATATATCGTAGATCAGGCCAGGCACGTCGTGTTTCTTTCCGTTTGCGGATGGTCTCAAGTTCGATCTACAGAGCCAATATCGAGTTGACAGAATGGATTTCATTTTTTTCAGTTTCCCATGGAGGCTAGTCCTAGGTTATCCTAAGTCTCAAGTATGATACTGTAAGCATATCAGAATACCGAATCACTGAACCCCAAATATCCCGGCAAACTCCGAGTTGAACATCATCTCGTCTTCCTGTTCCTCGGCATCTACACTTGCGATAAGACGGTCGTAAAGAACCATAAAACCGGCGGCCGCCAAGGCAAGGCGATCGGGATCTGTCCTGGACAGCAGACAGCCAGATGAACCGGGGAGGTTGTGCTCAACTTGAGATCCACTGGGTTGGCCGACGCTATCAAAACGGTCATTGGTCTCGACTTCAGCAATGCCTGGGAGATCACCGCGGGGATCGATGTTTTCCTTGTTATCAAAATAATAGTTGCTTTCAACTTCAGAGTCAGTTGAGAGTTGACGGTGGTGAAAAGCACCATTGACTCCCACAGTCCGAGGAAGGGTGGGGGGGTATTGACCGCACGGGTCAATGTTTTCCTTGTTATCAAAATAATCATCGACCTCCGTAACTTCAGGATTGGTAGTTTCCACGTGGCAGAGAAAATCACCAGTGTTCATGGCTGCAGTTGCTCTATCCTGTCTCTTGGCAGTACTTCTAGGAAAAATGGGGTAGTACCCATTTTCGGTGGCCTCGTGTTGGCCCGAGAGGTCCATAGGCATTTGCTGACGGGGGAGGAGGCCGTTGTTTGTATGGCCGGCCGCCGAATCGAACGCTGGGTTGCTGTTTTCTGAGCCAACTCGAATGGTCTGCGTATTCCACTGGGAATAAGGGCAAGATGATCCAACTTCTCCAGAAGGATCATTGGCAAACCTGGTCCTTTCAAAGCTCGTGGGAAAATACAGCCTTGACGCATTGCGGGAAAGAACAGACTCCATCGATGACTGGACCCGGTTGCCCTGCATCGAGAGACCGGCCATCTCGGAGTCCGAAGCAGAGTATCCTGGGACGAAACTCTGATTCCAAGGCATTTTCACAATTTCAAAGATACTACCGCTATGGCCTGCAGGATCTGATCCAGGGTTAGCCACGTGTAGAGCAAGGCCTTTTTAGGTAAAATACCTAGCTCGTGGTGGTGATGTCTTCGAACAACCAACGCCCAACAGAGAACCTGTAGATTCAAAGACCAATGACCAGATACCAACAATGCGACATCCCCGTGTTCAGACAACCTAAGGGACGATGGATCGCAGATTGCCGTCCAAGACACCCTCGCAGGTGGTAGATGGAAGAGAGGAAAAGCCCTCGAGATTTGTTGCGCGGTCGTGTCAGTGACGCGTGCAGAGAGGGCAAACACATGGTGCTCGATGAAGTCTTTCACAGGAAAAATTTTCACAGATCCTACATTAAACACTTCAGCCTGCCCACTTCCACAACTCTGATCACTGTCTGATGGCTGCTGCAGATTCTTATTGTGAACTAACTCATAGCCAGCAGTCTCCCCCTGAAGAAATGAAGCACGCCCCTCGCGACACTCGGTATATGACTCTTGCTGGCTGACAACAGACTCGAAATCGTCATCTGAATCTGCCTCGGAGCCTGGCACTTCGGGCGAAGATGAATTCTCGGAGGAATAGAACGAACCAAAAAACCGGGCGTCATCCTCGTCGCTGTCCGGGCCTCCCAGGCTCAGTCGTTCGAAGGGAGTAACCACGCTGTAGCGAAGCAGTGCTCGCTCTACCGCGCACTGTATGTCCTCCTGTGTCAGCCAAATGCTAGTCGCTGGTGACCGAATCATTATCGTTCTGGCTTGTACATAAGGGAGCTGACGAGTATCTCAGAGCAGCCAGTGTACGACCGAACCGGCCAAAAACGCTTCTCTCGCCCATTTCTCTTCAATCCCAATCAACCCTATACCAAGCAAGAGCGAGGAGGCACAGGCTGCTGTCGTCTGGAAGGAACGACCGCTTCTGTCGGTTCCTGTGGTGGACATTTGCACTCTCAATCCCTATAATATATACGCCTTAGAGTAAATGTATATATATGTGTACTTGAGGTATAGCTATACCTGGGCAATGGGATCCCTTAGATTACTCTCTGTTCTGTTATTTTTAGGAGAGCCTCTGGATGCCTTTTCCCAGTGAGGCTCAGTCACAGTAGGCAGCCGCCATCAGCCGAGAATAGCCACCAGATGTACCGCGGGCGAATGTCATCATCAAGAAGGGATCTTCCTGGACACCCTTGGTCGAGAGTACGTATGTGTGTGCGTGTGTAGGTGGTGGTAATAGTGGTGATGGTGGGATGCTGCGTTGGCAGGCGTAGAAAAAAAAAGCGGGTGGCAGAGCAGCCCCTAAAGGCAGGACGTCTGGCCAAGGAGTAACAGTAACAGCCCGTCCTCTCCTCCTCTCCTCCAGCAGCAGCAGCAGCAGCTCTGCAAACCTCCGCCGTCACCCCCGTCCGACCTCTCTCATACCCCTATCGAAGCGATCGTCGAACCTTCTCTGACTGTTCTTTTTTGACCGTTCTGTTTTAGCCTCGTTCTGTGCCTGTGTTATTTCGATCGGAGCCTCTTCCACCGACCCTCCTCTCACTCGCTCGATCGGGGTATACCATGCCTCCACGCTCGCTGCGATCGCCGCCATAGTCTGTCGGCATTCGTTTCGAGTCTCCTGTCGAGTCCTCTGCCGCTGAGACTTACAAGGGAGCTTTTCTCAGGCGCTCTGGTGGTGTTTTCGCTGGCGACGCGACGGACTCTTCTCTGACCTCCGCAATTTGCACGCAAGAAACCAACCCCCCTCCTTTCCGCCCCCTCCCCCTCTTCATCCTACACCACTACGGTCGTCGGTCGTGAACGATAAATAGCTCGCCATGGACGGAGATCTTAGTCTGTCTCAGTCCTTGGGGGGTCTTCGGATTGCAAATCCGGATGACTCTTCGCTGCACTCGTCCGATGACGCGGCAACGTTCCCTCCCGTGCCCGCGGAGGAATCGACGCCTTCACAACCACTGACTGTCCAAGACCCCGCTCCTCCCCAACTGCCACCGCTCACACTGTCGTCAAATGATGAGGATCGAAGTGCTGTGTTGTCCTCAGATCCTGTGGACTCGCACGCTGGCGATAGCGGCAGCAGCAGCAACAACAACAGTCGGAACCCAGTGTCCTACGCCGCCTATCCAGACACGCAAAACACCGCACCGTATGCCACCTATAACACCACACAGAACACCGGTCGCCCGCTGTCCGTTATATTTTCCAACGGTTCTTCCTCTACTCTTGCCGCCCGTGAAGGTTCGTATCGGATCCGTACAGACTCGGCTGCCTCGTCCGCGTCGGAAAGCTTGGCACGTGCTGAGTCTCGAGGCGGCTCAGCTGCCTTCCAGGCGGGCGTTCCGGTCAGGGATAATAGTCACAGCGATCGATCCTACCGAGGGACGCACTTCCCTGCAGGTAACGGACCCATGGTGATGCGGCAGCCCTCGCGGGCCCACGCTCGCCCCGGAGGTGCGTCGCAGTTGCAGGGCTCCCCATATACGATGGAGAACGGCCCACCGGCTAGCAGTGAGGAATGGCAGGATCGTGGTGCTGCCGTGGCCGTCAAGCAGGAGCTTGATGCAAACGGGAAGCCTGTCTCTCGCTTCATCAAAAAGGGTGTGCGGGACTTTTCCTTTGGTCAAACGCTTGGAGAAGGCTCCTACAGCACCGTGGTCTTCGCCACGGACCGTCAGACACTCAAAGAATACGCCATCAAAATTCTCGACAAGCGACACATCATCAAGGAGAAGAAGGTTAAATACGTCAACATCGAGAAGGATACCCTCAATCGACTGACGGAACACCCGGGCGTCGTACGGCTGTATTATACCTTTCAAGATGAGCGGTCGCTCTACTTTGTTCTAGATCTATGCAAAGGAGGAGAGCTCCTCGGCGTGCTGAAACGGATGACCACGTTCGATGAGGAGTGTGCCCAGTTCTACGGTGCCCAGATCCTCGACGCAATCGACTACATGCATAAATGTGGCGTCATCCATCGCGACTTGAAACCGGAAAACGTCCTCTTGGACAGCCAGATGTACATTAAAATCACCGATTTTGGTACGGCCAAGATTCTCAAAAGCGCTCCCCGACCGGACGAAAACAAGAATGGCATGCCCGCACTCGATGCCGCCGGCTTTCCGGAGGAAGAACGAGCAAGCTCCTTTGTGGGGACGGCAGAGTACGTTAGCCCGGAGCTGCTCACGGACAAGAATGCCTGCAAGGCCAGCGACCTGTGGGCCTTTGGGTGTATCATCTACCAACTCCTCGCCGGTCGCCCTCCATTCAAAGCGGGGAATGAGTACCAAACGTTTCAAAAGATCGTCGCTCTCGACTATGAATTTCCCATCGGCTTTCCCCTGGTCGCTCGTGACCTGGTGGAAAGACTACTAGTCCTGGACCCGGCACGACGGCTCCCCATCGAGCATATCAAGAACCACGAGTTCTTCAGCGGCATAACCTGGGGGCCTGACCTATGGAAACGAAAGGCGCCCCGTTTAAAGGCCTATGTCCCCCCTCCCCGCGAGCCAATTAAACTGAACGGCAACAATGGCGACAGCTTCCCTCCTAGCATCTCTACGGCCCCCTCGAATGCACCCAAGGCCGCCGCCTCACGACAGCTACCGCGAGTCGTCACCGAGCTTCCACCTCCCAGTCAGCTGGATATTGAATGGTCGCCGGTGCTCACTAAATCCAATGAACGCATTCTGAAGCTCGGCAATCTCATGGTGACCTCGTCCCCGGCCGCGCATAGCCCTGCCTCGAGGAATAGCAACGGGGAGTACGAGACCCCCAAGAAGTTTTCGCGGTTTTTCGGCGGCAGTGCTAGCAAGAAGCGCCAGCGCTTGGTGATGGTCACTTCATCTGCGCGGATTATCATCGCTGCAGCTGGGGGGGAGGAGAAGAAGGCGAAGCTGGAGGTCTCTCTTCTGGCGCCTGGTGTGCAATACCGCAGTGTTACAGACTCCAAGGGGTTTTCGTCGTGGATCGTGGATACGGTAAGAACGAATTTTCTTCAATGTCAAAGCATATTATCTAGTCATGGGGTTCATGTTCTTACTTTTCTTTTTGAATCAGCGCGAGAAACATTTTGTCTTCGAAGACGCCAAACCATCGTCCAGCAACATTGGAGCCACCGCCCTGTCCACGCAAGAATGGCTGGACACACTAGACCGGTCCCGCGAGATTGGTCTGTCGCAGCAGGCTGGTGGATCGTATTCCGCAGACGAAGCGTTTCGCGACCTCTCCTCCGGTCTCTCCAGCCAAACCACGACGCTTGACCGCAGCTCCGACATGCAGACGGAGAACACATCAGTCGGGCGGGCAACGCTCGTCAAGAACCAAGGGGGGGATTCGGAGTCAATGAAGGGGAAGAAACGATTCAGCAGACGCCATTCCAAGAACGGCCTTGCTGCAGTGTTCTAGTCATTTTCATCAAAGACCACCCCCCTTCAAATTCCAATGCTACTCTCACACCAGAGCGGATTCGTTTCTCCTACCTACCGGGTCCAGCTCTTGCCATCCTCAACTCCTCTTTTTCCTTTGTGGGTTTCATGGAGTTTCTCAGCACTTTTCTCGAACTGCATTATCTCTGTTTTGCAACGATGAGCGTGTTTTTGAAGAGATTGCCGCATTTAGATCGGAGGGAGCAATGCATTTCTTTATTTCCATTTGTCTTCTCTGTGATCATCCTTTTTTTTCGTTTCCCTTTCCTCGCTGTCACTTGTGTTTTTTCCCCTCCAGCCTCTCGAAGATCGTTCCCACAAAGTGACTCGCTTCGGTTCTTCTTTGCTATCATCTTCCATCCATCCTATATCCCCTTTGTTCTACGTCCCCAATCTGACTGACCAGCCAAACACCTCGACTTTTTCTTCTCCGGATCTGTTCTTCATTCCTGTCACATAGCTTTCGTTTTCTTTTCTTCTTCTTTTCCTCTTTCACGTTCACTTTTTCGTGGTCAGATAGTGGCTTACTCTTGCTCCTCATAATCTCCTCCTAGGCTCCATCTCCCCCTTGACCTTTTCTGTCATCCCCCCTACTCTTAATTCCAGCCACATAACATATTTTTACTTCTCTTGCTTATCACCGGCAAATGTGATAGATAGAATAGTCTCGTTCAGCCTGCTAGCAGTCTGACTTGAATCATTCTAGGTTATTCAATTCATTACCAGTAGAACCTCTGGTTCTGGTTAACTAGTTACTAATAGGGGCCTAATGATGTAAAATGTATCTCTCGGAGCTTTCCATTCAAAATGTACTTTTTAGCTAATTATTGGTCCTGACCTTAGGTATCATAAATCGTCTATCCATAAGAGATCCAACGCCGACCGAAATACAAACACACACATGTAAATAAATAAACAAACATATATATATATTAAGGGCTGAAATTGAGAAGAGAAAGGGGAAGTTGTTGAAAGCTTATATAAACAGCCAATCGATGCGGGAATCGCCCAATTCCTGGATCCAGTTGAAGTCATCCAAGAAGGCGGAGGTGGAGGAAGAGCTGATGGTGGAAACGGGCGAGTCAGGAGAAGCGGGTAGGTGGTGGTGGCGCTGGGAATCCTGTTTTTGCCACATGATGCTGAGGACCCAGGCGGCGTTGTTGACGTTGACGCTGCTCATGGCGCGGTAGAGGGCGTTGAGGCGTTGGAGGACGATGGCGCGGTGGGATGGGTGGCGGCACTCTGCGCCCGCGATGAAGGTGGGCCAGATGAGGCCCTTGAAGTGCGGGTCCGTTTCGCCGATGGCGGTGAGGTGGTAGACGAGTTCGTTGGCAATCAGGGCGTGGTCGGCGGGCAGGGCGAAGCCGATGCCGCAGTAGGCGCTGGTGAAGACCCGGCTGACGTACAGGTATACGGCGGCCTTGTAGGCGGCTGCCAGGGCGATGCGTGGCGACAGGTCGGCCAGGTAGAGGCAATGCTGCATGCCCTCGGCCCAGGGGATGGGCTCGAAGGCTTTGATATGGTCCAGAAGGGCTCTGGGCGACTTGAGAGACGCGGCTCCGGCGGGCGCGAACGACGAGGAAAACACAAACGTTGGCCGTACGTGCAGGCTGTCTTCCGAGTCTGAGTACCACTGCGTGTGGACGAAAAAGATCACTTCGAGTAGATAGGCCGGACATCCGACCCAGGAGGTCTCTTCGAGGCGTCGCAGCATCGGCCCGGTCGACGCGGAATAGAAGGGTTTTGAAAGAGCTCCAGGTCGGGCAAGGGTGGATCCCATAATCTCGAGGCTAGCTCTTTGGTCAGTCTGGATGAAAAAGAGAGAGAGAGAGAGAGAGAGAGAGAGAGAGAGAGAGAGGCCAAAGCAGAGGGTAATACTTACAGCAGACAGCCGTCTGTGACGAAGGTGTCTAATCCATCAATTAAGCTCCGGTGGTGTCCTATCTGCTGTCTATTTTTGAGCAACTTTTTCGCCCCTTCCAGGTGACATTTCCAGGCGCCGCTGCCGGATTCAAAGGCATCCAGGACAGCAAGGACAAGAATCGCTGCTACGGTTCGGTCATCATTTTGTAGTAGAGGATCGCGGAGATCCTGAGACAGCTGGCGAAGAGCACGGTGCTTGAGACTCAAGAAATGTTCATAGACCTGCGAAACGGGCTTCCGAGATATGACGTTTGCCACGACACTGTCGAAATCAGACTGGAGCAGCGATCTTCCAGCCGGGCTGGGATTGTTCGAGGGTGTCCACGGCAAAGAGGGCAGGTCTCCATTTGCGACAAGCGCATAGTGCACGGCTCCCGTGGCTGTCAGGGAGTATGCCAGCACGGGGGATTCGCCTATTAAAGTGATCAGATCGAGATACGGGTTCTTCACGTTGGGATAAAGAGCGAAAATGCCCACAACAGATTGGCTGTCTGGAGCGGGGAAAAACAGCAGTCAGTAATTGCCATGCGGAAGCTCAGAAGAAAGTCTGGTCTCTTACAATGGGAGAGATAGAACCTGGAAAGTGGACTGAAATCCTTGAACAGAGGATCGATCAAGCTTCTCGGCGCAGGTGTATAGTTCGGCTGATGATAGGCCGAAGGAATATCGGGGAGCTCAACAGCCACTTCTTCAGAGTCGAAGAAGCCGGAAGATTCATCGAGAAAAGCCGTAGTCGGAAGCAGACAAGAGCCAGCATTCCGAGGCACCCCTGGTGTGAGACTGTCTCGGCTTGCCGCGGTGAGAATGATCTCAGTAGTCGGAGCAAGGCTATCTTTGCTGCTGCCCTGCGAGGAGCCCATCGTGGTGTTGGAGGCCGTGTCCTTCACACCGGGGTTGGTCTCTATATCATCGAAGCTCCGGCCCATCATCTTCCCCCGGCTGGCAACACCACCCTTGACCCAAACCAAGGGCTTCTGATAACCGAGACACTCTTTGCCTGCATCCCGACATTTCCGACAGGTCGGGAGCCCGTTGTCACAGATGATGCGCCGGCGACGGCAGGTATAGCAGCCTTTTGTCATTGCTGACGGACCCGCAAGAGTAAGGAAATCGCCGAATTCAATAGAACCAAGTCGTTCCAGACGTCTGCGCAGAAAGGGCGCTCTCCATCCTCGACGAGGGTCAGGAAGTAACGGGAGCGTGTGTCAGTAGCGGGCTTCGCCGATTCATTGCGCTACGTCAAGCAACGCGGGACTTCAGGGCGAAGACACGACGGTCATGACGGTTAATTTGGAGAGAGACAAGCGAGTGATCGAGGGGAAAAAAGAAAAGCAAACCTCTGCGAGAGGCGAGAATGATCGCTGACTGCTGCAGAAGCACCTGCAGTGCAGTGGGGAGCGACGATGACACAGAAATTAGTCAGCAGATAAGAGTCTCGTCACATGATGGCTGGCATGTGATCATCTCGCTTTCGCGCTAAGCCGGATCGGAGCTATCGATCGATGCTGAAGTCCTCTGTATGAAGAGATAGACAGTCCACAGTTTGTACAGACTCTACAGACTCACAGAGCACAGCAGTCTGTACGTAGTGGAATGCAAAGTACAGACAAGCTCGATCTCTACCTTTTACTGGCTCTCTAGGTTGTACAATCTCATACTGGAGTACATTTGAATGGAGTCAAACTGATGTGAACCATCACAACGTCTTATTCAGAGTAAGTCATGCTATTTTACTCTAAATATCCTATTCTGACGGCCTCTTAGAAACTATTGGGAGTGTTTCTCCAGTAGCTTTGTCCTTTGTATGGAGTACTTACAGTGTACTCCGTATCATCCGTATACGGTGGATCCTCATACTCATAGGCTGACAACTGGAGCTGCTGCAACAAACCGACCACTCTTAGCGAGGAGCAGCTGAGTCAAGCGTCAAGCGTCAAGAGGTAAGTTGTTGACCATAGCTCAGTATTATTATTGGGCGATATACTGATCTGATCCACAGTTCAGCGCTGATACGGAGGACAGAGCACGGAGTACTTGGTAGGCCTCCAGTAGGCCAAACGGACTGAGCATACCACCTACCTGGGGACTTCACAAAGACCATGGGCTTAGAACAAACCTATTGACGATTTTCTCAGTCACCCAGAGTCAGGTAGAAGACAAACCAACGCAGAGAAGAGGCGAAGGGGGGGCTTTGGTGGGCGCTAGGTTTTGTCCTAAGCGGGAGGCTCAGCTTCTCCTGCACGCTGGACGCCACTCGCCATCTTGCCAACGAGTGGGAATTTCCCTGCTTTTTTTATCAGGGCTATTATTTACCTACAAGCAGAGCACTGCTACTCCCCGAGGGCGCTTCACAGCCACTTTTTCCCTCTGTCTATCGATAACGCCCCGAAAAAACCGGTGTGTCCACTGTCCGCTGTCTGCGTCCGCCCTCCGGTCTCCATCGTTGCGGGGGTCTGTCGCGCTCCTTTTTCCGACCCGTAAACAATCCCCTCACGGTCTGTTTCTGATCTTTGGTTTTTAATGTCTGTCGCTACTTTGCTGACGACCTGTTTCAGGGGTTAGATGACGGGTCAGACTCTTTGATATCGAACGTTGGGTTTGCGACGCCTGATGATCATCCCCCTGTGCGGCGATGCCGACCGACTCGCTCCCCATCCGCAGCAGGAGCAGCAACAACAATAAATATTATTCTGTCGATATGGTTTCTCAGGCTCCTGCGACAGGTCGCTCTGTGCCTGTGCCCACCGCTCCTTCTGTGACTACGCGTCACTCCCATAGCGGCCGCCGTCATCGCTCGGGTCGCTCGCTCCACGGCGGTGCGTCGCACCAGGTACAGAACGATTTCCCCATCTTCTCGCACACGGGCGATGTCGAGATCCTCATCCGCGTGCATGGTCAGGAACGGCGGTACCTGCTGCACCGGTTGATCTTGACGCAATGCTCGGGATTCTTCGAGGCCAGTACCAGCGAAGAATGGTCGAGGCCACCACTCCCCGTCGGGCGCGAGCTGCGAACCGGCCCCAGCCACTCCAAGCCCGATGTCTCGTCGTCGAGACTCAGTGAGGACGGTTCGATGTCGGCCGGATCGACGCTGGTGCCTTCCGAGATCAATAATGGACCGGCTCCGGTCGCCGGGGGAAAAAGGTGGCGGTACGAGTTAGATTGGGAGAGTAAGGCGGCGGACGAGGAACCGATTCTGGTCCAGAAGGTGGGTCACATCGAGAATATAGTTATATACAATTCATTTTTTTTTTATCTTGAGCTGACGCTCTCTGTTCAGCCAGTGAGCCCGACCGCCGTTTTGGGAGCGGAATTTGCACACGTCCCGCCGTCAATGACCAAACCGTCGGCTCTGCAAGCAGGTTTCTTCAGATCCATGGCCACCCGGGCCGGGATGCAGTCCGTCTTGCATCTCTCACAGTCGGCAACCATCGAGGAGGTGAATGTGGACCCGCTCATTCGCGACTACGACAACCTCTTCCGTCTCTTCTACAACTACCCACCAGTCCTGAATAGCGTCAACATCGCCACCGCGTACGCAGAATGCAAGTCGCTGCTCGCTCTGGCAGACATGTACGACGCCCTGCCTGTGACGGGGCCCCGGGTCGACCACCACCTGCTGGGCTTTGGCTCGCGGCTGTTCAAGCAGATTGCCAAATACCCGCCCAGCTACCTCAAGCTGGGGTACCTGGCGCGCAGCAGGGTGATCTTCTCCGAAGCCCTGATCCACGTCGTCGGACAGTGGCCCGCCGCCCTGCCGCACCTTCGCAGCAACGGCACATATTCGCCGATCCCGAACTCAGTGCTTGATTTGATCGAAGACAAGGTGGACGATCTGGAGGACCTCAAGGCGCGTGTGGAGTCCAAACTCTTCCGACTCACCCTGACCACCTCGCGCGGGGAGCGCGTCAACCCTGCCAACGCCTATCTAGACTGGCTGGCCGTCTCCCTCTTTCGCCAGTGGCTGGTGGACAGCACGACACCCCCGCCGCCCTCGATCCTCAAATCGACACAACCACCCCCACCGCTGGAGACTGCTTCTGCTGTTTCTGCTTCATCTGCGGCCAATGCGGCCAGTACTCCCACCGGCAACGCGCCCGGCCACCACCGCTCCCAAGAGTCCACGTCAAGGCTCCTCCGCCCTCCCGCGCCGCCTCCCAACTCTTCCGCCCGGGTCTTCCGCCTACTGGGCTCATCCTCGACGCAGGCCTACCTCTCCCATGAGGAGCTCAAGAAGTTCCTCAAGACACACCCGACCCCGTCGTCCGACTCTCTGTACTCGCGCGATGTGCTCAAGCGGTTCGAGCGCAAGATGGACGAGATCAAGCGGCTGGCCCGCGAGATCGTCAAGCCTCTCATGCGCAACTTTCTCGAACTAGATCTCAAGGGACCCGGTGGTGCCGAACCAGGTGCCGAGGGGGCCTCGTTGCCCTATTTGACCTGTACGAGGGTTGAGGATGAAGATTTACCTTGGTGATTTTTTTTTCTGGGTTTTTTCTTTCATCGAGTTTTTTAACGTATGACTCTTTGATACCCTTCTATGCCTGTCACGACTTTTATGATTCCATATACCCTTGCCTATTTGTATTTCCAGTTTTATCTCCACTTGATGAATGTTCATAATAATACATGATATGAGAATTAAGTACCTAGGTAGTCAAGAAAAGAATCTTATCCCCTAATTACTTCCAATAACTTCCATCCCACCCATATACCCCCTCAACACCTCCGGGATGACCACAACCCCCCGCTCAGCATCCCACCCGTTCTCCAAGATCGCAGCCAGGACGCGCGGCACAGCCACCGCCGTCCCGTTCACGGTATGCGGGAACCGGGACTCCTGGATCCCCCCCGTTCCGCCGCGGACGCGTGTCCCCAGCCGACGAGACTGGTAATCCGTGCAGATGGACGCGGAGGTGACTTCCCCCCAGGCAGATTCGAGGTCTGCCCCGCGCAGCCGCGAGGGGAAGAGCGCCTCGATATCGCGTTTACGGCTGGCGCTGGCGCCCAGGTCGGCGGTTGGCATCTCCAGGATACGACAGGGGAGGCCTAGCGAGGTGAGGATCTCGGTTTGGATGTCTAGAAGCTCGGCGAAGAGGTCATCTGATGAGATGGTAGCGGAAGATGGAGATGATGAAGAGGAAGATGATGCTCCGGTGGTAGGATTGTTGTCGGTAGCATTGTCTGCCCACGCGAACAGTTCTACCTTGGTAAACTCATGCACGCGGTACAGGCCTTTGGTGTCGACGCCGCGAGAACCCGCCTCGGCGCGGTAGCAGCGGCTGGAGCCGACGAGTCTAAGGGGTAGTCTCGCCGCATCGACCTCCTGGCCGGCCAGCATGGAGGCCAGGGGGATCTCGGCGGTGGCGGTCAGCGAGCGTGACGGGCGGGCCTGGCGATCTCGTTCAGACTGCTCGATGGACCAGATCTGCTGCTCGTTGTTCTGGTCGCGCGGCTGGAAGCCACACGCCTCCGCGACGTACGAGTATACCAACGAGGGCGGGGAGACGACCGTCCAGCCGCGCCGGCGCGCCACGCCCAGCGCATACTGCACCAGTGCCTGTTCCAGCAGGGCCCCCTCGTTGACGAGGAAGTACCAACCCCATCCGGAGCTGGCGGCGGCGCTGGTGAAATCGATCAGCCCGAGCGTCGTGCCGATATGCACGTGGGAGCGGGTCAGGTCCGGCGGGCGTGACACCCATTCCGGAGGATGCTGTGGGTTATAGTTGATGTGACCGATGAGGGTGGGCTGGTCGCCGACAGGAGTCTGCGGGGAGGAGAGGTTTGGCAGCGCGAACGCCAGCCGCTGGATCTCCTCCGTACACGCGGTCATCCTGGTCTTCATGGCCGCCGAGGCCTCCTTCAGCCCTTGTGCTTCGGCGCGCAGGGCCGACAGTTCTCCTTCTCCTGCAGCATCCCCGCACGCCGCCAGCTTGGCGATCGATTTTCCTAGCTCCTTTATCCGCGAGCGGGGTGCCTTCAGGTCGTAGTCGAGCTGGCGAGCCTCCTCGGATAGCTGCTGGATCTTGGCCGGGTACTCGGCGTGCAGAGGGTAGTTCCGGTCGACGCAATTGCTCGCGTACAGCTCGGCGTTCTGGCGGATGTGCTTGATGTTGGGGGTCGGTTTCGGTGCGGTCGGGGGTCGTAAGACGTCGCGGCGGCCGACTGACGAGGAGAAATTGCGACCGAGCCATGGACGCGAGACGCGGCAGCTGGCACACACGTAGGATGCCATGACTCAAAAATACTGGATTCGCACCCAGGGAGTGCTCGGCGTGCAATAATGAGAAGTAACCTGGAAGCTCTCGTCAGGGAGGGGAGGTTGGGATGGTTTTCCCGTCACCGCCTCACTTTCCCCCTTTAGGTAGATTGTTATTCCGCGTATGTATATAATCTGGTATGACAGAATACCAATTAAATGATAATTTGCAGTGAGCTCTATCCAAATTGCTCGAATCCAGTACAAGATGTGGAAAAATCATCTAAAAACCAAAAAGAAACAACTAGATCATGCCAGAATCGTCATCAGAATGTCGTCGTATCTTAAGAGAAAGGGAACTATCTACAGCCCCAGCTTGTGCTTTTTGATTCTGGTTGCAAGGCCGGCGATGACTAGAACAGCAGACACCAGGGTTGCCCAGAGGGGGATTCCCAGGGTACTCAGGTTGTAGGAGGTCTGCGTGGCGGCCACGACGGTGGCCAGCTCGAGGAGAATCAGCACGTACCCAGACCAGCGGTGGTACTTGTAGATACGCTTGCCGTTGTCGACACTACCCAGAACCAAGCGGGGGAAGAAGTACTGGACGACGCCGACTAGCGACTGCAGCACAATGACAATGTAGGTGATGAGGCCTAGACGGCCATGGGGAGAGGTGAACCGAGCGTGGTCGCCCTTGTTGATCTCGATGATGACGAAGGCAGCGATGAAGGCCACAACACTGAATCCCTGGAACGCGTAGTGATAACGGGTGCCGACAAACTTCTGGTGCGGCGTCGCTGTCGGTTGTAGGACGAGGGTGCCTTGCACCTGGAGCAGGATGGCGGCCGAGTTGAGCACCTACTCACACCGTGAATCAGCAACCGGACCATCCCATGTGTCCCAAGTATTACCCCCCAAACTCACTGGATGGGGAGAGAAGAAGATCAGCGGATGAGAGAAAATCCCTGACCAGACCAGCGCCGTCATCTAGTTTGTATCTTATCAGCCTTTTCCCGTCCTGTCCAGCTTCGAGGGGAACCAACAATCAAGATCCCGGCCTGAGCGACTGCAGCACTTCCTACAATCGTCAGCATGGCCTCTCTAAGCCTTCCACTCACTCCTCATACTTACCTGAGAAGAGGTTTCGCCAGGTTGGCTCCCCTTGTCTCTGCACGACGTGCTCCGGGGCCGCCAGCAACGGTGCCTGCTCATTGTCGACGCTGTTGGGCTGAGCTGAAGCCATAGTGTTTTTTTATCCTTTTATCTAATTCTCCAAGAGAAAACGAGACAGAAAGATAGAACAAAAAAGAGAGAGGGGGCCCTGTCTTAAAAGAGAGGGGAGAGTGTGCCAATGACGATGTCGCCATTACTACGACTAATTTCTAAAGCAAACAGAACAACTTCAGCTTCAGCTTCCCCTCCTCCCCCTGACAACCCCCTTTGATTGTATCCCAGCAGATGCCCGGTTACATCGCCAAACAAGCCAAAAGTCGATTCATTTGCTGTTGGAGGAGCTAAGTACTTGGTTTTGCAGCAGCCAGGCATGCAGAATTGCCACAGAATGAAGAGCAAGGGTTTTGGGGGATCCCTTTCAACCCCCTCAATTCCCTGCAGACTGAATCTCCACCGTTACATCTCTTGAATGCTAGACTCTCTTAGCTGACAGGCCGATCAATCTAGCCGCCGCCGGTTCGAACACAGTGACGCGTCCAGGGCGTCCCCTGGCCCGGTTCAAGATACGCTATCGGCAGGCATCCAATGGGAAACTTGGCTAGGATTACTTCGACTACATAAGATGATGAGCTCAGCAGGGTATACAGTCAATATTTCGTCAATCAATACAGAAAGAAGGCATCTCATGCCACAATTCTGCGAAGATTACCTTCAAAAACTCGGAATAAACGCTGACATCGAGCTACTAGCGAACAAGTAAAGAAACAAAGAATTCATTCTCTATGCTTTACCAACTGTCTCGAGTGCTATCCATAGAACCGTCTATGTCTTGATCAGATGCTTGAACAGCTTGTCGAGATAATACGCCGACTGCTTGGGGTACCGCGTTTTCTCTTCCGACTCAAAGTCGATAAACGTCACACCAAACCGGTCACTAAACCCAGCCGCCCATTCTAATTTGTCAGTATAGCATTTGGAGAGAGAGAGGGAGGGAGAGGGAAAATACCCCAGTTATCGGTAAAAGTCCAGGCAAAGTACGACCGGATATCGACGCCGTCTTCCTTGACAGCGCGCGCCAGGTTGCCGACGTACCCTTCGAAGAAGCCGATGCGGAAGGTATCATTGAGGACGTCGGGCGTGGGCGCCGTCTCGCCCTTGGCCGTGCATCCGTTCTCCGTCACGTAGATGGGGGTCTGGTAGCGTTTCCAGATCCAGTTGAGCAGCTTGCGGAAGGCCCATGGCGAGCGGCGCAGCCACTGCGTGTCGCTCTCGTCGCCGCGTGACACCCCCTGCTTGTTCTCGTCAAACACCTCGATGTTTCCCTTGTGGTCGTTGATGTCTGCGGGTTCGGTCCGATGCCGCACAAAGAACGCGGTGTACGAGTTCATCCCGTAGAAGTCGGAGCTGCCCAGCACCAGCCGGGACTCCTCTGCCGTGAAGTGCGGCAGCCGGTCGCCCAGCTGCGCCCGCATCGACGCCGGGTAGTCGCCCGTACGATACACCGGATCAGCGAACCAGGCAATCTCGAACTCGCGCGCCCTCTCTGCCGCCTCCTGGTCCAGCGGATCGGCCTCATCCCACGGCTCCGACCAGTTGCCATGCAGCGTGATCCCGATCGTGCCCTGCTGCGCGGGCTGGAACTCGTCGCGGTACATCTTCACAACGTGCCCATGCGAGACCAGCTCCGTATGGGCCACGATGAACGGCTCCGTCGATGAGTCGCCCTCCTCGTTGCGCTCCCGGAAGGACGACCGTCCCGGTGCGTGCACCCCCGCCGCATACCCGGCCAGCGTGTACACCCCAGGCTCGTTGTACGTGATCCAGTGCTTGACCCGGTCGCCGAACCGCTCAAAGCACACCCGCGCGTACCGCACAAAGTCCCGCGTGTACGCCGTCTGGTCCAGCATCCCGCCGTACCGGTCCTCCAGCGCCTGCGGCGTATCCCAGTGGAAAAGCGTCACGAACGGGGTGATCCCGTTCCGCAGCAGCTCGTCGATGAACGCCGAGTAGAACTGGATTCCGGCCTCGTTCACACCGTCCTCGTGGCCTCCCAGCGGGATGATCCGCGACCACGACAGCGAAAACCGGTACGCATTCACCCCGTACGATTTCATCAGCGCCACGTCCTCCTTGTACAGCTCGTACGCCCGCACCGCCTCGTCCGCGTTGCTGCCGTCCTTGACCTTGCCCGCCGTGTGTCCAAAGGTATCCCAGATCGATGGGCCCTTGCCGTCCTTGTTCCACGCCCCTTCCACCTGCGCCGCCGCAGTCGCGTACCCGTGCCAGAAATCGCTGCGCAGGCTGCCCTGCAGGTCGCGGACAGCTTCTAGATCCATCGTCGGGTCTCAGTCGTTTGGCACAATGTTTCTTGGGAGGTTTCAACACCGATTCAAAGGGATGTAAAGACAAAATATGAATATGCTTCCTTTTTTTTTTCAAGAAAATAAAAAAAAAAGCACTACATGTCAGAAACAACAAGCTGGCAAACAAATATCCCACATCAGCCAAGTCTTAACGCTGTATGTAATCCGAGAGACCCTTGGATTCGGGTAAATAACAGACCTTGAATTTATCCAGGGTTCGGCCCCCCTCCCATCCTGTGGTTTTTGATTGAACCATTCTACCCGGAATTATTGCCCATGCCTGAGGGAATAAAGCCGCGGTACTTGCTGGATAATAATAATGAGGGGCTGGCGGGGTACTGAATCATATTGCAAGCAGTCAATTCAGCTTACGGGGACGACCTACTACGGGAGTAGTATCTACTCTGTGCATAGGTAAGCTATGGCAGACACAATTTGAAAAAGCGAAGCTATGTTTTGTTTATACTCCAGGTCAGAAGATACTATTCTAATGATCCTTTGATATACCTCGCTATCACTCTGGCGCCTTGATATTGTAGACCCCGATCTTGCCCTCGATCTGAACCCTGGGTCCATCTTGAGGAAAACAAATGACCGTCTTGACCCCCAGATCTGACTGAACAACCACACACCCGACGATCTTCCCATTCTCCCAGCTAAAGTCCAACTGGAAGCCTCCCCGGGCCCGAACCCCGCGGAGGGAGCCTGTGCTCCACGCGCGGGGGCATGCCGGGAGAAGCTTGATCAGGCCCTCCTCGTGGGATTGGACCAGCATCTCCAGCACCCCTGCGCCGCCGCCGAAGTTCCCATCGATCTGGAAGGGCGGATGGCTATCTAGTAGGTTCGGGAGCGTCGACTGCGCCAGCAGCAGGTCCAGGTGCCGCGCGCATTCCTCAGCCGCCAGCAGCCGGGCATGTAGGTTCACCAACCAGGCCCGGCTCCAGCCCGTATGTCCGCCGCCATGGCTGGCGCGCCGGTGGAGAACGACGGCGCAGGCTTTGGCAAGCGCAGGGGTCGTCTCTGGGGTGATGGTATGGCCGGGATGGAGAGCCCACAGGTGAGATGTATGCCGGTGGCCCGGTTCGACTTCAGCGTAATCGGCGGCCCATTCCTGGAGTTGACCAAACGAGCCGATCTTCATTGGAGACAGTCGTTGCCGGGTTTTCTGTACATTGGGAAGAAGGTCATTCTCGAGGCCTAAAACCTGACTGCAATTGATAAAGGCAGTCAAGACCGCATGGACAATTTGTATATCGATCGCGGATCCTTCACAGAGCACCCCCTTCTGTCCGTTTACGTCGTAGAATGTGTTTTCCGGTGACAGCGACGGGTTCGTCACCAGGTATTCTCCGGAGCTGTCTTCGATGAGAAAGTCGAGGAGAAACTCTACACAACCCCGCAGGACGGGGAATAGTCGCTGCAGAAAGGACTCGTTCCCCGTGAAGCGGAAGTGCTCCCAAATATGGACACACAGCCAGGCACCACCTAGGGGCCACAGAGTGGCCGGCATCCAGCTATCCAAGGGATCAGTATCAGCCCAGATATCGGTGTTATGATGAGCCGCCCAGCCGCGACAGCCGTACATCTTTTGCGCGGTGATCTTGCCCCGTTCAGCCATTCGTTCCAGATGGCAGAAGAGCGGCATCTCGCACTCGGACAGGTTACCGACATTTGCCGGCCAATAGTTCATCTGGGTGTTGATATTGATCGTGAATCTACAGCCCCAGGCGGGATGGAAAGACGGGTTCCAGAGTCCTTGCAGGTTCGCTGGAAGAGGCTTGGATCCATCCCGGCTACATGAGATCAATAGGTACCGGCTGTAGTTGTGATACAATGCCACTAGTCCAGGATCTCGAGATTCTTTGAGTCGCTGATCAGTCGCAATATGGGACGAGTCCGGGGTTAAGTTCAAGCTCAGGCGGCCGTACAGGGACTGGTAGTCTCGCATGTGGCGAGTCCAGAGTTTGTCAACTGGAAATTGAAGAGCTGCTTTCACCTCGTCCAAAGCTGCTTTTTCAATGTCCTTTTGTCGGAACGTCGTCTGGGCTGCAAGAAGCACGAGAGAATTGCGACTGCGCACGACCAGGCTGTCTCCAATCCTCGTGATCTGGCCCTCGCCATCTTCACACCTCACACCGACCACGCAGCAAGCTCGGTTACTATCCTTGCCACCGGGGGTGATTTGCATGGTGATGGTATTCTCGGTGGCAACAACGTCGTCCAGAAACTCATTGGTCTCATATTCGAGTTCGCTAAGACGGTTCACACGCACCACAAACTCCGCCGGTCTCGATGACTTTATCCGGATGGCGAGAACACCATCTGGATAGCTTGCAATGACCTCTCGCTCAAAAGTGGCGCCATCATACTCGTACTGGACATGAGCGGCACTTTGATCCAGGTTCAATGATCGTCGGTACCCGGTAGCTCGGTCCAGCGAATGACCAAAATCTAGGAACAGGTGTCCCAGCGGTTCGTAGTACCGCTGGCTCGTAGGGCTCGCAAAGAATGCCAACCTCACTAGCTTTTCCGCCTCGGCGTGGTTCCCGTCTCGGATCAGCTGCCGCAGACGTGTCAAATACTGCGCGGCGTCCCGTGGGGTACGACTCTGGGGGCCCCCATACCACACAGAGTCCTCATTGAGCTGAAGCATTTCCGTGTCGATTCGGCCATAGACCATGGCCCCCAGGCGGCCGTTGCCCACTGGCAGGGCTTCATCCCAGATCTTTGCTGGCTGCTGATACCAGAGTTCCGACATGGCTGCATTCCCAATATCTGTCGAGGATTGGCTAGCTAAAGTTCCACTAACTTGTCGTCTGTCCTTTTATCCTGCAAATGCTCGCCCTGCTTTATGTCAGGCTCATTACCTGGGCCACTTTGAGACGGTTTGCCGGGCCGTGAACCGGACTGCATTTTCCCCCAACCCGGAGTAAAAAAGATCTGCCAGTCTGCCAGTCTGCCAGTTAGCCAGTATTCCTTTGAATCGGTGGGAATGTCTCTTACGCACCCAGAACAGCAGACCCGCGGCCGGCATAATTGCATCGCTGCTGACCAGTGGAGGCCTGCCAAATGTGCCGAATAAAACGAAGCTAGGAGGCCCTCAGCCCGCTAGACATGTCTGTGCTCTTTCTCCCCAGCAGCACCGGCGCGAATCCTGGCGTCGCCCCCCCCAAATCCGTGCAGAAGTTGAAGCCGAAGTGTGGCAACAGCGTGAAGGTCAAGGGGAAAGTAGGAAGGTGCGGTGGGAGGAGGTCATGTGCTCTGGCGACTGCTGGATTCGGCCTAGACGGACAGCAGCACAACAGGCAACAGGCAACAGGCAACAGCCTCAACAACCTCAACAACCTCGACCTACTTCTTTCCCATCATACCGCACAACGCATCTCAAACAGACAAGAGAGGCGGCTTTAATTACGGTTTAGGAGGACTGCCAGGTGGCTAGTAGGTATGGCTTCCCTGCCTGGAAGTCTTACTGCATGGTACAATACCAGGTACAGGTCTACTGGTCGTGGCAAGAGAGAAAAGCTAACATTGACAGCAGAGGATAAGTCTAAGAACGGAACGGCCTGGACTAGAACGGGGGGATAATAACCTGAATTGATCTGTCCGAGGGTCGATTTCCCCACGCTCCCCAGGAAAATGGGCTGCCCGGGGGTTGGTGGAAAATACCGCGGAGAGCCTAGAACGGTGGGAGAGGACAAATTTGCCTCTCACCAATCATGAGGGCGCCCAGGACATTTTGCCTAATGTTGCAACGTCGTGCTTTCGAACCGAAGGAGCTAAGGCTGCTTCGTGGTGGTGGACAGCCAATCATTCCACGGACCGGGGCTGCAAGGGTCAACTTAGGTGACTTTGGACCGGCTGAGAAGTCGAGAAGTCCAGCAAAACGAGTCATCCCCAGGAATATCGATCATGAGTTAGCCGGGTGGCCAGGTTCTCCTTGCTCTCCCTCTGGAGAAGCACGATCAGGCATGTAGCAGGTGATTAACCGCCAGGAGGATTCTCCCGTACAGCAGATATAGAGCTTCAAAAAACCCCAGATTTTGGTGTAGTGTCGAGAAACAGATAAGAGCTCCTGTTCTCTCTCTGTTTCCCTCCGTTTCCCCCCTCAGCTCTCCATTCTTGTTTCTCTACCCATCCATCCTGCCCAAGAGAGGGAAGAAATCTGCCCATCATGTCGAAGCCCCGCGAGCAGGTTGTCATGAACGATTCAGAGATTCCGGACCCCAAGCACGACCCCGAGCATGTGGAGGAGGCGGTGCTCGCGCGCCTGACAGACGATGACCTGTGGAGGATGTCGCAGGAGGCTCTCACGTTGAACTCGTGGACTGGTGTCCGGCTCATGCTTGTCATGTTTGTCCAGTGTTGCAACATGGCTGGATACGGGGTGGACTGGGGTATCATCAGCGGTATCGACGACTTCTCGACGTGGCACGATTACTTCGGCTTCCCCAGCAGCGGCGGCACCTACGGCACACTCAATGCGCTGATGAGTGTCGGCACCATCGCCGGCGCGCCCTTTATGGCGTTTGCAGACGTGATCGGCCGTCGTGGTATCAACTTTGTCGGAAATTTCCTTGTCCTCGCAGCTGCCATCCTGCAAGGCTGCTCCAGGACAGTCCCCCAGTTTATGGCCGGCCGGTTCATGCTGGGATTCGGCACTGCCCTCATGTCTAGCTCGCAGTATATGGGCGAGATCGCGCCGCTCCATCTCCGTGGTCGCATGGTCGGCTGGTTCGGTGCCTTCTACCAGGTTGGCGCCCTGGCCACCTTGGGTGCCATGATTGGACTCGCAAACCTGTCCAATAACTGGAGTTGGCGTGCCCCTCTGCTTCTTGAGGGCTTGTTTCCTTTGATCGTTTGCTCGACCATCTACTTCCTCACCCCTGAGTCGCCTCGTTTCCTGATCCTGCGCGGGAAGAAGGAAAAGGCTCGTCAGGTCGTCGCCCGGTACAGTACCACCAGCGGAGATGTGAACGAACCTATCGTCGATGTCGTCATCCGACAGATCGAGGAGTCGCTCGAGAGTGATAGAACCAGCTTCCGAAGCTTCTGGGATTACCGCGTCTTCTTCACCAAAGCTGTCCGCTACCGTCTTCTTGTCCTCGCCCTCTACTCGGTCTTCCAGCAGTGGAACGGCGGGTCAATTATCACCTACTATGTAAGTTCCCCTTTTCTCCTTATTTGCATGAACTTATCTCCACGTGCGCACAATGCTGACTATACCTTGTAGATGTCCCCTGCTCTTGACACGATCGGCATCACTGCCACGAAGCCGCAGCTGGGTGTGACCATTGGCACGACGGCGGTCTACTTTGTCTTCACCGTTGTCGGGTCTCACCTGGTGGATATCTTCCGCCGGCGCACACTGATCTTTGCCGGTCTGTCTACCATGATCTTGTTCGAGTTCGCCGCGACCATCACCTCCTGGCAGTACAGCCTGAGCGGGAACAAGGCGTCGGCCGACCTGACCCTGCTGTGGATCTACCTGTACCAAGCCTGCTCGGCCACCTTTGTGGCTACCATGCACAACCTGTATCCGATCGAGGTGCTATCCCTGCCCCTGCGCGCCAAGGGGATGGGCCTGTACAGTCTTATACAGGGTGCTGCGGGCGCGGTACAGACGTACGGCATCTCCGTCGGCATCCAGAAGATCGGATACAAGATCTGGGTCGTCTATGTCGTCTACAACACCATCCAGCTCATCCTCGCCTACTTCATCTTCCCGGAGACCTCGAAGCTGTCGCTGGAGGAAATTGACGCCGTGTTTGAGACCCCGGGCATCGCCCCCGTCAAGATGAGTCTGGATATCAAAAAGGCGAAGAAGGAACTGGAGAGATCGGCCCGCGAGGGGGAGAGGGTTTGAATCCTGTGTATTTAGTTTCGAGTTCAACCCTGCCGTTCTATAACTATTACTGCAGCTCTCGGCTCTTTTTGAAATAGGAAATCCAACGAGTAATGACTATCATTGAGTGTGGTCCTTTGGTACAAGAAGAAGAAGAACAACAACAACAACAACGAAACAACTAAAGAAGAAGAAAAGAGAGAAGGCTTCTAGACGCTTCCAGCGGGTATCTGGGCTACACGACAGCAAATGCAGGCAGGCCGTTGCCCGCTTCCCGCTCCGAGTGCAAAGACCGTGCCCGTATACCGTACTCCGTGTCTGTAGCCGTGTAGATGATGCCTAGCTACGAGTAAGTAGGTAGTATGAAGTCAGCCAGGGGGAGAGTCGTACAGTCCCCCCCCCCATCTGTAGCCGACGGACCCTGGCCAGCTCAGCGTCCCAGTGCCCGTGGCTGTGTTTCTTGCCGTGAAATATTCCCGACGCAGATGGTGTAACCCTTTTCACGCGTTTCTGGTTTACTTTCTTTCCTTCTTTACGAGAAAAAAAGAAGAAAACAGAACAGACTGGTCTTGTTGTGTCATTGTGTGCGGTCTCTCGGCAGAATGTTTCTGAGTCTTGCTGAGATGCATTGGGGGGGGATGATTCTTTTTGTGGGAGGTAGACTGTAGTTAGTCAAGTAGAAAGTAGTATTAAGGTCGATTTGGTCTGTTCAGTGGAATCATCGCTGGACGGCGATCTTGAAATGAACATCTGCCCAAATCCGATCGACCGTTTGAATTCGGTCGGGCCACGGCTGCAATGCTTCGGATTCGTGGCAAGAGCAGCAATCCGCAGGATAGAAGGGGTCATGATAGGCGGAGAGATGCAAAGCTTTTCAAACCCTGATCGTATGAAGAAGGTGTAGACCGTTTGATGTATATATGTTTTCCTGCTCTGGAGGACAGAACTATATGTCGTGGAGAATGAATGTCACCGTTGTTTGTAGACCTCTAGACTGGAGAGAAACCGATCAAGAATGGCCCGTTCTTCTAGAAACTCCAAGACTCAAGGAAGACATTTCTATCTGGATACCACCTCTTGCGGTCAATTGTCTAGCATCGCTTGGCGCCTCCCCCTGTTACGCCACCCTATTGTCACGATGCGTGCGGGAGCTGCAACCGACCTTTTCGACGTTAGGCACAAGAAAAAGCTTGGACGCAGCCTCACTTCATGCATGCATGTTTGATACAGACAGAAGAGATCCGTGGCCAAGCGAAAAATGAAACCCGGCATTTTGACCGCCCTAGTGAACTCTCTGGGATTTCAGTCCATGCTGGAAAAGAAAAGGAGAGAGAAAGGGAAAAAAAGAACCTTCTGCCCAGCAGAGAGCCGCCATCGACTCGCGGCTGAGTGCTCGCAAGGTGGCAGGTTACTTTCGGTGTGATCTTAGTGGTGCGACAATCTAGAAGTTCACGGTTCAACAAACGAAGATTGAAGTCGTCGGCGATTGGTTACTTGGTCGACGAGCACGAGACGGATGGACAAACGGGGCGTACACAGGTGAAGGGAGAAGCATTTCTGTTTAGGTGCATCTTTCCACGGCAGCAGGTGAGGGATTGTTGTTGTTGACCGACTTGTCTATAACCAGGAGATGGTTGTCGGTATCACACTGGCAAAGGCCAGAGAGCGAGGTAAATATAAAAGGCCAGTGCCAGGACTTATTTTTGCCTCTTGTCTTTTGATTGTAGAAAGAACTCATCCCAGAGCTGTATACCAGTTAGTTATATATCTTAAGATTCTTCTTTCCTTCTTCTTCTTCTTCTTCTTGACCTTCTGCAAAGACTTTCAATTGCCTTGTCAACCGTGACAGAGAAGGCAATACCAATTCCTCCCCTGCCGGGACATCAGATTGGAGGTATCCGACGTTCCAGGAGGAGTCTAGAGGCATGCCGTCAAAGTCGACGCAAGACTCCTTCCCCGAGGTGCGCGGGCTCATCTACGACGAATCCGAGATGGCGCTGTTCCACGCCAAACTGGCTTACCACTCGACAATCGACGCACGAAACGCCTCACAGGACACCAACCTGGCATCGATCTCGGAGCATCAGGCTCGGATCCTACGGCGCTGGGAGATGCTGAAGCAAGCCGAAAAGGAGCTGGCAGACAAGGGGAAGAGCCTTTCCGCCGCAGACAAGAAGCAACTGGCGCAGTACGAGTGGAGATACAAGCGACTAGAGGAACTGGCCACCACCAAGGCCGGATAGGATGAATGACCAGCGAGTGTGGCGAGGGGGGGGGGGGGGGTTGTTATTATTCCAGGCGTTCCAGGGAGGTGCCTTTTCACATTTTCAGCGATGTTTGGTCAGCATTTCCATTTTCCCACAGGATAGACATCTCTTAGAGCATTGTTATCCGCAAGGAACAGCATGTTTTCCTTCTTCTTCTTCTTCTGTCTGCTCGTTGTATTGTCATACCGAGACTGTCTCAAGACCCCTGATGGCCTGATTGTAACATTTCTGTTGCACGTTCCAATCGACAATTTAATTCTTGCTTCGCAAATCTCGAGTAATTCGGTCACAAGGCGAATTCTTCCAACATGGATCAATGGATTCTTCCAGGAAGCCGCTGACGTTACATACCGGCGTCACACGTGTAACACGACAACAGTTCTGCACATTTATTTTCCTGTCTGCATCTCGTCTCGAGAGCATGCTTCTGCCAGACAGATCTCCAGCCGTTCAGCCGTTCAGCTGGTTTCTCGGTATTTCTGTAGAACGGTCGTCGACCTTGGCTGAGTGAGAACAGCCTCCTGCTCCCTCCTCCCTCGGCCATTCTTGACATCACGCTGTAAACGCCTCCTCTACAGCAGCTCTGAGCAATGTAGACAGCAGTCATCTCGTTCACAGCCCAGACTCGGCCACCAGCGATTGTCGGAGATCTCCGAAGGGCGCTGAGGGTGGTTTGGTTTGGTAGGCCGAGGCAGTCTCTCTCGTCTCCCTGAGCAAGCATTAGTACGACTGGTGAGAAGAGGAACTTATCGTATAGGAAAGATGCACAACGAAGCAACTCGTCGGGGGGAAGAAGAAGATAAGAAGAGGAGGTGAAGTCGTCTTTAGGATTGCTCGATAGAATCGAGTAACCAGACGGGGGAAAGCGCTGTCTTATCTAATCGATAAGCCTTCCTCAGTATTTAGTCACTCTCTCCTCCTCCCCTCTTCTTCTCTCTCTTGTCTATCTTGTCTATCTTCTCTCTTCTCTGTCTTCTCTCTCTTCTCAGTTTGATCAAAGGTGAGTAGGGAGCCTCTGACTGTTTGATTTCTGACTAAAGCTCCTAGGCATTCAATCGCTCCAAGCAGCACCATGACCACCTATATCGCCGGCGAGGAGATCGACAGGGTCTTCGCCCACACGACCAATCTAGCCTCGTCAGCACTGAACAGCAAAGTGCTGGCCTGTTCGAACGACTACTTCGCCGCGGCGTCGAACCTGCTCACTCCGACGCCCGCCATCCACCGCCCCGGCGTGTTCGTCCACACGGGCGCCTGGTACGACGGGTGGGAGACCAGACGACACAACCCAGCCCCGTACGACTGGGTGGTGATCAAGCTGGGCGTCTCCAGTGGGAAGATCCAGGGCGTGGAGGTCGACACAGCCTACTTTGTCGGTAACTATGGCGAGCAGGCAGAGCTGCAGGGCATCCACGCCCCGGATCTCACCGAGGAACAGGAAACGGAGCTCTGCAATCCCGCCTTTACAGGGTGGAAGACCATTCTCCCCCGCCAGCCGTGCGGGCCTTCGCAGCGTCGGGCGTGGAAACTGCCCCTCGACCACCAAAACATCCCATACTCCCATGTCCGGCTACTGATGTATCCGGACGGTGGCTTCGCTCGACTCCGACTATACGGCCATGCGATCCCGCCGGCTCTACCCATAAACACCAGCACCAGCACCAACAACCCTATTGAAGAACTCTCCTCCGCCCTGGTGGGCGGGTTAGCCCTCGGAGCCTCGGACCAGCATTACACCCCCTGCTCGAACCTGTTGCTGCCCGGTCGCGGCAAGGATATGGGTGACGGATGGGAGACCGCGCGGTCACGCACCCCCGGCCACGTCGACTGGGCGATTGTTAAACTCGGGCTGCCTGGCTCGGTGGCCCGTGTGGTCGTCGACACAAAGGACTTTCGCGGCAATTTCCCCCGTGCAGTAAGAGTCCACGGCTTGACGGCTACTACTACTACTACTACTACTACTACTACTACTACTACTACTACAGAACCAGACCATGATCATCCTGACTGGGTGGAACTGGTCGACGGAGACCAGCCCTGTCGGGCGGATACAGAGCACATCTTTGAGTGTTCTCAGCTGACGGACGACGACAGGGTCTTCACTCATGTCAAATTGACTCTGGTGCCGGATGGGGGGGTGAAACGCTTTCGCATTTTTGGGAGGAGGGCAGAATAGAAAGGATAAAGTAAAGAATAAATCTATTCTTATGTACAGCTAATAAATCCGTACACTGGTATCCAACAGAACTCGAGGGGAATAGAACAAAACTCCCATAATCCAACATGAAACAAAGACCTTTTCTTTCAAACATTAGTTCCGTACACAAGTACATGCACCCGGCCTGACAGGCTCAACCTGCAGACCCCAATAGTCGTTTCATCGTGATCATAGATGTGGAAAAAAAAAGTGTGCGGAGGGGAGAATATGCTAATCAAAATGTCAATGCGTCTCCGAAAGAGTAAACGAGCCCAAGGGCGTCGATCGCAGATGAACCTGTTTATCGTCATCACCAGGCGCGAGAACGATGGACGGACTCGGCGATGAGGACGGGGACATACTGCCAGGCGTCCCTGTCCCCGTCCCCGTGCCCGTGCCCGTGGCAAGATCATGGCTGATGCTACCGCGGGTCTTCTTGCGGATCGCCAGCTTGGAGTACGAAGGCGCCGGCTCGAGATACTTGTCGAGCATTTCGCTGAGGATGGTCGACCGGACCGGCTTGGGCAGGTAATTGTTCATGCCGGCTTCAAGGCACTTCTCGCGATCCCCCTCGATAGCGCTGGCCGTCATGGCGATCACCAGCACCTGATTCACGTCCGGGTCGGGGTCGCGGCGGATCTCGCGCGTGGCATTGTACCCGTCCAGCGTGGGCATCTGCACGTCCATCAGCACCACGTGGAACGGATTGCCTTCGTGCGCCCGCAGCCGCAGGGCATCGACCGCCTGCCGTCCATCGCTGTACGCCTCACACTGGAGACCCAGCCCGTGGACGAACTTGACCGCGATCTTCTGGTTGATCGGGTTGTCTTCGGCGATGCACACCCTGATCTGATCCCGGGGGGTCATTGACAAGTCCCGCACCACCAACGGCTTGGGTGCTGCTGCTGCTGCTGCTGCTGCTGCTGCTGATGTTGCTGTTGCTGTTGCTGTTGCGGTTGCTGTGCCGTTTCCACCACCACCACCACTGCTACTGTCGATCTTGTGAAAGTTTTGCGACCAAGGCGCCTTGACAATGGTCTCCTTGGGCGCCTTGCTGAACGCCAGGTGGAACGTGACCGTGGTCCCCACGCCGGGCGTCGACTCCAGCCAGATGGCCCCCCCGAGGACATCCTCGATGATGGCCTTGCAGATACTCAAGCCTAGTCCGCTGCCGCCGTACGAGCGGGCCGTGGAGCTATCGGCCTGCGAAAAGGGCCGGAAGAGCCGGGATTTCTGCTCCTCGGGGATACCGATCCCCGTGTCCGACACAGAGCATTCCAGACGCACCCGGCTCTTACCCTCGCGAGAGATCTTGGCCTTGACCGTCACGGAACCCTTTGGAGTGAACTTGTAGCTGTTGCTGAGTAGGTTCATGAAGATCTGATGCAGACGCACGGGATCGCCCATGACCACCAGGTCCGGTGGGACCTTGTCGAGATCCTCGATGGTTTCCAGGCCGCGGTCACGGTGGGTGTAGCGCAGCGCCCGGACAACCTCGGATATGGTCTCTCGAATGTTCAACGGCACGGTGGAGATTTTCATCTTGCCCGCCTCCAACTTGGAGAAGTCGAGGATGTCGTTGATGAGGGTCAGCAGCGTGTCGGCACAGACGCGGATCGACTCGACGTATTCGTCCTGCTCCTTGCTCAGATTGGTCTTCTTGAGCAACTCGGAGAGGCCGATGACCCCGTTCATGGGCGTGCGCAGATCATGCGAGATGTTGGCCAGGAAGATCGACTTGGCCTTGGCGGCGTCTTCCTTCAACTTGACGTTGTGCTTGGCTTCGGCCTCGGCGACCTTGGCCTTCTGTTCGGCCTCGCGCGCTTGGGCCAGGGCCTTCTTCTGGGCTTCGATCATCGAGGCGTTGAACGCACTTACCTTGCGCACCTCGTGAAACAGCGAGGCGTTGGAGAGCGAGATGCCGATCTGGTTGCACAGCAGATGCAAGACGACCACGTTGCGCTGCGTGAAGGAGTTGGGCTTGCCCTCGATATGAATCACCCCGACCAGGTGGTCGGCCTGCAAGATGGGCAAGGCGATGACGGACCGCCCGAGCGGGTATCGCGCCTGGTAGGCTTCGCTGACGTTGGCAAACCGCTCGTCCTCGAGGACGTTGTGCACAAACACCTCCTCGCGCGTGCGCAGCACGTAGTGCGAGATCTGCTGCGCCATCTTTTCCCCAAGCTCAGCAAACGGGAGACCGTCGACCCACGACTTTTGGCCCATCTCCACGTCGCCGGCGGCGGCAACCGCGAACCCGGTGTTCTCAAACCGGCGGGCGATGACGGCAAAGTCCGAGCCGTTGCAGGACTCGATAATGATCTCGATCATCTTGAGGAGAAGCTTGTCAATCTGCAGCTCCGACGACATCACCTGGCTCGACTCCAGAATGCTGGACAGGTCGATGATGTCCAGCCCAACGCTGGAGATATCCAACGAACGTTCTTCCAGGGTCGCCCCGTTCTGTTCAATCCAGCGATGTTTCCGGTCGTCTTCAACGATGACCGAACCCGAGGCGAGACCCACCAAATGGTCCGGCCCGGCCCCCCCCGTGGAGGAGCGGTTGATGGCCAGGAGCGAATCGACGGTCTGGCAGGCCGCATCGACCGCCTTGGACGTGGTGGCCGTCCGGAGGAGCCATTCGTGTTTCTCCGACAGCTGCTGCACCTTGCCATTCGCGCCGATGGACGCCCAGGCCGCGATGGCGGACTGGGTGATGGAGCGCGCCGCCCTCTTGGCGCCGCGGCGGATCAGGTATTCGGCATGCAGCTCGAGGGCGAGGGCCTCTTCGAAAGGCCAGCCGTGCAGCTGGCAGTGGTCGATGGCTGCCTCCAGGGTGCAGGTTGCCGTGTCGTACTCGCGGTGGTACTCGGACAGCAGGGCTTCGAGCAGCAGCGACCACATGCCGTAGTTGACGTCGCAAGCGCTGCGCGCAAAGTCGACCTCGGCCTTGTACGCCAGCACACGGTCGAGATTTTGTTCTAAATTTGACTGGGCCGGGTTCTCAAAGTGCAACACCAGGTGGGAGAGAGCCATGTAAAAGTAGAAGGAGTAGCGGCAGCGGAGGGTCCAGAGGTAGATAATGGTCTCGTCCATCTGCGCACCCAAGGCGATGATGTGGGAATAGTGGCCGTAGGCGAAGAGGGGGATCATGCTGAAGGCCTGATAGATGTCGCGGGGCCGCTCCGACGTGCACGAATGGGTGTACAGGAAGGCGAGGTACTCGTCCGTGCGGTGGTGCTGGTCCGACATGACCCCGTGCGGGTCATGCCAGGCGGTCTTGCCCTGCATGGCGCGGGCGACCTGACGGATGGCCAGCAGAGCCGTGCCCCCGCGGACATCACTGGTCCAGTCCGGGATCTCCTCTGGGCCGTCGTTGCAAAAGGTCTCGATCTGCAGCATGTCGTGGCCGAGGGCCAGGCGGGCGAGCGCCATCGACGTCAGGGCAAACAGGAGCGCATAAGGGTCCGTCTGCAGCAAGGGCGAGGATTCCAAGACATGCTCCAGTCGGGGTAGCGCCGGGGCGAGGGGCACGCGCAGATGGTCGACAAACAAGAACTGCAGAGCGGGCCCGACCCCTCGCTCCGCGGGGGGGCACCGCTCGAGGATGGCCGCGGAGAAGTCGCTGAGGCGGATGCCGAGGTCAAGATCATGAAACCGGGAAAAGGCCATCATGGCCAGGTGCGGGCGCCCGATGCAGATGTGACCGAGCCCCCCCCGATAGATGTGCACCTTCATGATCTCGACCGCCATGCGGTAGTAGGTCAACGGGTCGTCCCAGAAGAGGAGCGCGACGGCGGCGGCCAGCACATTGCCGATGGTTGTCAGCGTGCGATCCGTGGTGCAAGGCATCTGCAGCACCGTCTCCACGTCACACTTTTCAAAGTGAGCCTTGATCGTCCGGAACATGGCGTCGCACTCCTCCCACGTCTTCGGGTCGCCGAGGGGGACCCCAAGTTCGTCCAGCGAGGTCGTCAAGCACTGCATGGCGCGCTGGGGGTTTCCCGTCTGCACATGGATCCTGGCTTGCACGACCCATGCCTGGGCCTTGCACTCGGCCGTCTTGCCATGGATTTGGACCTCATCGAGTAAATTGAGAGCCTCGCGATGGTGGCCCTGAAGCCACATCGTCTCCGCCGCGGCTATATGCAACCGTAACGTCTCGTCGTAGTCCACATCGACACCACCACCACCACCACCACCACCACCACCATTCCAGGGATCATCCTGTAGTAGAGCGAGACAATGTCGGAAATACCAGAGGGCCGTGGGGCGTGCACCAGATTGCGCTGCCGTCTGCGCTGCATCCCAGAGGGCGGTTCGATAATCCTTGCGGTGAACGACACGCGCACGGATGATCTGCGCCGCCAGGGCGATGTGGCGAGCCATTGAATAGCGGCTGCGGCCATCATGGTAATACTTCATCATCGTCTGGGCGATGATGAAATGCATCTTTTCCACATTATGACATTCGCGCAGATCGGCCACGGCCTGGGTGAACCGATCGTTGGCGAATTTGAATTCATCATCCGTCTCACCGGGGACGAGGACGTACGCCTGGACAAGCAACTGGAGTCCCATCACGACGTCGGCTTCGGATTGCCGGATGAGAGTGAGCATCTGCGGACAGGTCACGTCAATGACGTCGTCGTCGTCGTCGTCGCCGGTGGAGTAGAGGAATTCGCTGGTGAGCAAGCGTTCGACCAGGGCAAAGGAGAATGGACTGCCCAGGAGGGTGCCCCAGATCATGATGGAACGAGCGACCGGGGGTAGCTCTTGGAGACGGCGGGTGAGGAAGGAGAGACCGAGGCCTTCCCCGTAGGTTGGGGCCACGAACTCGGTGAAGATGCGGTCAAGGTCGAACTCCCAGCGGGAGTTTTTCCAGGAGTACCAGACGCAGTTTTTATTGTAGCAAGTCTCGAGCATCATGCGGATGTAAAACGGGTTTCCGAGACTCTTCTCCTGGATGACGGCGGTCAGGGGGGTCAACGAGGGATTTGGATCCTGATGCATGGTGGCGGCGACGAACTGCATGGTCTCGTCTTCCTTGAGCGTGTTGAGTACGAGACGAGTACAGTTGGGTCGGTCGGTGTTGTCGAAAAACGATTGGATGTCCTCGTGAACGAGCTCGTCGCGACGGCAGGTGAGGATCAAGACGCAGGGGAGCTTCGCCTTGACAATGTTGTTGACGAGCTCGAGGGTTTCATCGTCGGCGTAGTGCACGTCATCAATGCACAGACAGATCAGTTTAAACTGGCAGAGGGTGCGGAGGATGTCAAGGAAAGTTTCCATCAGACGCAGGTTCTTCGAGGCAGCGTTGGAGAGGAAGAAGTCGACCGAACTCTGGCCGTGATCGGGGCCTGGCAGCATCGACCGACCGACAGATCCCAACCCCTCTCTGCGATGTAAATGATGTGCAATGGGCCATCGGGGTGAGGGTTCCTTGCTATTGCCATTCCCATTGCTATTGCCATTGCTGTTGGTTGTGGTGTTGTTGTTGTTGTTGTTGTTGTTGTTATCGCTACAGACGGAGGCGAGTAATTGTTCGGGTAATTCTAAGACGCGATGGAGCTTGGGCCAGAGCGGACGCAGGGCGGTGCGAAGGGTATGATGATACTCTGTGGTGACATCACGTTCGGAGAAGATCTGGCGTAACAGGCTGGCCAGGATCTTGGCAAAGGGTTCAAAGGGGATCCGGCGGGCCCGGTCCAGGCGGGCGACGGCGATGTAGCCGAGTTTGCGGATGGCAGGTTGGACGCGGTTGATCAGGTCGGTCTTGCCGATGCCCGGGGCACCGGTGATGGCGATGACCTCACAGATGCCGTTGTGACGGAACTTGCGGGCGGTGACGGTACGGCGGCGGGAGGGAAGACCGTGGAGGCCGGCCGGGTCCAGGTGACCGGGAGTGCTGCTGCTCGGGGTGGAGAGGTAACTCTCACGATCCGCGGTGGCGGTGTCCCAGGAGCTGGTGCTGCGGACCTTGTTCAAGGTGTAGGAAGGGGGACGTTGGGTGGAGAGGGAGGATTCGGCACTGTAGAGGGAATCCTGAGCGGCGGAGGTGACGGAGGAGGCAGTGGTGGTGGTGGTGGGGAGGGGGATGGTGATGGCCAACTGATGGCTGGGAGCGGTGCCGATGGAGTTGGTGCGCGAGGTAGAATGATGATGGAGTGAGCCGGAATCGCTGGAGGCGGAGGCGAACTCGCCGGCGGGGCTGTCGACGCGGCCCTCGGAGGCGGAGGAGATGGAGGCGAGGCCGTAGAGGCCTAGGGGGGCCGGGGAGGAGGCGGAGATCTTCTGGGCGGCGTAGGCGGCGGCGGCGGCGGTCTGCTGGCGTTGGTGGACGGAGTCGACGATGGCGAGGATACGATCCTGTTCGTCGCGGCGGCCGAAGAGGCGGGTGGGCAGGGTGAAGAAGGAGGAGACGTCATGCTGGGCGACCTGGAAGGCTTGCAAGGCCTCGCGGTTGGCGTCGCCGAGGAGCTGGGCGATGTCGGCGAGATCGCGCTTGACGGCGGAGATGGTGTGGTAGCGGTCCCCGACGGAGCGGCGGGTCATCTTCTGGATGACGGCGGAGATGGCGTCGGGGACATCCATGCGTTTTGTCGAGACGGGAGCCAGCTTCTTGGCCAAGACGTTCTGGACGACCTCGACGGGGTCGTGGCCGTCAAAGGCGGGGCGGCCGACGAGCAGGATCCAGAAGAGGATGCCGAGGGCGTAGATGTCGGTGCGACTGTCGGGCTCGGTGGGCATGCGGCCGGTCTGCTCGGGGGCGATGAACTGCAGCTTGTTCTTGGCGCCCAGCTCGCGCGAGAGGGTGGACCAGCCCTCGCTGAGGGCATTGTCAAAGGAGCGGGCGCCATTGCCGGTGCTGATCAGGCGGACCTGGCCGGTGTCGCGGGCAAAGTGGAAGGCATCGCCGCGGATCTCACCATGGACGGTCTTGAGGCCGTAGTGGAGGATCTCGAGGCAGTCACAGGCGCCGATGGCGAAGTCGAGGAAGAGCGGCAGGGAGATCTGCTCGCCGGGGGTGGACTGGACGCTGGTGTGGGCGCTGCTGACACGGGAGGAGGAGGAGGCGGAGGAGGAGGAAGGGAAGAAGAAGGCGGCGGGCCCAAAGGCGACGAGATCACGCAGCATGTCCGGGCCCGGCGACTCGAAGATGGCGACGAGCAAGGGGCCGGCGTCATCCGAGTCTCGCGGCAGACGGATGAGATCGAGCGGGCGAGGGGTGTGGTTGCACTCCGGGTCGGCGGTCTGGACGATGGTGCGGATCATATGGAACTCACGCTCGAGACGGACGACGTGGGCGGAGACACGGGCGATGACGGGCATCCAGACCTGGTCGTAGTCGAGACGAGGCAGCGACAGGTCGCTGCCGGACTCGCTCAGACTGCTGCGCCAGTGATGCCTGAAGCACGGGCGCGACTCGGTGCGCGGCGACGACGACGACGACTGGCGGGCGGCGAGACTGGAGGGCCGCGAGGAGGCGGTGGCCGCCGGGGTCGAGGCATCGGAGTCTGGCGAATGGCGGAGACCAAAGACGTGCCAGTGCGAGTAGGTGGAATGGAAGGGCTCCTGGATCTGATCCCAGGTGTAGCCAGGCAGCTGGGCGAGGCGCTCAAACAGGCGTGCGGGCGGCAGCGGCAGGTCCTCGCCGAGGATGTGCGAGTCGTCGTCCATGGCGGGCATGGCAAAAGAACGGGTATGACAGAAGTCAAGAGCCAGGGTGCAGAGAGGCTAGCAGAGTGCCATGGATACGATGAGATTTCCCCTGGCAGAGATGGTGGTGGTCAGCTTCCGCGTGGGCCGCAAACGGAGGGGTTTCGACGTGCTGAGATAGGAGTCGAGGGGGAGACGCAGACGCAGACGCAGACGCTCACCGGGTTGGAACAGCGAGAATGGCAGCCTGTTTCGAGATGAGAGGAGATGAGCAGCAGCACGTCCCCGATGAGGCCGGCAGAGAAACAGACGAAGCGCTGGGCGAGTCGAGCGACTCTTTCTCTTGGGAGGGAAAACAGCAGAAGGTGCGAGAGGGAGAAGGAGAAGAAGACGAGGTCTGGGCACGTGGATGACTAAGCTGAGTCAGCACGACGGGTAGAGGACTAGCCGGATGGAGTTAGTACGGTGGGGATGAGCTTACTATATTTAGTTAGAATGGGCTATTCTGTATTAGGTTAGACGCTGATCCACGTCACATGATGTATTATAATACCTGGCAACCTGCCACAATCAATACGTCAATACATACATTAACACACTACTAACATACCTATGTATTTATGTATTGCTGTATTGTTATAATGTATATTGAGATGTCTAATAGTAGGTAGTCAGTTAGTTCTGCAATATAGGCAACAGTAGTGTACCTCACTTGGTATTATTTGTAATCTCAAGGAGATATAGATGATTTACTGGTTCTGTTCACTGTTCAGTATAGTCTTTCCTCCTCTACCTTACTAGATATAGATGACTCGGCATATTAGTATTATATAGGATTATAGGATTATATTCTATTAGTATTATGAGTATACTATGAGTACCAAGTATTATACAGTAATCAACTCGATAACGATCACTCCAATAGCTTTACTTCTTGCTTGAATAATCTCAATGAGAAAAACAAAAGATAAACTGAATAGAATAGAATAAGAATAGAATAGAATAAGAATAGAGCAAGGATCCTCGCTTCCACGCTGACTCAGCACGACGTCATGGCACACCAAACCTCCCTCTCTGCAGAGCCTGCGCCGTCTCCAACCTCCATCGCCAGCCGCCATCGCCATCCCATCGTCTGTCGAGTCGCTGCTTCGACTCTGCCTCCTGTCCACCTCGCCGTCGCTTCCCTCCACTCCTTTCTCCCTCCTTCGCCGCCCGTCCCGAGCCTCCTCCGACCGCATCACTCCTTCCCCCCCTCCTCCTCCGCCTGAGCGATGTCCGCCCCCGTCCGCTCCCCTGGAGTCGGTCTCGCCCTCGAGTAGCCTCCTCCCTGCTGCGTCCTTTCGTTCCCCCTGCCCCTCTGCTTCGCCCGTACGCATGGGTGAGCTTGTCTGCGGGAGTATGGCGACCTCGCCACGGCCCTCGTCGTCACCAGAGCCAGAGCCCGTCACTACTGCCGACGATGACGCGGGAAAGAAGCCGCCGCCGCCGCCGCCGCCTGGCGACCAGGCAACCAGCGTGCAGACCCTCCAGGCTCTCCGGAGGCAGATGGAAGAGCTGTTAGTCTACCAGCAGCAGCAGTCTCACCATCTCTCCAATCCCCTCGTTGATAATGCCAGCGTCAAGAAACCCTCCTCCACCCACCCCGTCTCGCCGCCGCCGCCGCCGCCGCCGCTGCCGCCCGTACCAGACAGCAACAACAGTCTCCCTGTCTCGACCAACTCTGACTCGACTGTTTCGGGGGGGACTCTTCGAGCCATATCTCCCGACCAGCCCGTCCATCAGACTCCGTCCTATCCGTTTCCCAGGGTACAACAGCAGCAGCAGCAACTGCCGCTGCCGCCCGCCCCGGCCGTCGGGATGCCCAACCGCTTCAAGCTGACCTTTCCCTCCGACAAACTCAAGGCTGGGACGGTGCTGCCACCGGCAGCATCGCCAGGAGCAGGCGTGGCGATAGGAACGGATCCTCCGATGGCGCGACACCCCCCCCTTTCCCACGGTTTCCTCCCGCCAGACGCCAAACCCGTCGCTGAGGACCCTCTATACCCGACTCCCAACCTCTATGACCTCGCCCTCCAGCTGAATGCCGAATCGGGGCTCGAGGCGTGGTGGGCGGCCGTCGTGCGTATCCTTCGAATCCACTACGGAGCCGAGAGGGTCTCGCTGGCCGTCCCGGGAGATGCCACCGACCTGGAGAACGTCCCGTGGGGGCAGAAGGCTGTCTTCAACCATTCCGTCCCGGAGAGATGCTACGATGAACCGCCGCCGACGGACTCCTTGGCCAAAAGTACACCCACCCAGGGCCCGAGCAGTAGGCCGCCCCCCCTGCAGGCGTCGACATCGGGATCCCCCAGGCGTCCTCCGCTGCCATCCCGTCACTCGTTTGCAGGCTTCGGGCAGAAAGCACAGGAGAGCCAGACTGGCTGGCCGCGCCCCTTGAGACCCAAGGACTCGTCTGATACCTCCTCGACAGAATTCGCCGAGTCGCGTCACCAGGAGGCAGACGATACTCCCGCTTCTACTTCTTCTTCTTCTTCTTCTTCTTCTTCTTCTTCCTCACCAGATGCCGTCCGACACGCCGTCTTCTCCATTCCTCGCCCGCTCGAGGTTGAGCCAGATCCGTTAATCAAGCGGACGGGCGTCGTCAAGCTGTTTGGACGCCTCAGACCCGTCATCCTCACCCGCGAGTACTCGCAGGACCATGTCAGGACATCCACCACTCATGCCCACAAGAAGAACAACCAGGATACCCTACCCGTTCAGACTCCCGACGACAAGCTTCAAGTGACGCCCGACCATGAACCGCCGGTCATGGCCACCACGGTCCAGCCCAAACTGCTCTCGACCCGCGTCGCTCGATCCCGATCCATCTCGACTCGCACAGCGCTGCCACCGCCGCCGCCGCCGCCGCCGTCAGTCCCCCTCGGCCCATCGTCGCTGCGAACGTCCACCACCACTGCCGAGCTTTACGACGAATATGAGCAGATCCCTCCGTCTCCCTGGTCCCAGTCTCCTGCACCATCTCCTGCGCCCCGCGCCCAGGCCGATCATAACCCGTTTTTCAATAGCCATACCGTCGACGAGAGCGCCTTCTCCAAACACCCCCCGCTCCACGACTACGCCAACCTGGAGCCGTTGCAGGCCATCGGCGTCGATCACGCCAAGTCGCTGGTCCATATCCCTCTGCTTCATGCCACCCCATCGCCAGATCCCTTCTCCGGCCCTCCCACAGCGACGATGCTGCCGCTCCGCTTCCCCATGGCCATCATCTCCATCCTCTCCTCCATCATCCCGTACCCGGCGAATATCCGCCAATCCCTCGAATTCCTCATGCCGCATCTGACCGTCTCCTTCGGCCTGGCCCAGCGGTACTCCCATCTGGAACGCCAGCTGGCCGCCGCCTCCCGTCTCGAAGCCCCCCGCTACGGCCACCTGCTTGGTTTGGGAGGCACCTTCTCCGACGAAAGTAGCGAATTGGAGCTCGTCGCTGGTCTCAGCGGCCATGTCAGCTCTACCCTCGGCGATGACCACTCGCTCTCCGCCCGTGCCAGCTTCTCCAGCCCCGACGACAAGTCCTCCACCTCCGTTCGTTTCAGCCCCTCCCTCTCCTCCTTTGGTACCCCAAGCGTGGATTTCTTCACCAGCGGGTCATTCGTCGGCAGCTCCCATCATCATCGCCCTCTCGAATCTCCCAATGTCACCACCACAACAGTTGCACCGGCAAGTGCTGCAGCGGTTACCACCCTGACCTCCAAACATGCCTTTGATGCCGTGGACAGTTATTTCCATGTCACCCAGAGCAGCAGCACCAGCAGCAACAACAACAACAACAACAACAACAACAACAACAACAATAGACCAGGGAATGAACCCGCACACCCTCATGCGCGGAACCGTCTCTCGCGATCTAAACCCTACCTCGTCTCCTCTTCCACTCCTTCTTCACCGGGAGGGAGGCTCTGGACCAGACTAGCCGCCACCGATGACTCGGTCGCTCACGATCCAGGTCTTATTGTGGCCTCACCAGGCCAGGAGATGAAATCCTGGGTGATGTCACCTACACAACTGCATCAACCACTAGTACTACAGCAGCAGCAACAACAACAACAACAGCAACAACAGCAGCAGCAGCAGCAGCAGCAGCAGCAGCAACAACCACACCAAGGATCATCCTCCCGACAGGCGTCAGCCACCTCGATCTATTCGCAGTTGTCCCGCGAGCTTAATCGACCGTTTCCGGATACCGTCGCCCAGCTGATGCTCAATTCGGTTCCTCTGCATCTCTTCCTAGCCAAGCCGCAGAGCGGGGAAGTGATCTGGACGAATACCAAGTTTGACTCGTATCGACGCAGCCAGCCGCAGGAGCCCAAGCTCCGGGACCCCTGGCAGAACCTGCACGCGAGCGAGCGAGACCAAGTGTCGCGAGGCTGGGAGAACGCGCTGCGGACTGGCTCGCAGTTCACCGAGCGGGTGCGTGTCAAACGGTTCAACGATGAGTCCGCGTACCGCTGGTTCATCTTCCGGGCCAACCCGTTACTCTCCGCTACGGGCGAGGTGCTGTATTGGATCGGCTCCTTCTTGGACATCCACGAGCAGCATATCACGGAGCTCAAGGCGGCGCAGGAGCGCGAAACGTTCGCCATTGACGCCAAGTATCGCGCCTTCTCCAACTCTGTTCCGCAGATCGTCTTCGAAGCGGCCGAATACCGCGGCTTGATCTTCGTCAACGAACAGTGGCGTCTGTACACCGGGCAGGACCTGCAGGAGGCCGTCAACCTTGGCTTTGCCAAACATGTCCACCCGGATGACATTGACAAGTGCGATCTGCTCTCACTGCAGCTTTACAAGTCGTCGGTTTCTCCGACGGATAGTACCGGCACCACCACCCAGGTGTTATTGACTGATACTCCTACTACTACTACTACTACTACTACTACTGCCACTACTACTGCTACTACTACTACTACTACTACTACCAGCCCGCTACAACACGGAGTGACGCCCGCCCTGAATGAGCTGGTGCGGCGCGGGTTGGTCTCGGTGCAAAAGGACGAGAACGGCCGGGTGTTCTATTCGATCGAGATCCGGCTGCGGTCCAAGGGGGGTGATTTCCGGTGGCACCTGGTGCGGGTGGTGAAGGTGGAAACGAGCAGCTTCGGGACGGGCGAGGCGTCGTGGTACGGGACGTGCACGGATATCAACGACCGCAAGCTGCTGGAGCGGGAGCTGAACAAAGCGATGCAGCAGCTGAACAAGGAGATGGAGTCCAAGACCAAGTTCTTCAGTAACATGTCGCACGAGATCCGCACGCCGCTCAACGGCATCCTGGGCACCATACCCTTCATCCTGGACACGCAGCTGGACACGGACCAGCGGCGCATGCTCGACACGATCCAGAACAGCTCGACCAATCTGCGCGAGCTGGTCGACAACATCCTCGACGTCTCGCGCGTCGAGGCCGGCAAGATGACCATGGTCAACTCGTGGTTCCACGTGCGGTCGGTCGTCGAGGACGTCATCGACACCATCTCGTCGCGCGCCATCGACAAGGGCCTCGAGATCAACTATCTCGTCGACCTCGACGTCCCCGCCATGGTCGTCGGCGACCGCTTCCGCATCCGTCAGGTCCTGATCAACCTCGTCGGCAACGCCGTCAAGTTCACCTCCCAGGGCGAGATCTACACCCACTGCTCCGTCTACCACGACCCATCCATCCACCTGAACCCGTCCGAGATCCTGCTGCACTTTGACGTCGTCGACACCGGTAAAGGCTTTAGCTCCTCCGAGGCCTCGCGTCTCATGCAACGCTTCAGCCAGTTGGGTGAGAACGGCTCCCCGCAGCACGCAGGCAGTGGCCTCGGCCTCTTTCTCTCCAAACAGCTCGTCGAAATGCACGGCGGTAAACTCACCCCTAGCAGCCGCAAGGGCCAGGGCGCCAAGTTTTCTTTTTATGTCAAGGTGGACGCCCCGCCGCCGCCAGAGGCTGCCGCCGCTGCTGCTGCTGCTACATCCTCACGCGTTCCCGATCCGTTGCCTTTCAAATCACCTGGCTTTCGCCAGGGCGAGGATCTCTCGCCCGGTCTAGAGTCGCCGTTTTTCCCACCCTCGACGGCGTCGGAACCCTCACTCCGATCCGTGTTCCAGACGGTCTCGGAGCGGTCGTCGCTGTCGTCGGCACTCCCCACGCCAGAGCTGCAGCCCGCTGCTGCAAAGCTGGCGATAGGCCCACCTTCTTCTGTGCCGGCACTACGGTCCAACCCTCCGCGCGACTCGTACTCCATCCTCATCCTCTCGCCGCTAGACCACACACGCGAGGCAATCAAACAGCACATCGAGCAGGTAGTGCCGCACGAGATCCCATCGCAGATCCTGTCGCTGCCCGAACTGGAAGACTGGCGCGAGATGGTGACCGCCAACATCAGCCCGGCCATCACCCACCTGGTCCTCAACCTGCCCGAAGCCGACGACGTGGCCGATGTGATCCAGTATGTCGTCGCGCAGGGCCAGGTCGCGACAGTGGTCATCATCGCGGACCTGTACCAGAAGAAACAGATCGCGGACCGGCTGGCCGAGCTCTCGGCCACAGGGCGCGCCGTCCACACCGTTCCCAAACCCGTCAAGCCGTCGGCGTTTGCCACCATCTTCGATCCGGATAATCGGCGCGAGCTGAGCAAGGACCGCAACCAGGACATGGCGCGCGAAATCAACAATAACTTCAAGACCGTGTCTAAGATGGTGAAAGAGATGATCGGGAACAAGGGTTACCGCATTTTACTTGTCGAAGATGACGAAACCAACAGGATGGTAGAACTCCACACTTGCGCCCCCCAATTCAATGCACAGTTGACTGATTGACAGGTCATGTTGAAATTCCTCGACAAGATCAAGGTGATGGCCGAAACGGCAACCAACGGGCAAGAGTGTCTCGAGATGGTCTTCTCCAAGGACCCGGGCTACTACTCTCTGATCATCGTAAGCTCTCCTCTTCTCTCCTCTCCTCTCCTCTCCTCTCCTCTCCTCTCCTCTTATTATACGTAATGGCCCATGTTCTAATCGCGCAGTGTGACATCCAAATGCCCGTCAAAAACGGGTACGAGACCGTCCGAGAGATCCGCGCCTGGGAGTCGCACAACCATTACCCGCACATCCCCATCATGGCGCTCTCCGCCAACGCAATGACGGAGCAGATCGAGAACGCCGCCCGCGCGGGCTTCAACGACTACGTGACCAAGCCGATCAAGCATACCGAGCTGGGGAGGATGATGATGGAGCTGCTCGACCCCGCCAGGCCGTTGGTCCTCCTTCGAGACCGTCTCCATCATCATAGATAACTTCTTGATACCCTTTCCTTACTCATCTCTTTGGACACAAATTCCCCTTGGTGTCCGCGGTTGAGCGATCAGAATGGCGTTATATATTTTGTCTCTTCTTCTTCTTCTTCTTCTTCTTCTTTTGTTTCTGCTATCTAAGATACCAGGCGGATGCCATTATGAACTGGTCGGTTTAGATAATGTACATTTTAATAATCGAGTATAGAGTGAGTCCGATATGGAAATGGAGACTTCCTGTCGATATTGTGGCGGTGAACCGACCTGAATACTCCGTACAACATCCAGCATCAATCCCCTGCTAAACTCGGATATAAGTATAGGCGATCTGCTCATAGCTCAGTACTCTGTACCTAGATACGAGTGTTCTGTAAATGGAAGATCCTGTCACCGTGGTTATCGCTAGGTACTCCGTAGAGACAAGCCCACATTATGTAGTATGACGAGATTCCTTTGGAAAAGTAGTGTATGCTCTTCGGTCTGCTCATTGTTTTGTTCTCGATCGCGATGCCCAGACAATCCACCCGCTAGAGAAAAGTTCAAGTCAAGACACCTCATGCAAGACGCTCGGTGCGGACGAGCAATGACAGCCGCAGCCGGCCAGGCGAAAAAGCAGATAGATCCCCAGGATTCTCTCTCTCTCTCTCTCTCTCTCTCTTTCTCTTTCTTTCTTTCTTTCTTTCTTTCTTTCTTGCACGTGTTCAGGCTGGGCTTCTCAGCGTTGCACAGCCCTTTTTTTTTGCCCTTTTTTTTCCCTTTTCTTCGCCAGCCGCTGCCTCGTTCGTTCATCTCCATACCTGCCTGAACGCTGCCTGAAAGTCGTGGGATTTTCCTGGACTTGCGGTTTTCCCATTCGCCTTGCGGGCTTTGATTTTTTTTTTCTCTTTCTTTTCTTCCTCTATTTTTCTCTTTTTCCGGCCCTTGAATTCGCTCTTTCCCTTCTCCCTCTTTGGTCAATTTTTTCTGGATTTTTTTTTCCGCGTTGTTTTCTCCTGCTCGAGCCTCCCTGGGCCATGCACTGCTGTCCAACGCCCACGACCTTCGAACCCGATGACCGCTTGCCGTGACGTTCAACGGCCAGCATTCCAGGCGCGTCCATTCTCGCTGGTCTCGTTCCCTCGCGCCGCGCGAACTGGATATCCGTCCCCTGCCGAGCTGGTACCGAGATGACGATATTTGGACCTCCCATCGTGCCCGAGCAGAAACACATGGGTTCGGAACTAACGTTCCTTAGGCAATAAGGCAGCCTTTCACCTCACTCCCTTGGCGTGATCTCGACCATGACGACAGCCCATCCTTACCCACGATTGAAGTGGAGGAGTGATAAATGATGTTGCTGGAAACTAAAAGTACAGTCAGCACTATATAATGCTATGTCAAAGAGGGGAGGGAGGGGAGGGGATCTAGAGAAGATTCGTAGTCACGCAATTCTGCCTCACTGTCCAGTGTTCCACCCTTTTTCTCTCCTTTCCAGAACAACGTGATCCCACGAGCATAGTTGCCCGGCTCTCCCAGCCACCCAGCCTCCTGAGAAACAAGAGATGAGACCGGCCTGCTTCGGAGCAAAAAGCGGCACGAAACCTGCAAGGCCACCACGGGTAGATAAGGGGCAGAGAGAGAATGCCCGGAGGGGAGACGGCCGCAATTTAAGTTTTTTTTTTTCCTTTTCTGTATGCCATACCCACTCCTCCCCATAGCCACCCCTCCTTCTGTCACCTGCCCTCACCGGACTGTGTCCAGGGTGGCTTGCTCGAAGGGGGGGGGGATCCTATCTGACCGGCCGGAAAGCGGAAGCTCGTCCTAGTGGAGGATTAGGGGACAATGGCTGTCCTCCTTCCGACCCAGAGCGGGGTCAGTCCATGGAGGGAGCGAATTGGCAGCCAGCACCGAGGGAGGAGACGGAGTCCATGACGAGGGGAGAGGGGGGTTGGGACGGGGATGTGAGAGGGTGGCAGAGATTCGCCTTCTCCTTCGTCTGTCCGTCTTGCCATCGTCTAGACCATTCCGCCGGATGGAAGACCCTCCGCGGAGGGATATAAAAACCTCCTCCTTCTTCGCCATGGAGTCCGTCTCTCCTTCTTTCCTTTTTCACCGGAACATCAACCTGTCAGACTTGGACTTGGGCAGACTTGTACTTGGTAGCCATCATCACTTGCCTTCTTGACAGACATCTTCAGGCATCACCTCATCAACCTCGCTCCCGTTGATCACCCGCAGAACTGCATCAAAAATGGCCACCCAGCGTCAATACTACCAGCCCGCCGCTCTCCCCATCAATGTGCCCTCCAAGGCCCCCGTCCCCGCCAGCCTTTATCCCATCTCGCGTGTGGCCGGCTCGCCTCCCGAGATCTCCGACAGCAGCACTACCGCCGGGAGCCGAACCTCGGGGTACAGTCTCACTTCGGGAAGCCTGAGCGGCGAGTACGAGTCCAGCTCGCTGTCGTACTCGGGCATCGATGTCGTCGACGTCCTGAGTGATCGCCTGCAGAACACGTTCGACCCGACGCCGCTGGATAAGGGGCTGGCGAAACAAGCACAAGCGTGAGCTTCCCCCCCCGCCGCTGTCTCGATAGATGCGTTTAAACTTTCGGCAGCTCTTGATGACTGACGATCACAGCTCCGGCCAAATGAACGCCAAACAGCGTGAGCTCATGGAACTGCAGGCGCTCGCCCAGCGGCGGCTCAAGGGGGCGCGGGCGAATTTCGCCGAGGGCCTCAAGGTTGCACGTGAGACAAAACGTGACCTGGAGTGGACGCAGAAGCGCGTCAGGTGAGTTCCGTCGGCTTCTCCTCTGATTTTTCTGCCTCTTCCGCTCCGCTCCGCTCCGCTGGCTCTTCTTGGCATACCGTTTCGGGGCCGTCGCTGTTTTTTTCACTCTTTGCGATTGTTCTGTCTGTATTTTCACGTAACGAAATCAAACTGACCAAACCAGCGCGTTGAAGGCTAAGGCCGAGACCGCACACCCAGAGGAGTATCGCCGGGCATCGAAGAAATATGCGTTCGACGACGAGTATTGAAGCGCTGCTGGGATATCCCCTTTTCTCTCTTGGCTTATTGCTTGTAATGATGTGTCATGATTCCTTTTTTTTTTTTAATTATTGATGGAAAACTGTACAGCGAACCGGGTGTCTGATTATTCTTTGCTTTCTGTTGTCATTATGTGGTTGGATGTCTGCTTGTGTCTCATGGAATCAGTCATGAGCTAGTTAGTACCTATATTCTGCTGTTGATTCAGCTATGAAGCCATGATCTTTCGACTTTTTCTCATCGTAATACAGTGTTGTGTCGTTGATTCTGAGCTTACCGACACCTGATCCATGGTATGGTATGGTCTTATCCACCCCTTGCACATCCTGGATCCGTGGAATGTGAACCAGCTCAATCTCAGGATGGAATCTTGCGGCTATATATAGTACTATAAGCTGCACTAAGACAAATGGTTTCAGCAGGGGCCAGACTTTAATATTAAGATATGCTAAATACATCACCATCGTGAATCTAAGCCTCGCCTGGAGTGACTAATGGCTATCACCGAGCTTGAAATAAATCGAGTCAAAGAACACTCCCTCGCAGTTTCCATCGCATAACTATCTCGTCTTTACTTTCATTGACAGCACACAACACTGTAAGTCGCCTAGAACCGTCGCAGACACTTGGTCTTAATGGCAGGGAGACCAGCCCATGGATCCTCGATGAAGGTGGGGAGAAAGTAAGACTTGACTCCATCGCCATTCTTGGTCGTACCGGCTGCCAGCTTCACAAGCTCCTGCAGCTGTAGGAAAGCACCGCTGGGTGTCTTGTAACCGGCAGCGTACTGTGTGCAAAGAATGCTCTCCATATCTTCGTTGGTAGGAGACTCGGCGCGTTTGATTTCCTTGGCCTTGTCCCCGGTCTTCTCAGGCAACGCCTTTTTGTCAGGGCTGTCTTTGGTACTCTTTTCTTTGATAGTCTTGTTTCTGGTAGCCTTATCTTTGGTAGTCTTGTCTTTGGAAATCCTTTCCTCAACAGCCTCTTCCTCGACAGTTTTGTTTTCGGCAATCTTGTCTTTTGCAGTCTTGTCTTCTGCAGTTTTGTCTTTGTCTGTCTCTTTGAATTTGCCAAACGAAATCTCTTCCTCGGGTTTCTTCAAACCTAGATGAGGTACTGGTTAGCATATTCATTATGCTATGCTTTGGAGTAGTACTTACTGGGCTTCACGGCTGGCTCGACGGCTTGCAAAGGAGACGACTTCTCGGCGTTCAGATTCTTATCGGACCCAGAATTCAGAAGGGTCTTGTCATCACTCTTGTTTTGAGCGGCTTGAGTGACCTGACATAAATTCTCATTTTTCGGGGTAATCACGGGAGCCTGCTCGCTAACAGCACGGTTGGACTTTGGCATCTGCTCGCCATCGCGAAGAGAAACAGGTCCCTTTGCACTGATGTCAGCGACAGATTTGGCGACTCTTAGACCATTCTTTCTGGGTCCATTGTTTCGAGCGTTGCGAGCAACATCTTCATCACTAGGGTTGTTTGATTCTTCTCCTTCCTTATCACAGCCTCGACCAAGGGTAGACGCAGCCTGATTATCAGCTTCATTCTGAGGAGACTCGCTCGGTTCGACTGCTTCAACGGAGGCTTCTTTCAGGGTGCAAGAGCGGATGCAGATGTTGACAACAGGCTTGCCAGTAGGTTTTTCGTCTTCCAAGCTTTTGGCAGTTACAATATCCTCTTGATGGAATTCAAAGGACACCATTTCAGTGACAGGGACAGACTCGCCAGAGGTCACAGAAACGGGTTCAGTCTTCTCAGTAACTGTCTCAGTGTCCACAGAAGCAGGTTCGATTTCAACCACAGTCGTCTCAGTCTCAGTCACACAGGCGGGCTTCTGTTCACCTGTAGAGACATTCTCAGTCTTGGCCACACTGGCGGGTTCAACTTCGGCCATCGGGACAGACTGCTCTTCAGCCAGAGCACTCTCAGTCTTGACCACAGGAGAAGGATCAGCCGTCGCAGGTTCCGCCTCAGGTACTCTAGACAAGATCTTGAACCCAGCATTGTTACCCCCAGTAGTCTCGGCAGATCTGGGATCCTTCTTCGCTGTGTTTTCAGCAGAGACGGACCGTTCTCTACCACGGCGTCCTGCTCTGCCGCCCCGTCCTCGACGCCTGGGGAAATGAGGGTTGCGAGAGGGCGCGGTGGAATCCATTTTTGCACGCGGCAACAGATGGTTGAAGGTGGTTGACGGTGGTTGCAGTAGAAGGGTAGAAAGAAATGAACTGGGTAGAGAAGAGGGAGGAGGGTGGGAGAGAATGATGTGAGAGAAAGGTGAAGAAGGCACGGGGAAAAGCACAGAGATGGGCATTCACTGATTTCTATGAACAGTTCTCAAGATATCGGCCATAGGGAATATCATCTTTTTATTTTCTATTATAAAACAATGCCTATCCTCTCAAACACTGGTCATAGAGTAGTAAGTGATTAATAACTATTTTTTTTGTATATCTAGTTTCTATATACCTAGGGTACTTATTGGAAGAGATGCTCCTCTTCAATGGCCCGGTTGATCACACGGACGAAGCGTCCTACTTTATCTGGGTCCTGTTTGGCAGTTTCGATGCCCAGAAGGATCTTCTTGACGCCGACGGCGATGGATCGATCCTCGGCGGTGATGCTGCCGATGCCCTGCAGCGCCTGCTCGATCTCCTGGGGCTCGAAGGCACCGCACTGCTCGAGGATATACCGGAGTTCGTCATAGGAGGTGATGTTGGGCACCATGATGTCTGAATTAAACGAGTTGTAGAAATCAAGCTGCTTGAGGATGGCGCGCTCCGTAGTGGTGGCCAGGATGAGCAGCCGCCGGCCCTTGGTCGGTTGCTTGCGCAGGAAGACCATCAGGGTCTGCAGCACGGTGTTGCTGAACCGCGGGCCGATCGGGACCCAGTCGATGATGCGCTCGATGTTGTCAACAACCACGACACTTGTGCGGCTCTTGTATGCGTCGTCGAAGATCTTGCTAATGTGCTGCACCTTCATCATCTCACTGAAGCCCACCATGTCCTCTGGGCTGATCAGTTTGATAAAGGGGAAGCCCGAGTCGATGGCGATACGAGCTGCCAGCGCCGTTTTACCGCTGCCCGGGGGCCCATGAAGCAGGACCGAGAAGACGGGCGTCGAGTCGGCACTGCCCACTTGCTTCACGAACAGCTCGCCCTCCCTCAAGATTTCGTTGACGACGGGTGAATAGTGGATTATGCCGTACTGGATCCGGGTCGATAGCTCTTCCTCGGACACACCAAACGCCGGCTTGACTTCGTCCAACGCATGGTGGAAATCGGCCCGGTTGACCTTCATGTTGACGACGTCGTCACTGAGGTTGGCCATTGTGCCCACCTTGACATGCCGAGAAAAGGCAAACGAGGAGGCGGACTTGACCAGACCAGCGATCTCGGCACCTGAAAAGTTCTTCGTCTCGAGGGCCAGCTCGCCTAGATCGACGTCTGAATCCATCACGTTGTTGTCACGCATCCTCTGCGTGTGAATCTTGAGAATCTGGGCGCGGCCCTTCTCATCTGGGAGAGAGATCTCCATGTGCACTTCTAGACGACCTGGCCGCAGCAAGGCTTCATCAATCATGTCCTTGCGGTTGGTCATACCGATGAGCAGGATGTTGTTGAGCTGGTCAACACCATCTAGCTTCGACAGCAGCTGGTTGACCACACTGTCACCCACACCTGTCCCCCCGGCCGCACCACTGCCACGCTGCTTGCAGACGGCATCCAGCTCGTCGAAGATGATGATGTGAAGCCCACTTTCTTCGCCTTTCTCCTTGTACTCTTTCTCCGCGTCGGCAAAGAGCTTTCGCACGTTCTCTTCCGACTGACCCACGTACTTGTTCAACACCTCCGGGCCGTTGATCACCTTAGGCTCTCTGGCATTCAACATTTTGCCGATTTGTCGCGCAATCAGCGTTTTACCCGTTCCCGGAGGACCGTAGAGCAGGATACCCTTCACGTGCTGGATTCCCAGCTTCTCAACCAAGCCCGGGGGGAAGATACGAGATGCAAACGCACGACGGAAGATAGTGCTGAACTCAGAGTCGAGGCCACCGATGCCCATATCCTCAAACTTGAAGTCCGGTTGAATAATGGAATTGGCAGCGGGTCTGCGGTTGGAAGCCTTGACATTGATGCCCGTGCGAGCATCCTTGAAGAAGTTGATTTGAGTATGTCTGGTGATGATTCCTCTCGCAGTGGGCTCGGTGTCGACTCGCCCAGCAGAAAGATCCGGCTTCTCTGTCGTCAAATCAACCCGCTGGACGGTCTTGATTGTCAGAAGAAGAGGTATGCTTTTGTGGTCCATCAAGATCTTCTGTCCGGGGGCGAAAATCTGGTTCTCAAAGTTCTATGCTTGAATCAGTGACGCCATTCCTCCACCAACAGTTCGGTTTGTTAATAAAAGCTTACTTTAATCACTGCGGTTCCCAGCTCATCCTGATCGTACGGCGTTTCGACCCGTTTCTTCCCCGCGAATCCAACCTCGATATCCGTTGAGCCCAGATACGCCTGGCCGCCCTGGCTGAATGGATCGTAGATCTGCACCTTGACCGCATCCGTGAAGGCAACCATCGCCCACGTCCGCTGGGGATCCGACATGCTCATCTGGCCTGGCGGGAACCCGTCCAACGGGCGCGCTGAGAAGACGTAGAGGTCATTGACCAGCAGGAGGAGATCGGTTCCGTCGCGCGTCGGGGGGAAGTCCTGCGTCGACACCGCCACCCTAACAACACAGTCAGTAATCCCAACAGGAAAGAAAAAGAAAAAAAAATGAACCATCCGAACTGCTTACAAGTTCCCAAATGTATACGTGTTATCTGGACTCTTCGCTGGCCGCAGCGTCCATACTTGACCGCCGCCCGGAGGCTTTCGAGCGGGCATCTGCATGTTTCCTGGCCGTCCACCGTAACCCCTTGAATCGCCATACGCATCAGTCATCTGCACATCATGGTCTCGTAGGCGCGGAGAAGCTCCATACCCTGCTGCGCCAGCACCGGGCCCGTGGCTACTGTCGTATCCCTCTCTTCTCGGATATGGAGGAGCTCCCTGGGCGGGGTCTCGTGGGGGTGGCCGTCCACCGTCTGGTCGACCACCACCGAAGGGGTTTGGAACAGACGGGTAGTTGTTACGATTAAACATCGTTCTTCACGTACCGAGGCAAGCTAAACGCGATGGCTGATGGTGAGTAGGGGGGTTATAGTGAGACGGACGCTGGTCGCGGTGGCTAAATCGCTGAGGTGGCGGAGTTCCCTGGAGGGCCTGGAGGGGAGGGGGAGTCCAGCAGAGCCAGTGAAGATAACCGTGTTCCAGAAGTAAAATACAAGATCTTCTTCAATCCAACCCAGTTGGTTTGATGAATGTGAGAATACGTAGATCCAGAACAAGTGCAACGTGGAGGGCCTGGAGAAGAAGCCCGCTCGTGCCAGCTCTGGTGGGGCGTGTCGATCTACGTTGAGGTCAGCCAAGGCCAAACTCAGGCTGCAACTATTCCGTGAGGGAGTTGTCTGTGGCAGCGAAAATGCCTCTGTGAGTACTGTTTTACCCGACGAATGTGTTGTTAGTTGCTAATACTGGTTTGTGTGTAGCCACCTCCTCGGCAAGAAGTCATGGAACGTCTACAACCAAGAGAACATTGCTCGCGTGCGCCGTGACGAAGCGCAGGCAAAGGCGCGAGAAGAAGAAGCCGAGCGGCGGATGCAAGAGGAGGACGCAGAGAGACGGATTCAGATTCTGCGTGGTGAACAGCCTTCTCCTCTTCCTCCCCCTCCTTCTCCTGGGGAGACGTCCACACGGCAAGAAAGGAGGCGTGACAGGGATGATATCGGACGGTCTAGGAAGCGGCGACGGTTGGCGGGGGAAGACGACACGGATCGGGATATACGATTTGCACGAGAGGATGCCGCCGAAGCGAGTGCTAGGCGAGAGCAGATGGTGTCGTCGTCGACGATGACGACGACGACGACACGTGGGGAGAAGGATCTGGACACTCCGCTGACGGACAGCACGGGACACATCAATTTGTTTGCGTCTGAGGCGGCGCAACAGCAGAAACAGAAACCGGTGGAGAAGAATGCTGAGGCTGAGGCTGAAGCGGCCAGGAAGAAACGCCAGTACGAAGACCAGTACACGATGCGGTTCTCGAATGCGGCCGGGTTCAGAGAATCGGTCGGTCAGAGCCCCTGGTATTCGTCCTCTAGTCATGGCGGACAGGCACCGCAGCCAATGTCAGAAAAGGATGTCTGGGGGAACGAAGATCCCCTGCGGAAGGAAAGGGAGAGGGCTCGACTCGACTCGAACGATCCGCTGGCGGCGATGAAAAAAGGAGTGCGTCAGCTGCAGGCGGTCGAGAAAGCAAGAAAGCAATGGAACGAGGACCGGCTGATTGAGATGAAAAGGCTCCAGACAGATGCATATTCAGACCAGCATCGCTCCAGCCGTCAACATCGACGGCGAAGGGAGCGCTCACGGCCAAGAGAACCCGACTCGGACGGCAGTCTGGAAAACTTCAAGCTCGACGAAGCATCCTCACTGGACAAGGAAAAAGACGATGATGAGAGACACCGGAGGAGCTCGAAACGCTCTTCGCATCATCGCCATCGTCACCACCGACATAGTAGTGACAGGCGGCACGAGCACTCGCGCTCTCGCTCGCATCGCCATAGTGGTGACGGCGGGCGAGAGAGTCACAGGGATACACACAAGACGACAAATAACATATTGTAATGATTTCTATATTTCATACGAGAGACCATTCTATCTAAGGATATGGATAGCAGTAGCATTGCTTTCTCATACTGCGGTGGATGTATATACCCCTACGCTATACCCGGTATTGCCGGAAAAAAAGGAGATAAATTCAGAAACTTTTGTAGAACGTCCATGCCGGCAATTACTGCAAGGACCATTTTTGCGAGCCCTTTTCGCCCTCAGACGCGTCCCAGTCGACGGTGATGTCTAGCGAGCGCGACTGCGGCTCCTTCTTCTGGTAGCCCAGCTGGCCTCTAATCGTCTGGCCCTTCTTCAAGGGAACACCCTGGCGGACGCTGCGGTCGAAAAGCAGGATGGTCTGCTGCCAGTGGGTTTCGGGGCCGTCCGGTCCCGTGGTGAAGGCGACATAGCCCTTCTTCTTCATATCGGCGGGGGTTGCTTCGCGGGCCACCGTGGACGAGGACGAAGGCATGAAGAAGATGTCGAACCAGACCGCGAAGCCGTCCAGCGCGTCAATGTCTTCCCCGAGCGTGACCTGGAAGTCCTTGAGGAAGGACAGCTCATCGACGCGGATCGTGTGCAGTGGCAGTTCCAGGAAGACATCCGAGTTGCCTGCAATCGTGGACGGCTTGATCACACGGACCAGGGCCTCATCGTAGATCTTGTCGCGCATGCTCGCCATGTTGAAGCCGTAGACAGAGTCCCAGAAGGAGATGTGCGAGGCGAAGAAGTCAGGGTCGGCATACGGCGCCACGCGCAGGGTCGCATGAGAGGGGACCATCAGACCCCCCGGGGCGAGATAACGGTCGCGCGCGTAGATGACCGAGTCGAACATGGCTTCGAAGAGCAGGCCATAGCCCATCCATTCGGAGATGATGATGTCCACCTGCTGAACCGGGAGAACCACTTCTTCAATCTTCCCGCGCAGGCAGCTAGTTCAGGTCGTCAGTCTAGATCTTTGGCGCTATCCAAAGTGTGGATGTAGTGCTCCAACTCACGTTATCACATCGCCAAACCCGTTTTCATAGACAATCTCCCGGGCCTTCTCAATGATGTTCGAGTTGTCCACGGAGATGACTCGCTTCGCTCCAGCCTTGGCGCAGAACATGGACAGAATTCCCGTTCCGCACCCCACGTCCAAGACGACCTTGTCCTTGAAAAGGTGCTTGTTTTCGTAGACAAAGTCGCGGTAGGAATCCGTGCGGATGGCATCTTTCAGCATGGATTCGTGGATCGCTGTCTAGTCAGTACGGATGGTACGATGACAACAGTCAGAGAGCAGACGGGAACACCCACCATTGTAAGCATACGCGGTGAAATAGCCCGACTCTTCCTCTTCGACTTCGCTCTTCTTGGTCTTGTCAGAAGCCCCCTTTGGCGCCGATCCCAGCTTTGTCTCTTCCACGGACAGCTGTTCCTCCATCGACTTCTGCACAGCCATTCTATATTCAGAAAACTGACTCTGCAGGCGCTCGAGTTCTTCCTGCAGCTCCAGGACTCGACGCTCCGCCTCGTTCTCTCCGGCCGCAGGCGTCTCTTCGAGATCGTCAAGATCCTCCAAGCTATACAAGAGAGCATCGTCCTCCAGAACGGGCTTCAGGTACGCGTCATCTTCGAACAGGGTCTTGGACGAGACATCGGGTGTCTTGTTTCCCGCCTTAATCTGCGTGCGGATATAGTTCACCAGTTTGATAGATTCGAGGAAGTCCAGATCTATCACATCAGATATCAGCAAGGCTCTAAACGTCGCCAAATTAATTCCAGAGACTGCTTCCTACCAAGCTCCTTCTGCACCCCGCGCAGATCGAAGTTGTGTTTGTCCTTGGTCTCCCTCAGCATCGCACGCACATCCGGGTACACTGTCTCTGAAAAGAGACCGACAACCGGCTGGCTCTCGTCATCAGGCTCGACATCTTCCCACCCTTCCTCATCGGTAGAATCCGAGTCAGTGTGCGATTCGTCGTCAACCTCTCGGTCGAAGCGACGGTCGGAGGGCTCGTGGGAGGGGGACATTGTAGAGGGCAGCAAAGACAAAAAAACAATTCAACCCGCCTCACAATATTCCGCTAGGCCAGTTCTCAGCCAGATTCAACACCGTGGCTGAAAATATTCTAGGGGTGAAGCATCTTCCATCCAGGCGGAGAGGGGAAAAAATCGTATGCGGCCTGAGGCCTCCCTCCTGCCCCGCCCTGACCCGTTGTTTATCCACTGCAGGCCCAGATCTGAGCTGGATGCTTCACCCCGCCAACCGGGAGGACCTGCTGGTGTTTGTCACGACCTCTTTCTGGGAGTGTTTTGCATGCATTTAGACCTGCAGATCTGATTCAAGGGTGTGGAATTGGCGCTTTTGCTCTGTTGTTGCTGATCCCGCCTTCCCCCCCCCTCCGTCATGGCCTTCTTTTTCAATAGGGCCCGCCCCCGGCAGCCGTCGGACGTGGTGAGGTCGATCAAAGAGCTGCTGTTCAGGCTGAGCGAGGCCCCTGCGGCGCCCAAGGTTGGTAGATTAGCTCTACTCCAGGTATGGGGACTTGGAAGAGGGGAAAGAGGGCGAAAAGACTGACTCCAGAACAGCAGGTGGAAGATGACCTAGCCAAACAGCTGTCTCAGATGAAGCTTATCGTACAAGGCACGCAAGGTGGGCTGTGACCCGTTTTATGGACGCTTTGTGGAACATCAGAAGACTGATTACGAATTGCATGTAGAAGTCGATTCGTCACCGGAACAAGTGCAGGCGCTGGTCCAGGCGATTATCCAGGAGGACTTACTCTACGACCTGGCGCGGAACATCAGATCACTGCCCTTCGAAGCCCGCAAAGATACGCAGACAATCTTCTCGCATGTCCTCCGGTTTAAGCCCATCCATGGCCCCCAAACTGACCCGCCAGTCATCTCGTATATCGTTCACAATCGACCGGAGGTTGTCATCGAGCTCTGCCGAGGGTATGAGTACAGCCAGAGCGCCATGCCCTGCGGGATCATCCTCCGCGAGGCGTTGAAATTCGATGTCGTCGCTGCCATCATCCTATACGACCAGTCGGACGAGGGAGAGCCTGCAATCCGGCTGACTGATCTCCAGCCGGCCGTTGTCCAGTCGGGCGATGGGGTGTTCTGGAAGTTCTTCCACTGGATTGACCGGGGCAGCTTCGAAGTGAGCGCCGATGCGTTTACGACCTTCCGGGTAAGCAGGCAGGCAGGCAGGCGGCTTGGTCCGCTTGGATAGTTACATGGTTAACGCGCTGTTGTTCTTTCTAGGAGATTCTGACCCGCCACAAATCCCTTGTGTCCTCATACCTGACAAGCAACTTCGAGCTCTTTTTCGGACGATACAACACCTTCTTGGTCCAATCAGACTCGTATGTGACGAAGCGCCAGAGCATCAAACTGCTGGGCGAGGTTTTATTAGACCGGGCAAACTACAACGTGATGATGGCCTACGTCGAAAGCGGGGAAAACTTGAAGCTTTGCATGAAATTGTTGCGAGACGATCGTAAAATGGTCCAGTACGAGGGATTCCATGTTTTCAAGGTGTTTACTCTCTGATCCCTCGCTCCAAGGGAACCCAGCTGACCGGATTCCTCCAAAGGTGTTTGTCGCCAACCCGAACAAGTCCGTCGCCGTCCAACGCATCCTTATCAACAATCGCGACCGCTTGTTGAAATTCCTGCCGAAATTCCTCGAGGACCGCACGGACGACGACCAGTTCACCGACGAGAAGAGCTTCCTGGTCCGCCAGATCGAGCTGTTGCCCAACGAACCCATCGACCCCAACCGTGCGCCGCGCGAGTCCTCACGCTCGGGCGTCAACACCGCCGTGGCTTGAATCATCCATCCATTCATCCATTCATTCTCTCTTTGTAGGGCATTCTCCTTTGGATTGCATTGTTGGCGGCCTGCTGGCAGACGGCACCTTGGCGTTTTTGGGCGTATCCCTTGGGAATATTTGTTGGTATAGCATGTACGGAGCACTCCGTACTGTTTCCGCCACCGTCTCCGCAGAGAAGCTCGCTGGCTCTCCTGCTATGCCATCTATGTATCTCGGGTGTTGGGTAGTTATCCCGGAGACTGACTGCCCCAGACAGAAATGCCCATCGAACGGTATTTTATGAATCTACTAACGCAGCGAGGGGTTCCTTTTATTTATGAATGCTATTCTCCTTTCTCTTCCCGTGTCCTCCTCCTCCTCTCCTTCTATTCTAACCCTTGGCCTGGACTAGCAGGCCCTGAGGGCGTTAAATACCTCCCCCCACTGCATTAGTATCCAGGGGAAGTGCCTGTGGGCCGCTCGACTGAGATAGCAGCTTTAATTTTAGCATCAGAGCGTCACTGGCCTTATAATAATAGCCGTGCCCTCAGTCCGACAATTAATCTTGTACGTACGTGATGATGTACGACTCCCTGTAAAAGATCCACTGCTGGGCCGTCCCAGAAAACTCTTCGCCTCAGGAACTTTCCTTGGATGCCTTCATTCTCTTTCCACCCTCTCCTCGGCTCGATGACCACCGCCTGTTCGCTCCTTTACTCCTGCCCCGGTCCGTCCTGGAATGAGAATTCTATTATTGCCGCCAAGCCAGCTCCCTCACAGGGACCCGCCCGATAGTCGAGCTTGAAGCTTGATCCCCGTGCCGGGCGATGGTCTGCTGTACGACGAGTCTTCCTTGCCCGCGGTCGTCTTCGATATTAATCGCTTGAGAGCGATTCATCCCCTAGACCTGGCGCGCATTTGTCCTGGGGCCTCCCCCTGCCAACGCAGAGCGCCGCCTCCTTTAACCCCACCCCTTTGGGGAACAGCCTCTTGAAACCGAACAGACAACCAAACAAGCGAGCCAAACAAGGGAAGCTATATCTGGATATACAGAGTCATGGTATAAGTCATGGGCGGAGCGGATTCGGATTTGTCGTCATCTCCCGTCGCCACGGTCAGCGCAGCGGGCGACGCCGCGCGACGACCCCTTGCGAACAAAACACAAACAGCGAGCATGCTGGCACTGCCAAATGGCTCTGGCGATCATCGTCCGCGAACAGCGTCTGAGGCCCGCACGGAGTTGCAGCCAGACGTGGTGGCCTTGCGACCGTCCACGTCGACCGGTGCCAGCGCGGAGAGCGAGCCGGTCAAGTCGACCAACAACCACGCCACAGGGGGGTTCGCGCTTCGTGACTCGCTGCGCAATATCCCCAGCATCGTTCTTAATGATGGAGGGTCGCGGCCAAGCTCGCGGTGGTCGGAACGGAGATGGACAGGTCTGAGGAGCAAGAAGTCATCCGAACTCGAAGACCCGCCACCGCCACCGCCGCCATTACCTAGCGACATGTCGCAGCCGTTCAATGGGATCAGCCTGGATATCCCCACGGCGGAGTTGGAGGAGATGCAGTCACTGAGATTTTCCAAGCGAGGGAGTCTGATCAAGAGCTCTCCGAAACCGCAGGCACAACAACAACCACAACAACCACAACAACCACAGCCGCAGGAAGTGCAGTCGGAACAGTCTACGTTGTCAGCTACTTCCGCACCGTCGGCTACGTCTACGGAGCAGACCGAACAGACCGATCAGGCAGAGCCTAGGGTGGTTGCGCGGAGGGCTGAGAGCAGCAGACGAACCAAGGTCGTGCTGTCCGCTCGTCTACGCCAGTCGACTCTGTCATCACGCGCCATTTCGGCAGACGAGGATATGCTGTCTCGCCGGGTGCGGCTGATGTACGAAAAGGGCAATGAGAATGTCAGCGATGCGGAGGTTGCAAAGTCGATGGCACTCGAGAATGGGGTCTTGTGGGAGGAGGGCGCAGTCAGCGGCACCGACACCGACACAGATACAGGCACTTGCACCAACGGGCGACCGAGTGAGACACTGCCCCGTGTGAGTTCTGAGGAGGCTCGGGACGCTCGGGACGCTCGGGACCCGGCCTTGTTCAAACGAGAATCCAACGAGCTGGCTGGCGGTATCGAATACTGGCAGAACATCGGGGCCGGTGATGTGGATCGGTACGGCTTCATCCGGCGCAAGACAAACGAGTCGGGCGATGGCACCGACCCGAACCCGATCCAACGCGTGTCGACCAGTCTCCTGCTGGCCTCTGAGAGTCCGCGGCGCAAACGGTCGACAATGCGTCCTCCGTCAGCGCTGACCAGCAGCAACCGCTCCTTTACTGGTCGCTCCCCGACCCGCAAGCTGTCCGACACATCGATGCGGCCGACCTCATCGCAAAGCGGCTATGGCACGCCCCTCCGCCGGTCCACGTCGCGGTTTCGCTATGCTACCAACCACCTGCCGCACAACCGTGATCGCCGCATGAAAGACGAGGCAGCAGACATGCTCACTCTGCCGCAAATGGCTACCGCCGGGGACGGACCGGACTCACGGCTGTCGCGCGCGATCAGGAAGAAAGAATGGGAACGCGAAGACAAGTGGACGAAGATGGCCAAGCCGACGCGCAAGACGCACGACGGCGGCGGCATGCGGTTCGAGTTCGACACCCAGAGCTCCAAGCTCATCGAGCGCACCTGGAAGGGCATCCCCGATCGGTGGCGAGCGACGGCGTGGTATGCCTTTTTGGAGGCGAGCGCGCAGCGCCGTGCCGACAGCCCCTCGGAGACCGAGCTGATCGAAGCCTTCCACGAATACCAGTACATCTCCTCGCCGGACGACGTACAAATCGACATCGACGTGCCGCGTACGATCACCAGCCACATCATGTTCCGCCGCCGCTACCGAGGCGGCCAGCGGCTACTGTTCCGCGTCCTGCACGCCATGTCCCTGTATTTCCCCGACACGGGCTACGTCCAGGGAATGGCTGCGCTGGCTGCCACCCTGCTCGCCTACTACGACGAGGAACACGCGTTCATCATGCTCGTGCGGCTGTGGCAGCTGCGCGGCCTCGAGCGACTCTACCGCTCCGGCTTCTCCGGCTTGATGGAGGCCTTGAACGACTTTGAACGCGAATGGTTGGAGAGCGGCGAAGTAGCCGCCAAGCTGGTAAGTTGAAACTACTCTATAAACTACCCTGTATACCTTGTACAGACAGAACATGCTTACACACTTTGTTTCATAGGAAGAGCTCGGAATCCCCCCCACCGCATACGGCACCCGCTGGTACCTGACGCTATTCAACTATTCCATCCCCTTCCCCGCCCAGCTGCGCGTCTGGGACGTCTTCATGCTCCTCGGAGACGCCGAGGAAGTCCCTGTTCGATCCCACGCGGGCAAGGCCTCTTCCCACGACACAACCACCAACGCCTCCTCGTCCTCATCACCGCCATCCCCGTCCTCCTTCGGTCGAGGCCTCGACGTCCTGCACGCCTCCTCCGCCGCCCTGATCGACGGCATGCGCGAGATCATCCTCGACTCCGACTTTGAAAACGGCATGAAGGTGCTCACCAGCTGGGTCCCCATCCGTGACGTCGAGCTCTTCATGCGTGTCGCCAAAGCGGAGTGGAAGGTCCATCACAAGAAACGTCACTCTTGAACAAATTCCCTACTTTCTATCTAATTCTACTTCACGGCTTACTCTTTCCTCACATCCATGATCTACTACTACTTTGTTTCTTTCTTTCTTTCTTGTTTTTTTGCTGCTGTCTTTTCTACACCAACTACTACTGTCCCGCACCATCTGTCTCTTTGTGTTAACATAATACCCCGTCATGTTATGTCTAAAAACTGTTTCCTTGAGGTACTATTGCTACAACCCTATTACTGTATAATCGAGATAATACGATACCCAAATCCAGTTCGGAGATATGTCACTTTTTCCACTCTTGAATATTCCATTCTGACTAACGGTGATGATTTCAATCGTGCCTCGGACCAGCCGACCTGGGTATATATTCATATTTATTTACATAACAGGGAGGGGAGAAGAGAAGAAACCAGGCTGTCATGCAACTCATACATACTTGCAACGCCATCCCAAACTAATAATCATTCAAAAACGGTCGTTTCATGTCAATTGGTAAGAAAGCAAAAGCTGGGGTATCGAACAGAAGCGTGATACAAAAAAGAAAAAAAAAGAAAGAAAAAAAAAAAAACAATAGTCGTCAAAAGACTTAATCGGACTGGCCAGACTGGCTATCATTTGCAGCTGGCTCATTCTTCTCCGGATGCGACTCTGCAATCCGCGCGGGCACCGTGCTGGGACTAGGTCCTCTGCTCCCGTACGACTCGGACGCGTCGCTGTGGTTTCGTGCATGGACTTGCCTATCTCCAGACCGGGCGCCAGTGGCAGATGGGCTCTGTCTCGCCGAGGAGGAGGACGACGATGAAGTTGGTGGGGGCGCAGGCTGATGGCCGCCCGTTGCCTTGCGCTTGCGACCGGGGGAGCCCTGATACTCAGACCGAGAATGCGAAGGCGCGCTGGAAGACGCAGTCGAATCCTGCTGAGTCTTTCCCATCGATCCATTCTGATGTGACTGGCCTGGGGGCACCCAATGGTGGAAGTAGATGGATGACGGCTGTTGCTGGGACGGTGTCTCGTGTTTAACCGAGCTCGGAGGGGGGAGAGGAGCGGCCGGTGAGTTCAAAAGGTACGGGGGCGCATTCCCGAAAATGTGTGAAGATGGCGGTTGTTGGTGCTGGATGTCTACAGCATTATTAATGCGTGACGGGAGCGATGGAACCGAGCGTGCAAACGACGGGGGTGTCGAAGACGGCCCATCGGCCAACTTTGGCGGCTGTGGGAGACTTTTACCGGACCCAGCAGCCGTCGGAGCAGGATATGGGGGTAGTGATATGCCACGACTCTCCAGACGTGTCTCCGCCAGGGGCTGAAGCCGACGCTGAACCGATGGCGGAGGAGGCAGGGGAGACCCAGACAGATCGGAGCTCGACATCGAAGGGGGAGGGGGCGGCATCGAGTGCACCGACCCCCTCCCACCAGGTCGCAGGGCGGCCTGTTGTTGCTGGTTCTGCTGCTGTTGTATAGATTCCCATGCTGACTGCGATAGACTGCCTCCACCGAGACCAGCAAAGATCAAGGGGACCATCTGCGGGGGCACGCCGGCCTGGAAGGAGTCACGCAACATGGCCTGTTCGATGCGCCGTTGCTCCAGTCGCAGGCTCTCCTGACGGGTCTTCTCTTCCTCCTGCTTGCGGCGGTCCTCCTCTGCTTTCGCCTGCAGCCAGAGACGCATCGAGTCGTCGGCACTCTGCCACTGAGCCGACGACGAAGTCGCAGAGGGCGGAGGCGGCGGCGGCGGCGGAGGCAGCTGGCTACCAGAGACGCCCATCGCGGGCAGTGCCAGATCGGGTGGCAGCGGCAGACTCATCGCTGAAGGAGGCGGCAGACTCCTGCGCGGGGCGGAGGGATCCATCAACCGGTCTCGGACAGGCGTCACAGCAGGAGGAGCAGCAGCAACAGTCGAGGGCTCAGAGAGGGTCGGCGGAGAGGATCGCGGAGTGGGAATAGACTGGCGGATGACGGAGTACTCATGAGGCCCTTTCACGCCATTCTGGACGGGGGGTTTGAGGGTGAGCAACATGGAGAGGCGGCGGCCAGAGAAGACGAAGGGAAGCGAAAGGGCAAGGGAAGGGAAAGGGAAGGGAAGGGAAGGGAAGGGAAAGAATCAAGATCATGGCCTGTTCTAGCCAGACATGTGGCAAGCGGACACTGTTTATAATTATCGTGAACGACGATCGATCTTTCTCGGAAGGACTTCTTCCATTTCCACTGGGACGGAACTGCAGCAGCCCAAAGAGGAAAACAACAAAAAGAGGAAAGCCCCCGTCGGATGAAGGCGCTAGGCCGTGTTGGGAAGGCGCCACGATGTTCGTTCTGGGGAAAGCGCGGCCGGGGAGTACGTACGCACACCCCGATGCAGTCTAGCGCAGGCCGCTCCTTTGAGAAGGCGGTGGGTGCCGCACACTCGCTTCGGCCAGTCGCAGTTCTGAGCGGCCCAAAAAAACCCAGGGCAGCGTCCATGTCCCATTCCCCAACTTCGCTCTGTCCACTTTCAGCGGCCAGACGCTCGAAGGGGCAGCCTCCGCTCCTGGGACCCCCTTTGGCGTGCTGGGCGTTACGTGTCGACGGGCAGGAATTGCTGGAACGAGTCGACCGATCCCCAGCAGGCGTACGTACGCAGCCCTGGAGCTTGACCGAATCGGCAATTGGCTCTGTGGGGCGGGGAATCTGGGCAGGCCAGACGCCTGCAGCGATGACGACGAACTCGTATCGCTACACCCAGTGGTGGAATATTGACAGGAGACTTGACAGCAGCTGGCGTTGGCACTGGCAGGCAGGCCGCTGTCGAGAGTTTGGGTTCGCTACGGTACGTACGGAGTCGGAGTACTCGGAGCCCTAGTAGCATCCGTTCTGCTGACAGTCCATATCTCTAGTAAGTACCGGAGTACTTACTAGTAGTTACTCCGTACCTACGGAGTAACTACTCCATGATTACTGAGTCCGGAGTGGTTCACGATTACGAGGAGCCGGTCTGACTTCAGGCTCGGTGAACGTATCCTCCATCGACAGGCCGATTTCCCTGAAAAGGCTCGTCTGGCTGTCTTCCGTCGGAAGGTGTCCACCCCTGTCGAAACAGATCCATCGTTCTCGTACCACTACAGACTCTACGGAGTACATAAAGACGGATAACTCTTCCGCAGAGTGGTTCGATGTAGGAGTTACTGCTCTTACTACAGCCTTGAAATGAGTGACACCAAGCCAGTGGGCTGGTACATAACTTTCAGATGGCTTTTTCTTCTCAGCTGAATCAAGCGATGTCGCGAGACGAACCGTCTAGGCGGATCCTTAATTTGCGATCCAGGTATCAATCCGAGCTTGTTTCACCACTCTACAAGTATGGAGTATAGCCATGGCCAATATGAAACCACGGAACCTGTCTTGACTTACTATATTTCAACCCAGATAAGGGGTTATACTGACCAATGAAGACTAATTCTTTACTACCTTGACTTTCCAGGAGCTGTTACTACATAGTCACTACATAACTAGTTAACTAGCTGTTCTATAAGATATTCAGCATATTACACCTTTTCACTATAAACCTTGTTCTATTCCAGACCCCATATATATTCTAGTGATATCATGTGATACCACAAAAGTACTTCACCCATCGATAGAATCTCAATACCTTTCCCTAAAACACACCCTAGATGAATTGGTGAGAAAATTATATTTACTATGTTATATACTAGCTAGACAATGAATATAGCTATAAAAAGGTGAGGGTATCATCCAAGCCTTTTTTTTTCTTTTCTCTCTCTTCAGTACCTAGGCATGAATCTGCTGGATCTGCTGTTTCTATTCCTTGTAAATATCCCGATCAAATCGAGAGAGTACCTCCGCCGGAACGGTTGGGATGTACTTGCGCGCGCGCTCGCGGTTCGTGCCTCCCCAGCCGGCCCCGTAGGTGATCAGCATGTCGGTGCTAGTGGGCAGGGAGAAGGGCAGCGTCAGCGACGGGTCGAGGAAAACGGTGTTGCGGTCTATATGGCTGTCCTCGTCGTAGTAGCTCCCCATATTCGGTGACGAAGGGGCCGTCGCCGTCGCGGCAGCGTCCACGGGGGCGACTTTTGGCGAGGTAGGGGTAGGCTGGTCGATAACCTTCTCAGAGGGTTTGGTAGCAGCTGTGGTAGCTGCGGCGGTCTCGTCGTGGAGTTTCTGCAGCTCGCGCGACAGGAGCTCCGGATCGGTCCGCAGGTCCAGAAGGAACTTCATGGCCGACTTGGTCAGGCCCTTTTCGCCCACCTCCGGGCGGTAGGTCTTGACCGCGTGAAGTAGCTGGGCCGGCGTAAGCCGCTGCAATTGGGACAAGGTGGTGACGAGCGACTCAAAGTCGTCGCCGAGCGAGGAGAAACATTGCAGCCACTGCAGTAGCTGAATGACAGGGGCCAGGTGTCGGCGGGCGGCGTCTACGGTGCTTTCGCCCGTGCTGCTCGTGGATCCGTTTTCGTAGTGTTCGGGCTGCCGGCTGTTGACGCGCGCCCAGTCTTCCAAGGTCGAGATATTCATGCGGATCTGCATGGCTTTCGTGCGGGCCAGATACCGCTTGGTGGACAGAATGCGGTTAAATAGCTCCGCTCCGAGCCAGAAAAGTAGTTGCGACATGATCTGGGTCGTGATGACCGAGTGAACATCATAGAGGTCCAGGACGAACAGTGTCGACGAGAGCAGGGAGGTGATGTTGCGCGGGGAAAGCTGAGCCCGCCGCCGCGGGGAAGGAGGACGAAACCGTTTCTCGGCCGGCTCCGGAGGTTTCGTCTTGTTCTTGGAGCGGAAGATCTTCCACTCGTTTTGAAAGTGGATGTCTTCCAGACCCGGGATGGTTTCGTGGTCCAGCATGGCTGGATCGAGGACCTTGTTCATCCGCCGCTCGGCGTCGCGGATGATCAGAATGAAGATCTCGTTGATAAGCTCCGCCAGGTGTAGTTGGAACTCCACTGTCGACTCGACCAGACCCGTGTCCTTTTTAAGGTAATGCAGAAGCAGCGTCGCGTTGGACATCCAGAACGCCAGGATCGTCATGTCCCACTGATGGCGCTCGACCACGTCGTTGATCTTCTCCGTAGCAGACTGCAGCAGCTGCGCCAGCAGCTCCGGGCTGGCATGGTAATGGGCGTAGCGAGCGCTGAGGAACAACAGATTGGCTGGGACAGGCTTCTGCGTCGGCGAGCGCTGTGGAGTCATGTTGGTGATGATGATGTTCAGGATGCGGTCGAGCTCGTGCTCCTGGAAGACGAACATCTGGTCATTGAGGCACCGGTCCCAAACGAACTCTTGCTGTTCCTCCTCTAATTCTTCTTCGTCAAATGACTAGAAATTGGTGAGCATTGTTCTTCACACTAAAGAAAGAAATCAACTTACGTCGAACTTCTCATCCAGCCCCAGGCTCGACAGGTCGACCTCAAGGTTAATCGCGCTCTCCTCCATCATCATGCGGCGCTTCATCTCGTTCTCCGCCATCTCTTCCTCGAACCGACCGTGGCCGAACCCGCCATCGTAAAAGTCATCCTCCATCCCGCTAGGCCCGAAGCTGTAGCCGTTCTCGTGCAGATACTCTGAGATCTCGCTCCCCGGCTGGGCAAAGTCGAAAGCCGTCCCACCGGACGAGGACTTGATATCCGGCGAGGCACCGTGATCGAGAAGGATCTTGGCGATGGCCTTGTGCCGGTTGGTCATTGCCCACATCAACGCGCTCCACTGATTGCGGTCCTGTTGATCGACGTGAGCCCCAGCGTCTAGCAGGGCAGAGACGACCTCTTGATGTCCCTATTCTAGTAAGCAAGGCACCAAGACATGGCTAGGTCAGGTCTATATCAAATAAAAACAATCCACGTACAAAGCAACTGGCGTAGATCAAGGGAACCGTCCCCTCCTCGTCCGGCAGGTTCACGTCCACGAACTCCTTGGCAGCCCCCCCGACCAGTTTATTCACCCGCTCCACGTCGCCATTACTAGCCGCCATATTCAGACTGCGCTGCAGGATGTGTTTCTTCTCCTCGACCGACAGAGCCGCGTCGGTCGCCACGTTCTCCTCGTCGGCCCCGAGCGATTCGACCTCCCGGTGCGCCGCCTGCGCAGCCAACATCTCCATCAGCCGGGAATCACTGTCCTCCAATCTTGCCGTTGAGTCGTCCGAAAACAGCCTCCGACCATAATGGGCCTGAAGTTCGTGTTCGTCGTCGTGCGTATGGTCGTCGAGGGCGAGGCTGAAACTGAGTGGTTTGGCAGCCAGGGGGGTCGAGAGAAACTGCGACTGGCCTAGAAAAAACCAAAGATGAGTATGTTTCTGGAGCTGCCTCCTGAACAAAGAAGTCTCGAACCTTGCCATGCATCGTAGATCTCTGTCTCCGGTCGAAATACCGGCTCCGAACGCCGATCGTCCAGCGACTTGGGCAGGTCGTCCGGCAGTGCCCGAGGCTTCGTCACGGAGAGATCTGCGCCCGTCTCATCCTGTTCGGGTTCTGAAGGCGGTGACGACGATGCCCCGCGATGAGACTCTGAAGAATCCATCGTCGAGGGATCCTCAGCGACCGAGGAGGAGGAGGAGGGGGAGGGGGGAGGGGAGAGGGGAGGGGGGAGAGGGGAAAGTGTCGTCGGCAAGGGCACGCGTGTATGCGGGGGGAGGAGAAGGATCAAAAAGAAAGGAGGAGAAATCAAAAGGCGGGCAGGGGAGATACAAAAGGGCCCAACCACAGCTCCATGAGAGAGACTGAGAGGCCGGACTCGAAGACGGGGGAATGGAATGCGAGAGGTTGTCCAAATTATGTGTTCCTGAGCTTCGTTTCAGGGTGCTTTTTTTTGGCTCTCACTGGATGACGCACGGCGGGCGGAAGAAGGCTCCACGCAGATCCCGATCGCTACAGAAAGAACCACCAAGTATTATTGACTGGTACGAAGAGATAATGGAGGGATCATTAGGTATTATGTTGTATCTAGAAATGCTAAGAGCTAGGGAAGAAGGGAACGGACGCTCGCTGGAAACAGACAGAACGAGAGGCAAGGAACGACAAGATATAGTGTACACAGACAAGGAAAATAGTTAGACAGTCGTAAGTCTAGAACGATAGAGGATATCCAAAGCATCGTGGAAGGACATGAACGAGAGGTATTTATATGTACCAAGGAAAGATGTCGCTTAGAAAGAGAGATGCACCGTGTGTGATGATGATGATGATGGTGGTGGTGGTGATATAAGTAAAAGAGACTATTCAAGAACTTTGCTTCGCGCTTGGATCTGTTCCTCCGAGAGGGAGCCAATCCATAGACAGCGCTCGATGATGCCCGGTACCGGTTCAAACGTGTACTTGGTGCTGGCGTCGATGAGCCGGAGAAGGCTCTTGACGATCCGGGCCGCGGTGCGATATCGTTCAAAGTTGACCAAGGGATCGCTGTCACGGGTGCTCGCGATTTGCGCTGGCTTCTGAGCGTTGTAGGTGAGGTCGTGGAGGTAGAGGCCTGTCTTGGTCAGTGATATGAGGGGATTTAAAAAGAAACCACTGTAGAACTCACCAACAAAAGGGATGCAGCCTTCTTGGAGATTCGCCGTCTCCATTTCCATTCGCAGGTCATGGAAGTTCCGAACGGGTTGGATGAGGGACTCCAGATCCCGGAAGACCCGTCGGTCTTCGGCCGACACGAGTGCCCAGGTTTCTCGCAGGCGCGAGCAATCGGTAGAGGACAGGGCAATAGTGATCTGCAGCATCGTGGCGTAGTTGCACATCCGCTTCGCGTGCACCGCCGTATGAATGAACTTGGTGACGGTGCGCGCTCGTTCCTGGATCTCCTGGGTGAGGACGATTTCCGAGAGCACCCATTTGACCATGAGGTTGAACCGGCCCACGACCAGATCGATGCCCCTCCTGTCCTCTTCGCTCAAGCATTGCACCCAGTCCTGTACGACCGGTGACCTGTTGCTCCAACGCATGTCCACCAGGTCTCGCCAGTCAATTTCGCCCAGGGCGTCCTTCTCGATCAAGGTCAGCTGTTGCGCCAGCACCTGCGACTCGCAGGCCAGAATAAAAGGCACATGCGTCGGTGCATAGATCTCTTGGGTGCACTGGTATCGACAGTCACGTTCAGAATTTAGAAGGACATTGCTAGAAACCTGTTGCACCTCAATGGACCGCCCAAGGTTGCGGCCACCTGCATGATGGTGATGATGATGATGATGCACGGGGGACGGGTCAGGGGTCAGAGGGTTCGCTTGAAAGAGAACTGGGTTCAGTGGACTGGCACAGGATGAGAAGGAGCGCGGGTGCTGAACGGTCATCGGTGGAGAGGGAGGCTGGGCCAGGGGATGAGGAGGGATTTCGGGTGCAGAATTGGAGAGACTCTGCGTATCGAAGGATAACCGGGTCGCGAGAGCCTCCTGGCGGTCAATGATATCGACCGAGAGGTCGGACGACAGTTCTGAACGGCACCTCTCACTGCCTTCGAGGTAAGACCCTCCACCTCGAGCCACGGGCAAGGTTGATCCTCGAGGAATGCAGCGGAGGCTCTCAGTCTCTCTGACCACATCAAATGATGGGTTGGAAGATACCCGGTCAGAGGTCGCCCGGCTTGAAAGGCCGCTGAGCCGCGACCGGGCTGCATAAGTCGGAGTCACATGTTTAACATCAGGCTTCTTCATAGATTCATCGCTCAAACCCCGTTCAAGCAAAGGTATTGAGTTGTATGATTCTTCAGACTCGGCGATTGAGTCTGAATAAGGACGAGGCGCTGCGAGCCGTCCGTTAGATACCGCATAGGCCAAGCTGTTGTTGAACGTCTGCCGACGTGTCGGGAGACTATCGGTATACGAAGAACGATCCTGTCTGTTCAAGCCTTGCTGCTCAAGCCACTGTTCTGGCTCCTGCCGCTTACTGTCATCGGCTGCAGGACTGTTTGAAGGCTTCCACTTGCCCTCGAGCTTGAGCAAAGCAGATTCGATGCCACCATCCTCATCATCAGGGATCTGCGCAAACTGTGCAATCGCAGCCTCGAATGATGGCCGCATGTGTTGGGACGAGTGGGTTCGAATAAGGGAATAGCGGGGCGCGGGAGGAAGAGCTACAAGACTGGGCTGACGGACAGATAGACGATCTTCTGGACCGGTAGCTGTGCTGCCGACAAAGGAGTGACGTGGAGAGAGGTCGAATGGGTAAGACTCTCGGCCCGCCTGCGAGTCCGAGTCCTTTCCATCGTGCATCCTCCTCAGATCCCCACCAGCTCGTCGACGAAGAGTAGGACCCGACAACTTCTCCGAGGCATCAGACTCGATGCTCGCTTCAGCCACCGAAGGCACTTTTTCGCTCTGCATACTGAGGCGATGTCTTGAGATGCCGCTTTGAAACGAGGCATACTTGCGGAGGCGGAGGGAGAGGGACGTTCGCTTTCGGCCAAACATACCGCGCTCCGCAGAGTACGAGCGTCGTTGACTCGAAGAAACAGAGAAAGCACCCGGAGGGTACAGAGACTGGGGGTGACCATTGCTGTCGTAGTATATGGGAAGAGTGTATGCATCTGCTGCCTCTGTCGACACATGGGAAGGCGGGCGCAGGGAAGCGGCCCCGGAGGGGAATGAGGGATCCCCAGGGTACGCGGTACTCTGCTGCGAAGGCCCCCCTCCCCAGCCTTCTTCTGTGGGCCAAACAACGGCCCCGGACATGACAGGAGTGTTCAACCCCGTGTCATCAACGATGACGATCGATTGGCTGCCGGCGGTTACCTGACTCAAGATCCTGGCACCGGGGAGAGGGCGACTTAAAAGAAACTTGGAGTCGGCCGCCTCGGGAAAACTGTTGGGACTGGGCTCAAAATGAGTATTATGATTGGGGTTGTCTCCTCCTGCCGGGTCTTCCTGTCCGCTTAATTGACCGGTCACAAGGCGATACTGTTTCAGAACCTGGTCACAGAGGGTATCGATCCGGAGTGGCCTTTGAGGCACACTGGTGGCTCGGCGACCGCGGTACAGCTCAGATCCAAAGGCCACATTGGCAGGCAAAGCCGATGTTCGACCACGCGTAGGCGGGGGAGGTGCTGTTGGGACGTTGACTGCACGAGCAGACATGCTCTGCCCTCCGCCGGTACGCTGATGCAAAGCGCGACGGATTGACCCGATAATGGTCTTCACCCCGACGCCGGAGCCAGAGGTGCCCCCTAAACCGGATTTAGCTGTCGTGACGTTCATGGTGCTCCGACGGTCGAGACGTGAGTTATTGACCGAGGTCGGCAGAGGCGGCGAAGGAGGAGCCATCATCGCCATGTACGACTCCGCCGGAGGGAAGAGTTGCCCTCGAATCAGACTACGTGGACCCCCAGCCTTGAGGCTGGAGGGATCGCCATATGGCGCATTGGACGCCGCTTGAGGACTGCGGTCATCTCGCACAGAGTCAGAGAAGCTTCCGCTGCGCTTATGCGCATGGGCAAAGAGTGCATGTTTGCGAGCAATTGTCGGGGATATCACCGGGGGTTCGGGGCCCATCGGGGGCACGGGAGGCACATGAATCGGTAGCAGAGGCACTGGGTGTGGCGCCATACCGCTAGAACGAGGAGACGAGCGCCGCTTGGGTGACTTAGATGGTAAGGAACAAGATGTTACCACGGCACTCTGGCCACTTGCCGTCGAGACCGGGACGCTTTGCGCTGTGACGGAAGAGTCCTTGCGGTTGTGAAGAGCCACTACTGCAGGGTCCTGCTCGACATTATTCAAAACTAGATCGACACAACCAGCCGCGCCAGGGGTGGGTTCCGTTTGGACGACGATGTGCTGAGAAAACCTCTGGAGGACCCAATTTGCACTTCGCGCTCCTCCCTGTGCAGCCGGAGGAGCACTTCCACCGGGAACAATGGCCGCCTCCGGGCGATATTGCGTGGTTTCCAGGTCTGAAACGTCCCAGTAGAGCACACACCGACCATGCCAGCATCGCTTGAGGTCAACCAAGATCTTCAGATCGCTCCGACCGCCACCTTCTCGTGCCTTGACCTCCTCGTACATACGATTGATCGTGTCACAAAAAGAGATGCGTATGTCCTCATTAGGCACAAAGTCATCGAGGAAGTAGTTCAAAATCCAATGCCTAAGGGCCGCGAAGGTTCGAATACGGATGATCCTTCCATCTTCCTGTAGACGGCCAATGGCCCACTGGAAGCGTGCTAGGAGCAGCATGAGCAGATCGCGCGGGGAGAGGTACGATCGAAAGGTCAGGAAGAAGTCGGAAACCAGCTCATAATCCATAAAGGACTCAGAGGAGATCTGGGCCACGATGCGCGCGGGTGTTGCAGCACTCAGATCCTTAGTGCCCGGGATGTATCGGACGACGGCAGGATTATCCATTTCGGACACCAAGGCCTCAAAGATGGACGGCTCGACCGGTGCCTTGAATGTGTAAAAGACCGACTTTCCAGAGATGCGGCGGGAACATCGGCTTAGATCGATACCCCCGGTGCCTGAGAGCATGGAAGCCGCAAAGGACGGTCGACCCGGCCGTAGAGAATCGCGCGGGAGCATTCCCGGCAAGGGGGTCAGGCTGTCTCGGTTGGTCTGAGAGTAGATGGACGAGCCCATCTGACCGGCAGCTGTGTGCAGCGAGCTGCGCATGATGGCGCTTCCGTGCGGGTTGAATCGCGGTGAATCAAGTGCATAATGCGGGATCGAAACGTCCAAGTTCGGATGAGAGGAAGGCCCGTCAGCGGAGCGTGGCCGATCATCCGACCTGTCGATCACGATCCGGAACTCCCCCGGAGGGTTCGCGCCTACCGACGACGACGGGTGTTCGGAGACGGTGGAAAAGGAATGGGCCCTCTGGCGTCGAAGGGAACGCACGTCGGACGCGGAGAGGATCGACTTTGCATCGTCGTCACCGGTGTCTTCTGGGAGCAGGCTGGGACGCAATTCGGACAGCTGGGAATTCGACCATCGTGACGGATCATCGTGCTTGCGGTCTTGCGATAGCGGTGACAAATTATGGTCTTTGGATTGGGGGCTAACGGGAGAGAAAGGCTGAGGGCGGAGATCGTTCTGTGGATGGTTTTCAACCGGCCTACACCACACCGATGTGAGTGGGCGATTGATTTCCCAACAAAGACAGCATTTATTATAGACAGGGCTGCTCACATACCTGAGATAAATCCTTCCGTTGTGACCGACATTTCCAACAGTAAAATGTTTTGCTTCTCGTTCGCGTGGAGGAGATTTTGCAGCATCGGGGAGAGGGCGCTGACGAAGCAATTCGTGGCTGTCCTTGACGCGCAGTAGCGACGTGACGGTGCGATCGCGACCCGACCTACCCGCGACAGGATGATGATGGTTTCTCTTGGTGAGGGAAGTCCCTTGTGTAACAGTGTGCGCTCGGCGGAGTGTCGTGCCCAGCACGACTTCACCTTTGAATCCAGCAGCGCGCTTCGCATTGTTCTGAATCTCTTTGGAACCGACGATAGGTTGCCCTCTGCCAACCCCAACACGCGAAGTGGACGGTTCCATAGTTTTTCTCGTGTTTTTCTTTTCTCTCTCTCTCTCTCTCTCTTTCTCTCTGTTGTGATTTAACTGCCAAAGAAGCCGGCCTTCGGACCGCAATCACCCACGAAGCCGAGCCGAGTAGACACAGACGGTCATCTAGAGGGTGCAAAGCCCTCGGATTGCGGAAGAGCGGACCGGCAACCCAGGCTGGGATTGAAATTCGTTTTTGTGACACGACATGACCAGACCAGACCAGACCGAGAGGGACGCAGGGCGCGGCAGGGACTAGGGGAGGGTCGTAGGGGCACGGAGATCCATGGAGTAGCAACTAGGAAGAAAAGGGTTGACAGGCAAGAAGACAGCGGCTCCCCAAAAATTAGGTCAGATGGCGTGGTGTGTGGAAGGTTATCTTTGGGGCGTCACAAATAAAGGAGAGCCTAAGTGGAGAGGACGTATTCCAGGAGCGACGCGCAGCTCTTTTAGTCCCGCCGAGGTTCCAGCCCGCCGGAACCGCCAGGCCGTGTGCATCGAGCCCTGCCTGCTGCTGCTGCTTCTGCTGCTGCAGATGTAGCAAAGGGAGGGGAGGTCACACAACAGACAGCAAGCATGACGAGCTGATGAAGGATGATTGTTTGTGGTACAGTAGGATGTAGTCTGGAGTAAATCGACTCTTTGGTTCGCATCTCGGGCGTGTTCCTTGGGTCAACAGTGAACCTGCAAATCTGATGGGTCAGACGCCACATTCCATCCATCGCTGGGACCCCCCAACGTTGCCTGAGCGATACGTCAACTTTAGATCCTTACCTGTCGTCTCGTACAGTCTCTTCTTACTCCCTATATTTTCCCATCACTAAGCCCGAAACACCGGAGACTGAGCGGCGAGCTGTCGATCGTTGGAATGACGCTTGGAGACGTCACACCCGCCCTGTCCAACTGTTAGCCCGGCCGAACGACCAGTCAGATCTCCGGTTCCACGTGAAACTCGGTACTTCAGCTTATCTTATTAAAAAGTACTCCGTATGTAGTTATATAGTCGTAGAAGCTGTTGGAACGCTGGCAAGAGGCAGGGAGGTTGAGGACGTTGTCGTGATGGCGACACCCAAGCTTAGTTGCGTCCTGAATAGGCAGGAGGTGTGTTTGCAGGGTTGACAAACATTGGTCCCTGGTCGCTCTTTCCTATTCAGAATTCCATTTCTCCGGACTTTCTCCCTCTTCACATGTTCTGCCACCTCCTTTCTACGCAGCACGTAACTACGAGACAACCACGGTCAATCTTCTCCCCCCTTTTCAAGAGCTATTAGATCTTCCATGGGTTATTCTGCAACTACCCAGATGGAGGCTCTTGGTCAGGCAAGGGTGAACACTAACCAGGCAGCAGACGCGAGAAACCCGATGTGCCCACCCTCGTTCCCTCTAGAAGATACTACATAAATCGAGAAGTCTACAGGATTCGATATGTTTATGTTGAACGATCGGTACGATACGGGATAACATCCGAATAGCAGGAAGTTCTATGGAGGACACAACATGGATGAACAACTAAGCTGGCCAATCGACCAACCACGCTGAAAAGAGGGAGTTTTTAGGATTAGGTACGGAAGAAGGCACTTCAAGAATAACAGCCAAGAATTTACTTGGAAGCCCCCGGTGATTACCCGGGAGTAGACTTGGAAAAAGAGAGGGAAAAAAAGGGATGAGGTTATAAGGGTGTTGAGTATACCTGGGTTCCACTAGGATAACGCAAACCCTTGCGAGGTTAGTGGATTAACTAATAACTACCATCGGTTTCCAACCTCTTGATGCCAGCTCTTAATGAGTACTTCTATCGAGGTGAGCGATGCAGTGTTGGAAGAATGCTCACAACAAGGTGCTTGCGAGGTCTTGCCCCCTTTTCCTTCACAACTTGGACGCCCAATTGATGGCAGTGGCATCGGCTTCGTCTTCACCATCACCCCTGTTGGGAACCCTGTCGGTCCCTGAAGCATGGATTTGTGACTTCATCGCTGCGCTGCTCTTCCTTGAGTCAGCTTTCAGCACCGAGTTGGTCGCTTTGATTGTAAGCAATAGTTGAACAAGATATGGTGGTCCACTCTCGTGTGTTTGTCTAGAATGTTGGCTTCGTTGGTCGATCTTACAAAAACAATAAGGCGTTGATATGGCTGAACACTGTCATATATTCTCTGCAAAAAAAAATCATTCACTGGCTTGCTTATTGTCTTTCGTTTCTTGTATATGGTACTCCCGGCTTGCTCGTTTCAACTCTCGCTCCAAGACCTCAGCAATGGCTTCCATAAGCCACTGCGCTTCACTCTTTTCCGCAATCAGCGGGCTCCGCGCACTCGTCCAGCTCCATTGATCTTTGTCCCTGCCAGGACCCGATTCTGGACGAAGCTTGCTTTTCTCCTCCTCCTCTGGCCGAGAGATGAAGCCCGACTCGTTCGCACCGATGAGTTTCAGGTAATACTCCCATTCAGGATAGTCGAACTCCCTGGGGAGACTACTACTAGCATAGCGGATCATCTTGCGCAGCTCGCGAAACAGCAGGTAATGGTAATGGTGGATGTTCTCGGCACGAACATCACCACGCCCCCGCGCGACCTCTTCCCTGCGGTGCTCCTCGGCTTCCATTGAGTTTTCGCTCTCGCTGTACGGATAGCTACTGGCTGCTTCTCCTGCTTCTTCTGATTCTCCAGCCTGTTGGCGCTCCCGTTGGCGCAAGGCAGGCGGGATTGAGGATTCCTGCCTCTCTGCTTCGGCTTCGGACTCAGCGGTCTCGTTGAGCACCTGCTGACGCCAACCCGCATGGAAGAGATCCCGGATGCGTTCCAGAACGGGTTTGTCGCCGGGCAGGATGGTCAGTTCGCCAAGGTAGATGGTGACGTCACGGACGGAGCGGATGAGGGTGTCCCCGATGTTGGAAAGGAGGATGGTGACGGTGGGGACGGCGAGCAGGGACCAGAAGATGAAGAAGGGTTTCCCCCAGTTGCTGATGGGGTAGAAGTCGCCAAACCCGATGGTGAAAAGTGACGTGTAGGCGAAATACATGGCCTGGAAGTAGGTCCAGTGCTGCAGCTCGTGTTCGGAGCGCCAGAAGGCCGCCGCGCCAATCAGCCACATGGTCATCCATGTCACCAACGAGAGCAGCAGGGCGATCCACTTGCGCTCGAGGGTCACGAGCTGCCGCACCTGGCGCATCACCAGAAACTCCTGTTTGCGTCTCTCTCGAACACTCTGGCCGCCGTCGTCTTCATCGTCTGTCAGCCGGGGCACAACGGCATGGAACCGACTGTGTTTCGCGGCCGCCTTCTTGATCAGAAACCGCCGCGTCTTCTCCGTCATCCGGCCCGTCATCTTCTGCTTGCCCTTCTCCAGCATGAGGGAACGGATGGAGCCGATGATCAAACTGAGGATCAGGATGCCGCCGACGGCGTAGGGGAACAGCAAGCTGCGGCCCAGATGGGTGGTCGGGACGATGTTGCCGATCCCGATGGTCAGCAAGGTGAAATCAGACCAGTACAGCGCGTCGAGGAACTTCCACCCTTCGACACGGGAGTAGACAGCCGAGCCGCCGAGCAGGTAGACAAGAAAGCAAATGGTCTGCAGCATCAGCGTGCGCTGGCTCGTGGTGAGCTTGTACTCGCGGCTGTAGTGGCCCCGGTACGCGCCGTAGAAGGTGACGAGCAGCAGGGAGGAGATGAAGGCGTACAGCCCGGCGGCAAGGGCGCCATAGTAGTAGCTCTGCGTGAGACTGTAGCCTGCATTCTGCGGCTGGTTCATGAGATGTGCAAACACAGCCAAAAGGCAGAGCAGCAGGATCGACGAGATGTACCACCCGATGATGATGATCGGCTGGGCCACCGCGAAGGGGATCCGTCTCGCCATTTCCATGAGCAGCACGAAGTTGGCGATGATGGCAAACACGACGGAGAGTCCGTTAATAACCAGGACCCTTCTCTTTCTTAGCATATCGTACGTATGAATATTGTATACAACTTCAAGGCAGCCGGGCTTACCACTCTGGATCTGGAATATCTCGTAGAGTCTTCCCCGTCGTTTCATACCGCCAATCCTGCGACAGCGAACAGATGCTAAACGCGGTGGCCATCGGGCCCAGAGTTCCCTAACCATAATCAATACCACAACAGAATCTTATCTCTTATATATCGAGTGTGGTTGGCATACAGCTATGAGTGGAAAAGCTGTGCTCGCAAGCCACCACCGCGCAGGCGTCAGATAGAGCGACATCTCCTGCAACTCAGCCTGTTCCTCGTCTCCCTCTCCGTCTCCGTCTTGGGCTTCCACATCTTGTCCTCCCTGCGGCAGCGTGTCTAGCACGCGTGATTCCTCGGTGATAGGCGCGTCGAGACCGGGATCGTTCATTGTAGAGTCGTCGACTGTGTACTGTTCATCTCATAGACTTATGGTGCAGGACATGGTCCGTAGGAAATGGAATCATCTAGTAGAAAATGGGTTAGCAATACACTATAACAAACTTTTCAAGGGATACAGGAATAAGAACCTCGTTTCGATTGCCAGGAACACAGTGCGTCATCGTCTGACTTGGCTTCGATCGAAGCTTTGCCCAGTTCTTGGTTAGAGAGTGAGAGGCTGTCGATCATATATGAGAACCGGCTTCTGACGTCATTGCCACGAGAGCTACCAGCAGTCATTGACTGCTTATGTTGCAGACTACATCTGATACAGGCTTACGGGATTAATATACTGGAGAAACAGTAAATGTGGCTTTATACATCATCGACAGGTCCATGGAGACATCCAGGCTATTTTCAGTGCTAAGTCCGAAAAGAAAAAAAAAAAAAAAAAAAAAAAAAGCCAATCATTCGCCGAGATTAGGCTGTACAGTGAACGCCAAACTCCATTAACTGGTCGTGTACAGGAAAAGAAGAGGAAGAGTATTTACGGAATGGGGTATCGGGAAGGTTCTCGGGGAATGCGTCCGCCTGGACCGGTGAGAGCCGCTCGACCACGGCCGACGTTGAGTTCGAAATCGGGATTGTTCTCGAGAAGAGCCTGGCGGCGCTGTTGGACGGGGGGCGGCGGGGGACGCCAACGCGGGTTTATGGGCCGTTCAGATATGGATGTGAAGTGGCTGGTTTCGCTGACAGCAGGTGAGCGAGGCCCTTCAGGCATGTACTCGAAGTCTTTTGTCGATGGGTTGAGCTCACCACCACCACCCGGTAACAGCACAGACGGCATGGGCGGATCGCCCGCATCATGGACGTCTGCGAACCGCGGTTCAATGTCTTCATAGTACTTGCTGCCCCCCGACGCGGAGCGGGTATGTTGAGGGCCAGAAGGAGGCCGCACCGAGCCATATGCGTCTGCCGGTAATGGAGGAGACGGCAAACCGGTTCGGCCAGAAGCATCCCCCCAGCCAGCGCGAGGCGGGAC